ATCTAAAAAATGAGGTATAATTATAGCTGAAGGCAGTAAATCTTCAGATCAATGGTAACACGGTTATTCTTCCAGGTTTGACATAGAAATAAATTTACAGTTGTAAAATGGGGAGCATCTGAGTAACTAGTTCATAATATGGGTTGACAGTGTAAAAAGGTTCAAGTTTCATTCCAGGATATACTAACAGTATCAGCATTAGTGAGTCCTTAGTAGAACATTTAGACCAGTTTCTGTAAACAGTTGAAACTTGAACAGTAATACCAAAGATTAGAGAAATTCTGGAGTTGAGAAACAAAACTGAGTTTAGGAGAAATGACCTGCAAGGAAAGGTGAAATAAATTGAAGTGGCTTAGTCTCTTAAGATTGCCTATTAGCGATGTCTTTTCATCCTCCTTGTCCTGTCGGTGGATCTCTCCTTTGATGGAATGCCTGTTCATGTTCCACAGTTCTCAAATGCTGCAGTTGGCTCAAAGTCCCCTTAATTATTTAGTGACACGAGCTCAAGAAGACTCAAGGGAGGATTGGAAGTTAAAGGAAGGAATTTAAAGGTTGTTACTGAGGTATTGCTGGAATAAAGGAACAATTGATGAATAGGCAAGTGAAAAAGATGGTGGTCTGCTTCATTTCATGAAAAGCACTGGGGTATGGGGAGAGGAACCAGAGTTTCTCTGTTGCTGTAATGAGAAAAAAGGTGAATTGCAAATTTTAAAAGATTTCTGCTTGTTAATGGGGTAAAACCTTGCAAAAAGCTATCAAGTGAGCCTCCAGAATATCTCTTTGGATATTTTGAACACAGACTAAGCAATACAACTTTTGGAAATGAATCAAGTATAAATAGACTGTCTCAGCTCAAAGACTTGACAGTCCCTTCTCTGCCATTGTGAGAACGACAGCCTGCACAGGATTCTGTGGCATACAGTATTGTATTCAACTTCAGTTATGAAAATGAAATGCTCATTAGTGCTGAAATAATTTTTCAAAGAAAACCTGTGTTGGAAGTTAAAAAATATAGAACTTACTGGAGATTTAAAATATAATATGTAACATTTTTATTGAGATCAATGGAGGTAAAAGAGTGGTTAGAACATTACTTCTCAAATAACTTCAATTTAATGAGTTTTAATTCTTAAATTCTTTAATTATGTTATATAATGCATGTCTATGCATTTGTGCGGTACAGAGATGTATTATAAATTACCATAAAGTTCACTCTCTAATAGTCACTCTGTAAATGGTGAGTGAGAAGTTTTTAAGCATGACAGCTGGAATATTTTCCTGTGTTCAGTATATCCAGGACTATTAAACTCAGAGATATTGCTGCTATTCTTGAGCTTCACTTTAGTGTAATAACGTATTAGGTACATATCAGCAGAGTATTACGGTATGCTTTCTTTATTCTTCTATTGTTTCCCTAATTACCCACTACTGGGCATTGTTGAAGACAGGATAGTAGGGTGAGACGGACCTTTCAGGTGGAGAGCCATTGTAACGATTTGTTTGGTTTTGATCTTGACTCCATTTATCTTTATTTGTGGACCATCATCTTCTGCCTCCATAATATTGGATAGTAATGTATATTTCCTATATTTTTATCACAGAATGAGGCAACCCAGAATGGTGAAAATACTCTTAGTCAGCAGTGCACTTCCAAATTTCTGTTTTCCCTTTCTGTAAATAATTTTTCATCTCACAGAAGAGCTTGGTGCTCTGCTAGTCATTTGGTTTCCCTTCAAAATGTCAGTCATACTCTGAATTAAGAGAACCGGCCTTGATCTGAACGCTGCAATGAAAGTGAAGATATTCCGGGTGTTTATTTTATAGGGTATAATAACTTCCAGGGGTTTGAAATCAGATATGAGTGAGCCAGCTTTGATTTACACTTGGATTTTGGATGAACATCTTCACCACTGAACACATTTTCCCCTGCAGATGTGATTTATGTAGCTCATAATCTTCAGCTGGCAGCCTGCCCATTGTCTTTTTTCCTCCTGATCTTAGGCTGCATGTACCAGCTTTGTGTTCATCTGTTGTGCCCCTGTTTGGTGGCCAGATTACATTCTCAGCAGCAGAAGTGGAAGAATAATTTGCCAGAGATCTTGTTTGTGTAGTATGGATCTATTTTATGCTCTTATCCTTAAAAATGGGACACGGTTAATATGCATAACGCATAGTAATTATTTTTCAGTGTACTAGTAGGGAGTGTTGGCAAATTTACACTTAACAAATAAACTGCAGTCATTTAATTATCGTTGTTTCAAGTTCAGTTTTAGAGAGGACCAATGTTTATTTTGTGAAAGTAACTTTTTAGCTCTGTAGGTCATGATAGATTTTTGTTTGTTTTCTTTAAGGAATTTTACTCTATGGAAGGAGACATGCTTTACAAATTATACTTGTAACAAATTAAATGCATGTTACCTTCTAATATTTCTAAATGAATGATTTTACAATTAAGCTGGTTCAAGGACTAAAATTAAGTGGCTTTATTAAAATTAAAGTCTCCCTAAGTGTTTTTGAAGGCATTGGAAATACTGATGTTTATTGCTGTGCCTTGGAAAGAACATGGCTATGAGTTGATACCTATTTAAATTATGAGATATTTTTAATGATACAACACATGATTCCTGTTTGGAAAATGACGGTATAAAAGTTAGTTATCTTCTCGTTTATTCCCCGTATTAAGCAGAGCTTACCTGTGGGCATCACTGTAACTGTGCTGCCTGCTCCTCTTCTGAAATGCATTGTGTAGGGAGAGCTGAATGCCAGCGACTGTACCTGCTGCTGCCTAACAGCAGGCTCGGCTCCGCTGGTACCTAGAGTTCTGCAGTGTAACTGCTCAGTCCTGCTGGGAGGCCCTGCTTGGCTGGCCCTTCTGCAGGAGCAGCAAAGGACTGAGGCAAACAGCTGGGAGAAGCAACCGCTTTGGCCATCCTGCTTGAATTGCTTGCTGCTATGTGTTTTCACAGCCTTAATCAGTTACTAGCGAAATCGTGGGCACGAGACTGAGTTAATGATAAAGGTTAAGAATGTAATTAATGTGGTTTTATTGAAAATAGGTCTTATTTTGAAAATTCTGACTTCATTTTTTGTAATTTTTGTATTAGGTAGAAATAAATACGAAGATGTAATATTGTTGTTGTAATGTAACTGTTACTGTAGTGTACTTAAGTTGTAATACTGTATTGCAGTCCACTTAATATATCATAAAATTCCTACTAAAAGATTAGATTATACCATGTCATTAAAGAGTTTCTAAAACATTCCTAACTTACTAATTGTCATCTCAAAGTACTTGTAGGCAAAGAATCATCAAATACATTTCTTATGGGTTTCTTTGGGGCATGTCAGCAATTTCTGGGTTTATAAGCATCTGATGCAAGTTAATCACAATTATTGCTGAATGAGGTTGTGGGATACATGGAGATTGGAGTAACAATAATGATTAACAGCAAGAGTGAAAAAGAGACCATGAAATGGATTGCTTAGCAAGATAAACTTAAGCAAATAAACATACAGCAGTGTATAACAATATGTATGAGTCATGCTTATAAAATTAGGGACCATTCTGAAAAAGGTAGTAATTCTGAAAATGCATCAGTATGTATAACAGACAGGTTGCTTCATATGAACTCACAGCATAATGCTGTGGTAAAAAGACTAATATGTGGTGATTGATAATTTAAAGTTAGGATTAGTAGGGACTTGATTTCATATGTGTGAAATATGTGTATATTTGTAATTATGGTGTAGGTGGTACCAGTACTAGACTGTAAAAAACTTAAATTTTTAGAACTGTTCATGAAATGGTGTTGATAAAATCACATAGTGGGTAAGTTCTGTAAAATTATTCCAGCACTTTTTCTTGAGTTTCTTAACAGCATTAAATTGCTTACTTGTTTGGAGAGATATTTGAATACATAATATAATTAATGACTGATATCACTACCCTGTAAGAAATTAGCTTTTCTAAAGGGCTTTTTAACGTACAGAAGAAAGTGTAACAAAATGCAGTGGCTAAACACTTAAACCAGACATTTCCAAGCTGATGTTAACCCATATGGTTTAACAGTAGGGTTGAATAGCCTTTTGGAGCAAGCTACCAAAGGAATAAGTGCATAGTCTAAGTTTTCATATTTTTCAGGCCAACAGTGGATAATATGCTGGAAAATGTGTTTTAATCGAATAAAGGCTACTGGAGTTGATACAGTCATCCTAGATAAAATTGAAAGGATCTGTGATATAATGGGAATGTAACTTGAAGAATTAATGGTGTCCTCTTGCTTTATTTCTATGTATCTGTAGGAATAAAATTCGGGTCAATATTTAGTGTGTTGTTGCACATCTAGTGAATAAATTACTCTTGCTCATCTAATTTATTTGTATACATAAATTCTCAGTCTTAAGAAATAATATCAATGTCCATGGTTTACCATGTATAGTAAGGATTATTTATTTTACAGCCTGGCTATACACACTGGTTTTGCTAGTAAAAGGACTGTTTCATTTGATTGATAAGCAGTTCTATCTATTGAATCTTAATGTGCCTGAATTAATATATTGCTTCTATAAATAGTATGTGTTGAAGGAGATTGCTTAATTGATATTCTTGTTAGTTATGAGTGGTTTTCAATTAACTTAGTTTTACCAAAGGCAGTATACGCCTCAGCAAGTGTGCCTTAGCCTTTACCTGAAGTACTTGTAATGTGTTCAAATCCTGTGCTTCGTATATTCACATTATTTTAATGTTATCACATCATGAATATGCATCAACATGATGTTTTAACATGCAGAATACTTGCTATTAAAATTTGTCTGTGCTATTCCATGTGATTTTATCTAGATGATGAGTGAGTACTGTTTCATATGCTTTGGGAATTAAAAAAATGATAGTAACTACTGCATCATTTAAAAAAAAATAAATAAATCTACCTGTATTTTTATGTTGAAATGTATACATGAAGCTCTTGTTTATTTTTTTTTTAAATTGTTTTGCTTTTTAGTGAGAGGTTTATGGTGAGGTTAAACAAGAACGGAGGCCCCAGGAATCCAGAGAAGATAGATCGAATGTGTGCACTTTTCACAGTACGTGTCTGTTCCCTTTCTTCTTCCCTCACAGTAGTATGATTGTAGATGTAGTCGCCCGGGGGGGGGAGTGGGAAGGGTGGTGTGTGCGGGGAAATTCTTCCTTTCCAATATATTGAGTAGAATGGAAGCTGTTTCTAAGTTTTGTTATGGTTGTAATTAGAAGTTAATGTAAGAAAATGATGGAAGTACTTCTAAATTATTTTTATGGCTAAATAAATATTCTGAAGTACTTCCTTTTAAGTGCATTTGTTCCTGCTTACAGTTTGAAATTTTCAATATTTTCATTGCATCTACTATGCTCTTGGAGCACAGGAGGAAGCTGCATTGGCCTGAACATAAAGCAAAGCACTTTTTTCAGAATTGAAGTTAGGAAAACTACAACACCATGCACACAGAAAACCAGAAAATTCTCCAAACAGATTTTTGTCACGGCCAGTTCAAGAGTCCGTGTAGGAGCCCTGGGTAGATAGTAGAGCAGTAGCCTCCCAGGTTGCCAGCACAGTGTGTATGAGAGGACAGAAGCACCGGGATGTGCTGCAGGAGCAGCAGCCAGGTTGAGCTCCAGCGAGTTGGCTGTAATAAAGGAAACACTGTGACTTCCTAAGTTTCTACAGCAGGTCTGTGCAAACAGCTACCCCCTCCTGACGCAAAGCAGGCATGACCAACTGTACCAGCAGTCTTTAACCGTCTGTGCCAGAAAGGCAGGATAAGTAATATCCATTTGTGGTTCCTACCAGATGATACCTCAGTTGGGAGTGAAATAGCCAGCTAAGATTTAGTTCCTTTTAGTTCTTCAGACTCACCTCTCACCTAGCTGCCACCTTGTTTTATGGCTTTGGTTATGCCAGAATCGTGGTTTCAAAACACTTAGGCTTTAATATCCATTCTGCACTGGTCTTAAGTTCTGTTAAAAATTGCCTCAGAATCATGTGTCAGACCATGATTTTATCTGTCACTTCTCAGAAAGAATATGGAAATCTAGAGACACTGAAATGTAACAGCTCATCACAGAATAGCTGTAAGGAATTTCAGATCCCAAGTGTGATAAACACCTTTCATCGTGACTCACCTTTAGCTAGTGCACATGCTAGAAGCTCTTTGACAGAAGTATTTTTACTTCCAGTGAAGAAAAAAGATGGCAGACAGCTTTGATATAAGCTTTAGTTCTGGCAGTGATACCATCTAAGGTCAAGCAGGGCTGGGTACTGAAACAGGCATGATTCTCAGCACCTTTCCCTTTTCTCCTCTGAGGAGATAGCTGAATTTCTCCTCTTAAAGAACAGACCATATCCAGCCAGATATAAGGATGCTTAGTTCTGCCTCCATCTGGATATAAGAGATGCAGGTCAGTCCAAAAATAGCACTGACATTGATGCTGACATCAGTAGTAGTTCTGATTTTGGTACCATCAGTGAAGTGCTACCAGCTGATTAAACATTTGCAGAGGTAACAGTGTCTTAGTATTGCCACTGGCACCGGGGCCTCTGCTGTTGGTAACTCAAACCCTCTCTTCTGAGAGAAAGGTGGCCAGGGAGCAAGCTTCAGCACTGGTGTATGGATCATGCAAAAAGGTTGAGTGTAGGATTAAGAACTGCTCTAGGGATTATTCCCAAGAGTCAGCCCAGGCTGGTTCATATTAAGTTTGGCACTTTCTGGCCTCTGAGGTTCATCATTCTTAGAAAGATTTTCACTGTCAAACTTCCCCAACTACACTGATGCCATAGGGTCATGTAACAACTGTCCTGTTCCAGGCTGTGTTGTGTGCAGTGTGAAACAATTTTGCTCTAGTGACCTGAAAAACAGTCTTTACATGCTTTCAAAAATACAAAAGAATAATGATACGCTATGGCTAGAGGCATAACATAGTTCCAGACGAGACCTGCTACATATTGTGAATGGGGCATGACTAGTCTAAAAGAGGCCAGCCTCAAGTATTGCAGACGCGCCCTGCAGGAGTACCCATCCTTCTGAGCAGAGACCCCTCCCAAGCTACCTTTCTATTTAACTATACAAAGATACCAAAGCTGCTGCAGTATCAGCTCTCTGAGGTGCTTAGACTTGTTGCCTGTCACTCTTTGGTAGAATGTATACTCTGCATAACAGGAATTATCATAATTGGGAAAATTATCTGTGCAAAAAATTACACAGTTCTGATGCAGTACTTTTCATCAATGTATTCAAAGAACTTTCTAAAATATATAGCAAAGGAGCAATAAATAATAGCTTTTTGAATAACTGTTTTATCTGCGATGGGTCCTATCTTATCATAACATCTTCATTATTAAATGCTTCCAAAATAAGATAGTTCTATGATTTTCAGGTTTGTGTCAGTCTTGACTTTAATTATTTATTTCCTCATCCTTCCCCCCCACCCTGCAGTATCTTTCTAAAATTCTAATCTTCCCCAGAGGCATAACTTAGATAATTCAAGGTATTCCTGTCATTTCCTGCTATCTCTGTTGCTTCTAGGGGTTCAGCTGTCTCCTTGTGTAATATATCAAAATTACTTAGGTTTTGTTTTTAGATCTGCTGTCATATCATACCAAAGGTGACAAACTGCTTCCTCTGAAGATTAAAGCTTAGTCAGGCAATCCTCAGCCTATACATGCTTTAGAAACATTCCTGTGTCTGAATTAAAACATAACTGCATGATGTAAGCTTGCTGGTTTTGTTAAATACCTTACTCTCTGTGGCCTATGAGGTTGGCAACTGAATTTGATAAAGCTGTTTAACTTATTAGTCACAGTCGGGTATCCTTGATTCCACTGGTGATATTTGGGCTTTTTAATATAGTTAGCCCTTTATAGAAACCAGCATTGTAAAGAACTAACCATTATTACAGGGTAACTCTTTTCCATATCCAGTATGGGGGAAAAAAGAATTAGGTGTGATTTTCTAAAAAGCCATGCAATTAGAATTATTATGGAATTATTTTGTTTATCAACTAGTGTCATTTAAGATGCTCAGAAGGATATGGGAAATAGCACTGCACCCGCAGGGGTTTAAGAACACCTTTATGAAAATTGGTTTATTTATATTGCATGCAAGAAAATATTAAACATAGTTTGTCCTCTTCTGGGTCCTAAGTCATGTGCATGGATTTTCTGCAAATAAATTATCTGAAGACTTCCTTACAAGGGTTGGGGTTTTTGATTGTTTGGTCCATGTCATCGTAAGAATTTCTCGCCTTGTAAAAAGCCTCTGCTGTACAAAATGAAATACAAGGCCATCTGGGCCCACATTTTTTGTCTTTTGACTGTGACACAGTACATTTTTTGTGAAATTGAAAAGCAACTAAAGTGCGAACCCAGCAATATGTGCATGCCCTACCATTTTCTGATATTTTGACAGCTGCCCTTTGAAAAAATAGTTCTCTAAGTTGCTTTTAATTAGAACTGGTAATCTGATAGTATAATAAAATTCCCCCTGTCAAATCACAGATATTTTCAAAAATCTATTACTCTCTAGAGTGTTAAGTACTCCTTCCAAGGTTTTTTTGCTTTTTGAAATGTATTGTCAGGCACTACTGAGATTAAAACTATGTCAAATCCCTTCTTATCATGGAACTTCAATTTCTGCAAGACATGCAAGATAAAGCCTACCATATGCTACACTGGTATGTTAGGTGATGAAGAAAGCCTAGAAAGTATGTTCCCATATTCATGCAGCAGCAAAATAAGACTTGAAAAGAAAACGCTAGGAAGATTTATATAGTTTAATTCTTTGGCTTCAGAGAGGCATGATGTGCTAGCTAGTAAGCATTCCAAACAGCGTTTTTGCAACTCTGCGTATGCTGCCCAGGGAAATACAGTGCTCCCTTTGAACAGAGTAAGAAGATACAGCCATGAATTTATTGCTTGCCTGCTGTAATTTAGCAATATAATGCTATTTGAAAGGGACTGAAACTTCTCCTAAGAATAAATTCTCTTTTTGCCGAGTTCTCAGTCACTGTGCCCAGAGTTTATTGTGCTATATGTCACTATAATCTGAAGTTCAGTGTTTATGTGCATTGCCATCATAATCTCAGTTGTTGAGATTTGGTTTCTGAAGTCACATGGGGAAGAAATTTGCTGTGTGACTTAAAGTTCATGTTTTAGCTTCCAGCAAAGACAATTTTTAGTTCACTAAATTGGTTCAAACTGGGAATGACAGAATGTACATGTCCACAGTTTAAAATTTCCTCCCATCTTTATATAAAAATTGCATTATTTCCTTTTACAGTGGTTTTAATATCACTTACTTATGGTTTTTTTTTTTAAGAAAAATACAAGATTTTATCTGAATCTGAGATTTTTCCAGTTAATCTTTGCATTGTATTTTCAAAAAAAAAGTAATATTAGAGGACCAGGCTATGTTTGTGCATAGACAAATCCACCAGTGTTGTTCTCCCCACACCAACTGAACATTTTAGAACTGACTATTCCTGCTGGGATGGATAGCTTTATTCAATTGAAAAGAAACAGAAAAAAAAGTTGAGACATGAACACATAGCTATCATCTCAAGTTGTTTGCAAAGTCACATATAAAGTCCTAGAGCAGTTTTTAAAAGCCTTACTTTGAAAACAGTTTGTACAAACAAACAAAAATGTTTTAGAATGATGTGAGGTGATGTCAGTTGTGTCAGTGTAAGGGGAGGAGTTAAGTGAACGACAGTGTCTGAGCTTAAAACCTCAATTTTGGATATTTCTTTCACATGTGTACACATTTTACTCACTCTCCTACGTTTCTAGGAACAGTACATTAATCATTTTGTGTTTCTAGTTGCTCTTCTCCTGGGAAATGACTGGACCGGTGCCCTTTATGTCTGGGGATAATTTGGAGGCTGTATGGCCTAAGTCAGCGCACAACAATAAGATGATAGCACTTAGTAGAGTGGAGAAAGAGAGGGAACAGCTGTTGCTGTAGAGCACAAAGAGCCTCTTTGCATCAGAGTCTAAAACATGAATGAATATTCTTACAGTACATAATACCTGCTTTAAATCTTCTTGTCTTGGAGGTTAGTTACAGGAGGAAAACTTGTTGAACAATGCTAATGTTTTTAGGGAGAAAGGTTTCTTAGATCTTTTCTCTAAATAAAAAAAAAATGGAAAGGGGGGAATGTCGTAGAAGTTGAGCTTTGTTTATAATGTTATAAGAAAAAAATACAACATGCCAAGGAAATTGCAACTAAGGCAGCTTCTAACATGTGAATGCAAAATGCCACGGTAATGAATTATTAGAAAGTACTCTATATATATTTTCTTAATTCTTTTTTCTTTTTTGACCCTGTCAAGCCTGTAGCAATAGTAGTACTTTTTTGTCTTCATTAGCTTCAGCTTTTCTTTTACTTCACTGTAGATTCTCCCTTCCCCATTTTTTGGATTTTCTTCAAGCTGATTTTTAAAAGTTTTGACTTGCTATTATGTGACATGGAATTTCAGAGTTTTCATCAATGTCTAGAATTGCTTGCAAGAAAAATAACTTTTGGGAGATCTTAAAGTCCTGTGTTTTGCTAAACAATTACCTTATCTTAAAACTGAGTTTATTTCTTAGTTTTTCCAATACCCTACCACTGTTTCCAATTTACTAAATATAAGAATGAACATCTATGTCACTAAACTGTTAGGATGGTTTTAGCCAAATGTGGCCTTTTCCAACTACCATGCTCCCCAAATAATCTCTTGGCATGTTTCAGTAGTTAGCATGAAGCAGAGAGCATTTCCAGGCAGCAGTTTGCATGTAGCCTACCCTACTTTTGGACTTTTAAGAAGGTTGGCTATGAACTAGCTGCCCTTGGCTCCCATAAACTCATATGGATAGAGTATGAGTTGATGGGCTAGACCCTGTAGGTTCGATGCATGGCTGAGACACTGCCTTGCTGCTTTCATAATGTAATGAGCATATATCATATGAAACAGGATTAATGCTACACACTTGAAGGCATTAAAATAAACCATGTCTCTGAGTCTTCTACCTTTTTTCCTCTTCAGGCTTTTGCTTGTTCTGAGGAATTGCAGTCTAATGATGTGTTTGAAATAAGGATTAAATGAGCATTTTAAATGTTTCACAGGATTTTGGTACAGCATTATTAATCAGTGGAGTCAGAATCTTTAATTTCTTTTCCTTTTAAAGAACATTCCAACTGAATATAATCCTTCTATACTTTATTTTTCTTGTCTGTAGATCAGAATTAATAATACTCTTATTTAAAGATGGAGGACCTAATAAATGGAGAGTAATACTGTGTAGCCCTTATTGTTCATGAGAGTTTTTCAGGCACTTCTATTGGAAGTGCAATGTGTCCTTTTTTTAATGCCTTTTTTTATTCCAATCTTTTAGGATCTCAGCAGCAAGGACATGAAGAGAGATTTGTACATAGTTGCCCATGTAATTCGAATAGGTACAGTATGATTTAATGTTTGAAATATATATAATTAACAATGTTTTTACAGTATTTTTAAATGTATGTTTTAATTAACTGACATTATAATGATTTAACCAGTTAGACCAACTCAGTCACAGACCATGCCTATCTGCTGAGATTAATATTAAGACCATAGGTAGCTAAGCATTATAAAGTTACTGATGATTGTTTAACAGTGGATTTTTTTTTACTTAGTCTGAAAGAAAATAACTTATTAAACACCACATTTGGGGGAGGAGGGAGGAACTAAAAAGGCTTTTTGTTTTATGTTCCAAAATTTCAAATGAGGTCTTTTTATTGATTATATATATATTTGTATAGTTTACAGGGCAGATGATTAGCATACCTGACCATTCACATTTAGTAAATCAGAAGCTCTTAGACAGGTACATATAAAGATCTGTTTTCTGCTGTAGGAGTCTGTGGTGCTTCCAAGCACCCACACGGGTGTTTAGGGAGATGCCAGTAAACCATAAGAGCAGGGAAGCTGTCACACCTGCCAGGTGCTCTGTCTACCTGCTGATGCCAAAAAGGAGCATTAAGCCTATCAAGCTTGCAGCCCAACGTTTCACAGCATCCACTTGCTTCTTTCCAGGTTCTCTTGGCTGCTCACAGAGCCATGCAAAGGAGAGATCTGGATGCGTAGTGCCTAGACCTGACCCTACACAAGGAAGAAAGCCCTTCCTTGCTAACTCACTTGACTAGTCACCCTTTATAGAGTGGGTTTCTCTGACTATTCATAGGCTAGGCCAGGCTTCATTTTTTGGTTTTGAGATTCATAATAGAAAGATTGGAAAGTGCTTATGATTGAAGTTGAATTTACAATGTCTTATACGGTATAGTCTTATACAGTATAGTGCAGTGCTCAAAGTAGTTCACGGACAGCTAGATGAATTTTTTAGCCCCGCAGTGTGTTTAAGTGACTATATGACTTCTGGTATGTGAATTAAATTGCTAGAATCTCTTTTAGGTGGTAGGTGTTGGATAGAAAAAAGCTCTAGTTAAAAAGGATATAATTAGTTAGTAACAGGGAGTTAAATGTTTCTAAATTATGAATGTGTGTACTTTTACTGAGAAGGTGACTAGTAAATATTTTACCTACGTTAAGTATAACTTGTTTCAAACATTGAGGCCTAAAATGTTAACAACATATAATAGGAATAACAGACAGTCTCTTCAGTTCTATTATTCCAAACAACTGGGTAGTGCACCATTTTTCAGGTTTTCAGTTAACTGAAAAATGACTAGGTAGTGTTTGCAGTGAAAGGGTATTTAACCCTATTTCCAGCCCGCTCACTGCTAGCATCCGTTACCAGCCACAGACACCTTTTCTGAAGTACAGAGGGTCTAAACAGTTTAGTGAAACCATAACTTTGTTGTGTTGTCCTGTGAATGTCAATATGCATTCTAAATCACAAATGTGTTAGAAGGATTGTTTTTTTATTACCTGACTTCACTGTGACATGAAGTGTCAAAGGTTAGAAATACTCTGTATCGCTTGAGATGATAAATGAAGCTTGTAGAAAGATCTGCTGTAGTTCAAGCTCAGATTTTTAACCTTGATGCAAGAAGTGCTGGACAAATTATTATGTGTAGTGTTACAAATTGGCTTAGATTATTTTAGTGATTTTTCTGGTTTTGGCATTTTTTACTCTATTTAAAAACTGCTTTAACAATAAGTTAATCATTGAACAGCTTCGTACCTCAGAATTCTCTTTTATGCACTCCAAGACAAACATGATAAATGACACAATATATAATACATTACCTTAAAGCAATTGTATAAAGTGAAAATTTATGTAAATAATGGAAGGACCACAGTGAATCTCTGTGTGGATGCAGAGAGGGGAGTACAAGCTGTATTCTTAGCTCATTCAGCATATGATTTGTAGTCAGCCCTGCTGGATGCAAATACATGTCATGGAGCTGCAAATCAAAGATGACCAGACATGACGGCGTTCACTTTGCCCTTGAGTGTTCTGTTAGCTAAATGAGGTGATGTGCTTTAATCGGAGTAGCCCAGTGGGTCAGGTAGGTTCAAATGGACCTCTGGATTTGAAACAGTGTAAGAAGAAAAAAGAGTGGGAACTTGTGGTGGGTTGACCATGGCTGAGTGCCAGGTGCCCACCAAGCTGCTCTATCATTCCCCTCCTCAGCAGGACAGGATAGGGGAGAAAATAAGATGTAAAAAAACTCACGTGTCAAGATAAAGGCGGTTTATTAAAGCAAAAGCAAAGGCTGTGTGCAGCTGCAAAGAAAACCAAAAGATTTACACTCTACTTCCCATCAGCAGGCAATGTTCAGCCATTTCCTGGGAAGCAGGGCTTCAGTATGCATAGCAGTTGCTCTGGAAGACAAACATCATAATAACAAATGCCCCCCTCCTCCTCCTTTCTCTTGGCTTTTATTGATGAGCAGAGCTCATATGGTATGGAATATCCCTTTGGTCAGTTTGAGTCAGCTCTCCTGGCTGTGTCCCCTCCCAAGATCTTGGCCATCCACAGCCTATTGGGTGAGGTGGGGGAAATGTTGGAGAGACAGCCTTGATGCTGTGCGAGCACTGCTCAGCAGTAGCCAAAACACTGGTGTGTTACCAACACGTTTGTAGCCACCAATACACAGCACAGCAATGTGAGGACTGCCATGGGGGGAAATTAGCTCCATCTCAGCCAGAGCCCATACAGAAGTATAGGAAAGACTGCAAGCTGTAGTTGAAATCTACTGTAGGTGTGCATACTTGGAGGGAAAATAGAACAGAATAGACTGAATGGCTGCATGTGAATCTCTAATATTTTAAATTTCTGTTAATTTCAGGCCGCATGTTGCTAAATGATTCAAAAAAAGGACCCCCTCATTTACACTATCGTCGCCCCTATGGCTGTGCAGTATTGAGCATCATGGATGTACTTCAGTCAATCTCTGAAATAAAAGAAGAGAAGGATTTTGTTCTCAAAGTTTACACGTGAGTAACTCCCAGAAGGGAAAAAATTAGGAAAACCACCGTGTATATGGTGGGTGATGAGACATTAAAGAGATATTAAATATCAAGGTGACACAAACTACATTTGCTGCTTTATCCTCCTCACGAGGTAGACTAGTGCTGTTGGCAATGTGTTTTGCTCCTTTATTATTCCAGAAACTCATAGAAACTAATGAATATGATCACAGATGTTTCAGATATGTGGAATGCTTCCAAAATTATTGAATATTGCCCAAATCTATGTGACATGCAAAGCTTCACTTTTATTAATGTGATCTATTTAAAATATACTAAACTTAAACCCAAAGAAATATACTGTATTTCACCTGATGAAGGGAATAGTTACTCACGCCAAATCTCCTATTCCTTGTCAGTCATGGTGACCAACAAAAGAACTGGAAAGCAAGTGAAGTCAGCAGTGCGTGACCAAAACACTCAAAGCAAGTCATTATTTTTTGAGCAAGAATCTATCTTCAGTTATTTGTGATTTTGATCTTTGAACTAGCAAATTCTTATTATGAAATGTGGTCTCACAGTTGTAATAAAGAGGCCACAGACAAACTGTCTGGAGGCTGTAGAGATTATTTAAATCTCTTGTCGGTGCGGATAAATACTGGCAAGATCTGCTCTGCAGATGGGTTGAGATACAACTGACATTACTTTGTGGTCTGTGGCCACTATTTTGAGTAATAATATAATTTGTGGGGGTTATAGAACTTTGTTATTCTTTGATAAGTACATTCAGCAGTAGAAAATCTGACATTCAAAGGAAACTATAAATGAAAAAATGACTTTCAGTGTTCACTGAAAGATTCTTGGATTTCTGTTCATACATTAGAAAACTCTAAGTCCAAAGAAAAGTCTTTCAGAGTCAGCTCTTACATTCTTATTTTGCCAACAGTTATGAAAACTGTAGCAAAAATGTCAAGCTACAGGGAAGAAAATAGTCGTCTTTCTTTTCTTTGTCAGTAGAATCTGGATAATCTTGGCATTTTGTCACCATTCAGTTTTAGCTTATCTCAAACCAGTGGTTTCTGGTTATATAGTTTATGTTAATATTGGCCTTGTAGATATGGTCTTAATATATTGTAACTATAACATTTTGAATGTTCACAGTAATGGAACATTCTGAATATCAGATTTCTGTTTTGATGCCCTTTTAATGCGTCTTTAGCGTCTTATTCACTGAAAAATAGGAGAGAAAAAACTTGCAAAATACCAGACCTCTCCATTTGCCAGTGACAAATAAAATCATGCAGCCAGTTAGAGCAATACAAAGTCCTAGTATTATGATTAAAAAAACAGAGAGCTTCCCTTTTCTTCCTCTTAATCTGAAGTGTTTTGTTAATATGAATTTTCTTCACACCACCCCGAAGTACCAGCTGTATCTGCCTAAATGCTTGAGTAGGTTTATTCCAGCTGTTGTTCTTCACATCTGCTTCCCCATACCCTTTGTTTTCAACATCCACGCGCAGCCATTACTGCGTTTCCAGAGAGAAACTAGACCCCATAACAGAATTCAACTCTAATCAGATGCTTGTAATTTTTTATCGCTATTATCATTCATTTGGCTTGTTGTAAGTTTTGTACATCATTCTTTTATATTATTGCTCTGTAAACCTCCAACAAGAATCTTCAAAAGGGAAAATGGATATATCTAAAGGGCACCGGCTCTTCCCTTTTGGAGTTTTAATAGCTGTTGGTCTTCCATGACAGAAAGATTTATCTCCTTGAATCTTCTCTTTGCACTTTCTTTTAGCTAACTTACCTTTTCTTGCTTTGTAGACTAAAATTGAAATGACAGATTTTTCTCCTTTGTAATTTTAAAATTGTATATGAATGCTTAAACAACACTAAACTTATTTTCTTACCTGCTGCTCTCATTTTGATTATTGTTAAAATGCCTCAGGCCTACCCGAAAACATCATAAATATGAAATAAGGAGGGATGTGTATTTGTATTTTTAAAGGGGCAGTAAAAAGCATTCTTTTTGCACACTATCTGGCTAAAGCTTACTGCTGCCACAGATGAGACAGTCAGAATACAGCCAGAAAAGCCTTTTCATGGGGAGAAGCTGGAAAAAATTTGAGACAAACCCAACAGAGGCTGAAACAAATACATGATGTTTCAATGGAGACCTTTCCTGGATCCATAAGAGAGAATGCTTACAGGGAGAAAAAAAAGTAATCAATTTGCTTCCAGTCTTTCTCAGCTTGCTGCCTTATTGTTAAAGATTTATGTCTGAGAAATACTTCTTTCTCACAATACAGGTTTTCCAGTTTGTTAATCCTGCAGTCATGTTATAATCTTACTAAGAGGATATAGTACTGCAGTTCTGGTTATAAGCTTATTATGTAAAAGCATGAAGGTTTACTTATAATTCTTTTTAATAATATACATGTAAAATATTTTAGAATTGAGATGGAAACTAAATTCTTGATCCTTTTTTTTTTGAGGTCACTTGATTTCATATTTTTATATAAATTTTTATCTTTAATGGAATTTTTTGCTCACTGAATGTTACTCTGTGTCAATCCTCCTATTCCCCTAAAAACCTCATGTATTTCTCTTTCATGTTATCTTTTTTTTCAATTTTACTTTTTGTGCTATTTTCTCTCAATCCTTTATTTTTCTTCTTCTCCAGCGCTAGCTCTTAAAATTCCTTCCTATTAATGTGGTGTATTGCCTGAATGCCTTTCCCTTCTGATACTCAGTTGTTGCTATTTGCCCAGCTGGACAAGAGCATACATTGCATTTCTGTCCCCATCTGTTTGACATCAGGGTCTGATGTAGTATGGCAAACATTCCAAATGATAAATTTACTGTAGAACCAGCCAACCTGAAAAGGTAATGGATGGCTCAGGAGAAAATTCTTATTTAAACAAGAAATGTATTTTGTAATATATTTGGTATTTAGACAAGTAAAATGTTAACACAATAAAATGTATTACAAGCAAGTGTTTTCAGGCCAGCATTTCAAATTTGGGAAGAATATTCTTCTCCTTTGTATTCAGGAAATGTAAAGTGCAGCTTACATTGGTAGTCAGTACAAAACTAGCTCTAAGCTATCTTTACAGTCCATTGATTTTGGGATAACTTTGTTCCAGGTTAATTCGCAGGCATAAGTCATTGGAGGCTGAAATCTATTTTAACTTGCACTCCAGAGCCTGGTACAGCAACTAAAAAATGATCAGAGGTTAGAAATTTTCTGTAGTCTCAGCTGTGAGGATGGAGGATGGTATAGAATTTGTCCTATAGGTTATCGCTCTACTTTAAGGATAATATTATTTGCAGTAGGACAAACGACTTTTAATGTCTTGGCAATGTGAAGATAATTACTATTTTTTTCCTGACGAGTAAACTTATTGTTCATTAGTAGCACGGAACACCACAGTTATTGAAAGGGCTTTTGTACCATCCATTAATGTCTCAGCTCTGTTGTGTTCTGGTTTTCGCAGGTTGTTTTGGGGAGTTCAAATACAGTCAATTTGCTATACTGTTAATTCTGGAGGGTCACTTCAGTGCTGACCTGTCTTGAGTTACTGTGTGAATAGCTGATCTCTCCTCCCAAAAAGGATATAGTAGTTACAGAAGGTATGGAGTAGAGCAACTAAAATCTTTAATGGCATAGAGTAATTTCTTAGAGAGATTGAGAATGCAGGGAGCTTCAGCTTGAAGAGGAGAAAAATTGTGGTGGGAAGGGATACGACTAAGATTATAAAATCATTGTGGAGGGTACGTTGTCATTTACTGAATACAACAGTACAAGAATGAGGGATGCTCAGTGAAATTTGCAGGAGAAGATGGAAGAAAGTACTTCTTAATAAAGCAGGTAATGATCTTCTGGGTTGTACAGCCACAGGATGTTGTGAAGACAGGCAGTACTAGCAGATCCAAAGGGAATCGGACAAGTTTATGAACAACAGGTCCATAAACAGGAACGGGAAGAGACAGGGAGGTACTGACATCCCTAATCCAACAACCTCAGAGCCTGGCTGCTCACGTACCCTGCCCAAGTAGTATCTCCTATTGCCAGCGTGAGAAGCTTTGGTTTTTTAATGTTTGTACGTTTTTAACAATCAGCTGAGATGTCTGATACCTAAAGTCACTGCGGTGAAAGGAGGAATGTTGAGATAGCTGGAGCTAAAATTTCAGGTGGGATATTCCCAATCTAACTGAACCCGATAACCCGATTACCACCTACTATTTGTTCTAGATAGCCTTGATTCCTTTTGCCATACTATTCTTTAGTTACATTATACAGCAGACAAAAAAATCCCTACTGTCTTTAAAGCAGCTGATTCGTATCTTACCCTGATTTTGCTGACATTACATACTCTTGGGGGGGAAACAAAAAAGGGAAAAAATGTTAATATGCTTGGGAGAAGTTCTATGGTTCTGTGAAGTAACTTATTTTTCAAGACCCCTGTCTTGATAGGAGCTCAAGGCTTATAGTCTTTGGGTTTTTTTGTTGGTGTTTGGTTGGGGTTATTTTGTACTTTCAAGGGTCAGTAGGACAGAAGTTTAATTTCATTGTTTAATTCAGTTGCACTTCAGGAAAAATAAGATTCATTATTGTTGCTGAGTTAAAAATTGCTGAAGTCATGGGGAATCTTTAAATCTTGCAGTTGTGATTTAAATAAGCACAGTTGAGTTTAAAAGGCAATTAGACTTGATCAACATACTGGTTTTGCTTCTTTTTCTTTTCTAACCAATAGCACTGTTTGTGATAAAGGTTCCATTTTTGTTTTTCAGTCAGACTATTATACTAGTAAAATTGTTATTTCAGCTGTGCTTACGCTAAAGTACTTCATAACATTCAGTATGTCCCTCCATTATGTGGTAACAGGCTATAGCACTGATGGCACTTTTTGCCCGGTATGATTCTGTTCAAGCTTAGTGAGTTTAGCAGGTTGGTTATACAGGTTTACATACACAAGTGCAAATAAAGTCATGTGGCATTGATGCTAAGATGAGTAAGAATCCTAATTCAGGGTGACAGGGGCCTCTCTAGTCCAACCTCCTTCTCAGAGCAAGTCCAGCTGTGAGACCAGACCAGGATGCTCAGGGCTTTATCTAGTCTTGTCTCAGTAGCATCCAAGGATGGAGACTGCACAGCCTCTCCAGACAACCTGTTCCAGTCATGCTTGACTGTCCTCATGGAAAATCTTTTTCTAATATCCAGGCTGAACCTTTCTTGCCTGGGTTTATGCCTGTTGCTTTACATCAAATCACTATGCACCACTGACGAATCTGGCTGGCTTTTTTAATAACTGCTTGCCAGTCTTGGAAGGCAGCTGTTAGTGCTCCCCCTCTTGCCTTGTCTCCTGCAGGCTGAGAGAGCCCAGGCCCCTCAGCCTCTCCTGCTCCAGCCACCTGCCCATCCACAGGACTCTCTGCAATTGTCTGTTTTGTATTGGAGAACCCAAAACTGAGCACAATATTCTAGATCCAGACTAACACCTGCCAAGTAATGTCTTTTCCCAACTGACAGTAGAGACATATAAGCAAATATTAAATACTGGTATGTTGTGTAAACAGTAATTTACAAAATATAGTTCTGAACACATCAGTGGAGAAAGTTTAATGGATAAAGACTGTCTTTGCTTTGTGAAAAGGTTTGGGAAATTCACTAAACATATAGCATGGGCTCCTTTTTGTGGGAGTAAGATTTTGAGTTGAGTAAAAGTTGCAGGATGAAAAAAGTCCTGAAGTATAGAGATATATATAAAATATGATACAGTAATGTAGCTCAGTAAGAATTTATATATACGTAGGGATTTTTTATTTTCCAAAATGGTAAGTTAGAAAAATGCTTCGGTGCTTGCAAAACCTATATGATGCCTACATTTTGGTCCTTACCACTGTCTTAATACCTGAGCTGTGTTGTCTTTGAATATCTAAGTTAATATATAAACTCTGTGGAAGAGCTTAGGCATTAGTTATTGTCCAGAAACAAGGAAACTTAATGAAACTGAAGATCTGCCTGTATCTGATGAGCAGCTTTATTGTATAGACAGAACCAGGAGACCTCTGTAGATGCTGATGACACTGAATCCAGTGCTGAACACAACAGCCATAGTCACTTTCATTAAAAACACAGCTCACAAGAAAGAAAATTGTATGGGTTATCTTTTGTGTAATAGCTTAGTCAAGAGGGACAGTTCAATTCTTTGCGCCCCCTCTGTGTGTATGTGTCTCATACAATGGGACAGTATCCTATGGACTCAGAACACGGGGCTTGTTTCCTTGAATACTTTCCCAGTGGCACTGCAATTCTTGCATTTTTGGCTTTCTATCCTGAACAGAAGGGTGGCACTTCTGACTCAGGTGCCCAAGATCCAGAAAGAAGAAAGCATCCAGTTGTGTTCTTGTTCTGTTGCCTGCTTTGTTGGTGCTCTGCTCACATGATTTTTTTTTTATTCTGTTGTCATTACAAGGAATCTGTATTTCTCTCTGACTGGAAAGGAAACTGAAACATCTGCTGCTGGTGCTCTCAGCCATCTCTATCACAATGTAATTTCCAAATGCTGCAGTGTCCCTAATTCTCTCTGCAGAATCTTGCCATCAAAGTAATGAGAATATCTACAGCGATAATGATTTACAGAGTTTTGTTTTGTTTTGTTTTTTAATATTGCTCCACTTCAAAATATTTATACATAAGACATGAAATGGAGAAGTAAGAGATACTTAGTTTGACTTTTTACTCCACACAGTCTGATTTTTGCCATGATAGAATGGCATCTTGCTGCAGCAGAGAACGTAGCCTGTTCTTTGTTACCCTCATATCTTATTGTTGTCTTTATAAGTCTCATTAACTTGTATTTTGAAGCTAATGTATTCCAATTTGAGGAAACAATCCTGAGAAAGGTTAAGAACGAAGGAAAGACTTGGAAGTTAGCCATAAAACAAGCAAACAGAAGGAAATTCTCACATAGATGTGTGCGATGTCACGCAATTAGTCCAAAGTATCCAAAATTGCTAAGGGCATCGGGATGGTGACGGGAGATGTTAGGAGCTGCTGAATCCAGTAGCCAGACAGAGGTCAGGCTGCCACAGCTTCATGCCCTCAGATCCAGCCGGGTGCGAGGCTGAGCCTGTATCCCACATGTACATACACACAACACAGACACATACAGCCAGCCGTGCAGATCAGCATGGGCAGAAAGTGCACGCTCACACAGATACATACGGCCCCAAAGGTCTCATCCTATTTTCCTCTCTGATTTATCAGGGTAACAATTTGTTAGTGGAAAACATGTTCACATATATGCACTACAAATCCTTCCAGTCCCTGGTGTGAGACACTCAGTTCAGACACAGGGCATGGCCAGACAGGCCACCTATTTACATATAAATGGGTAATTTTATACTGTTATCCCTTTGTTTCCCTACAGTTCATTATTAAGTTTTGAACAATCCCCAAATGCCCTACCCCAGCATCCCCATAATGAGTCCTGTATGACCAAAGGCAGTAACCCATTCCAGACTTTAAAGGGATCCAGAGAGCCTTTCCAGCTGACTCATCTTGATGGATTTCATACCTGGACAATGTGCTGAACATCCTCCCGCAGCAGCCATTGTTCCACTTCTCCTTCATGTTCAAGATGAGCCTTTAACAGGAAAGATAGTAAGAAATGTTTAGGACAATTTTATTTATAGGTGCTGCCATGAAGTGGCGGACTTAGAAAGATGTACATCTAGTGGGTTTGAATCTGATTGTCTGATCAAAGGCAGTGCAGCCAGATACCCTGCCTGAACATTGTTTGAACAAGGTTAGAATTCACACACCAAGTTATTGAAACTGATATTAGCAACTGAATTTTTCCTGGTGAAAAAATATTGAGTGCAAATATGAGAAATCTGTTGACAATTATATTGTAATTTCTATCCTAGAAATTTACTGAGTATTAACAGATGGTAATGTAACTGAATGTGAAATATAACAGTATTTACAAATGCTTATTAAAATTTCATATAAATGAATAAATGGTTGTGAAATTCTCCTTCAGAAGATGATATACATGCAGAAGCTTACTTTATGTTGTTATATATTTTTGTCCTACAGTTTGGGGGGGTTGCATCATGTTTCAAGGCATTCTGTAAACTATGTAGGTAAGCAAAAGTTTTTATGTAAATACTTGAGATACTAAAAAAACCACCAGGGTTTTATTTATTCTTTCAATTTTCACTTTTCTTTAACTTTTTTCCTAATTAAAAATAATATATATGGCAACAGTTAATTTCAGCTTAAAATTTGTTTTCTACATGCACAGAATTCAAATAGGATACCCAGACCTTTCTTTGTTCTGTCATAATACGAAGAGTGAAACAATGGTTTTGATGACAGAAATGTCACCACAGGCTCCAAAGTGTCCATAAAAAGGAGATAACTATTAGGGAATGTTTTGTGTCCTTCCACTTTTAAAAACAAGAGTTATGTGGGATTTCTCTCATTCATCAAAACCCCACAACCTTTCATGTTATCGCTACAGCACCGTTGACTCTCCTGTTCTAATATGGTTCAGCAGAAAGCTTTTAACTTGAATTAGTGTTCTTTTATTTTAGGTGTAACAATGAAAATGAATGGTGCCAGATCCATGAAAATATTATACGCAAGTCCAGCACCAAATACACAGCGCCCAGCTCAAACTATGGTAAATATTTACTTATACATTTTTGTCATAATAACAGCGGAAGATTTCCTTTAGGAAACTGTTAATTATAGCAGCCAAATTCAGGGAGATGCGAGACATGCATAGCTGAATTTCTCTACTTGTGGTCATTTAAAAGTTTAGCTAAAACTCATTCACATTCAGTTTACAGGTGAAAATCTATATTGCATCTGCCACTTTAACCAGGAATTTAAAAAAAATCAAACGCCTGATATCTTTCCTTCACAGATATGGCTGACAATAATATTAATTCAGCATATTACATTTCCTTCATCATTATATCTGTAATGTTATTTTATCTCAAGGGAGGTCAGCAGTGGAGACAACTATCACTTATTGGCTGTTAGAGTTACCGAGTGTATTCATGCTTGTGAAAACTGCTAGCCCATGGGAGGATACAATATAAGCAGCAGTCAGCATTGGCCAGACTCCTTTAAAAGTTGGGGTTTTTGTGACACTGTCTTAAGTTACTGTGACCAGACTTGGCTGCACACAAAATGAAGAACGTAATTTTATTAATCGGATTTTCCCTGAGTAAAACGGTCTTCCTTTTCATCCTGTATGTATCCCCTTGAAAATTCCAGGTACAACACATATCTAAGACTTGTTCTCCTGAGGATACCATGCATCCTTGTCAACCAAAGCAAAGCCAGAGGTTAAATTTGTCTAGCATACTTGTCTGACTGTTCAGAAAACTCAGATTGTCCAGAAAATAAGCAGTGTTTTCGTACCTACGAATTAGTTATCAGTAAGACTTTCTGTAATAATTTCAATACAAAATGCTTCATTGCATAGTTGAGGAGAATAACTGTTTTGGCAGAGTTTTTGCCACCTTTCAAATCCATTTTTATTCTCCTAGCTAATGGCATATAAATATGGCAAGTAAATCTTGTCCTATCGTGTTACCTCATTTAATGATTTCTGTAGTTCACTAATTCAGAGATGCTATTACTGTTCCATTCCATATGAACCAGCCAATAAGATACAGTTCTGCTTTGTAACAGCTAGTTTTGCATTCATTACCTGATTCATTGGCATACTCATGTCCAAATACTGATACTGTCTTAATTTCACTTGTTTGTGTATTGAGATACTATAGTGGAATATGCAGTTCACACTCCCATAGAAGATATTAAGCACAGCAATAAGCAAACAGAACGATTTTGGGGTTTTGAATTTTATTAGATACAAAGCTGGTCTCCTTCCCCGCTGCTCCTCCTGTTATAGTTAAGGTCATCCACCACTTACCATTAAAACTTTTTCTTGAATTGTTTATAACTTTGAAAACTTGGACTGCTTGCATTTATTTCTAATGCCAGGTGTCTGCCTAAAACTTTTATTTTTCCAACCATGAGCTTTTTTGAAGAGCAGAAAGAAAGGGAAATATATAGGTTTTTACCCTTGTCTTTGGCTTTTTAAAATAATTATTTGAAACATTTCATTGAGATCTAGTGCATCTCTGGAATAAGAGGTTGAAACTTGGCAGAGGTATTGTCCTGGTGGGAGGGGCAGGATTGCAGGCTGACATGATTTAAGCGTAAGTAATACAATTTGGGCCTCTCAGAACCTGCTCTTAAAGTGAGAAAATGCTCAAATCATAAGTGTGACTTTTTCCCTGAAGAAAAGCTTTCTGGTTCTTTCTCTCCCCACCTTCCCAGGTGTTGTGTAAAATTAGCCCTTCAGATCTGCTGCAAGGAACAGGAAAAAAAAATGAAAGGATAGACTGAGTAGAAAAGAGGACTGGAGAGTAGATTTACAAAAACTCTTGGGGAGAGCAAGAAGCTAGTCTGAAGTTTTTTGGGGTGGAATATGTGGGAGTGTATCACGTAAGTAGTATATGTAATACCATGCTGGAAAATTAGATATTCTGTCACCCCTAGGGAAACTGACTTTTAAAGATTAATTCCTGTGCTGTTTGTTAAGTACTGGGGGTGTGGGGGGGTCTTAACTTCCAAATTTGCTCCAGTCCTTAATGATGGAATTTTTTGAATTTGTTTGTTTTTTATAGCAAAAGAGGATATAAAATGAACAAGTTTTTCTGTAAGCGGCAAAAATAGTCAAGACTGATTTCTAATGAACTTGTCTCCTGTGTCCTATTCTGTGTTCTGTAACACATACACACACAGATGTACACTCATACAATGATATTCAAAGGGTCTGAATTTTTTCCATTATTATAAAGCCTCTGTTTTCCATGCAGTACTTTGCAGCACTCTTATGCCTACTTAGCTGGACAGTTGTAAGTCCATGTTTTGGCAGCTTTTGAGTACATACATGCTGATTGTCCAGCTGGCTGATTGGTCTCCCTTTTCCTTTGTTTTAAGACTTTATGCTCTTTTTTTTATCCCAACTTGCAGTATTCATAAAATTTATACAATCTTCATGTTATCTAGATATCTACTAATTTTCCAAATTTGGATGAAGCCAAACAACAAGCTTGAAAATTATTTCAAGGAAAGAGAGCAGAAAGTGGGTGGGAAGTACGTGATATTACTGGTTTCATTCCCCTAGTAACTTGTCTAACAAAATGGCAACTAAACATTGTTCACAAAGCCCATACATCAAGCTTAGGAAATAGCAGAACTTTAGATGGCTCATGCAAGAATATGTATACAAGGCAGTGTTTGGTTTTGTATGTGTTGTTCCAGAGAGAGAACAGAAAGAATAGAAACAAACTGTAGACTAACTATCATTCACTGAGTGAGATAAAGATTGAGGAAAATTACTATGTGAACGTAATTCACATTGATAAGTGAAGCCGGTAATATATGCTCAGCAGATGAGACTAAGCCTGCATGGTTGATCTCAATCCTGGCATGTTCTGGTATCAAAATGCTTGACTTTGTAACTTCACCAGTACATTATCCTCATTTTAGGGGTGTAATATGCTGTAAATTAAAAGCAGCTAGAGAAAGCAGTTGTACTGAAGATTAACCATGTAATTATTCCTAGTCAAGCTATTCAGTTGGTACACTGAACAAAGGATTGCATTGAAAGAGCTGGTTGCTGAAGTCAGTTTGACCAGTTGGTACTCTTGAAACATGTTGAGATACTGAAGGGAATTTCATTAAAATCAATATTCCTATATGAAGTAGTTAAAGAAACAAGTGGAACAGATATGCTTGAGATTTATTCTTTTTGTGGTACTAAGTGGGATTAAAGACACTTTAGAGATGTTCTGCGGCAGTGTCATGCAGTAGTTCAGATGGAGGTGACACTGCTCATACATGTGTTGTAACCGCTGAATGTGACAAATAGAAATAATGCTAAGTACTTCACTGTAACATGTGACATCTCTGTGAAATTAAGTATTCCGATTTTTTAAAAATTTATTTTAACATAATGTCATAGTCTTAACTGATCCCTTAAAGCAGTTCTGTTTCTTCCATTTCAGCTTTAAAGTACTCCAAGGGAGAAAATAACTCTGTATTTATGTTTTTATTAAATTAACTATGAAGCAAAGCATTATTTTACCCGCATGCCTTATATATACAGACATCTAATTCTTAGGTCTGAAAAAAGGAACATTTTTGTTTTTTCCAGGACTTATAATATCTCTTCAGCTTCTTCGTGGCGACATGGAGCAGATTCGAAGGGAAAACCCCATGATCTTTAACAGAGGTGTTTCTGTTACCAGAAAGCTGGGTTTTCCTGATGTTATAATGCCAGGTAAATATAACTGCTCTAATCTGAAAATATTGGTCATTTTTTTTCTCATACGTGCCTAGACAAGTGCCACTGAGATGGGTGCTTTACTTGAAGATGAGTAATAGAAGAGTTGTCTTACTTATCAGTAAATGCCGATTCCAGATTCAGGGAGGCATACTGAAACACTTTCATCAACAAACATTACAGTAACACAGGCTGTTAAATTCACAGGTATAGAAGGTGATCTTGAAAGATTGCATTGATATTCAGCCCACCCCCTGCCAATATGAGATATCCATTGTGTATGATAAGCATAGGAATGTTTCTTTTAAAATGCATGAAATTTCTTCTTCCCAATAATCCAAAGCCTGGAAAAAGAGTTTCCACTTTGCCACCTTGATTTTTGAAGTTAGCATGATCCTTTTCTAGTGGTTAATAATACATGAGGCTGCAAATCTGGTCTGATTTTCCAGCTGGCCTTACAGAGCATCTAGTCCATGCAGCAGCTGTCTCGGCTGAAGCGTTGCTGTACTTTGCTCCCTATTTCTGGTGCAGCATCTTGGGATGCTTCTTGTTTTGACACAAGTTGAGGTAGCCCCAGCACAGTCAAGAGTTCATTTAGGAAAGAAACTGGAACCTAGCCAGTCATGCAATCAACAGATATAAAACCTGGCATTATACTGTCTTAATTTTTACAGTGTAGTAAGAAATGGATTTACTAATTATATTGCATGTAAAGCATTTGAAATACTACCTCATTGCTATGCATTATAACCAAGACCAAGGATGACTTTGCAGACATGGGAAATTTTATGAAAGCATAATGGAAAAAGTATCAGATTTTATTACTTGAAAGACTGCAGTGACACATCAGTATCAAAAGTAGTTGTAGCCTCATTATGGAGGTTCTTCAGAAAGCACAATAAAAATAGGGAGTAGGTGGGAAGAATTTATAGAAACTAAAGTAGAAGGATTCAGAACAGTCTATATTTTATTTACTAATGAACTTGAAAATAATAGTAATAGAGCAGCCGAGTAAGTGGGCTATAAAGACAATTATAAATTTTAGTTTTTAGTGACCTTATATTAGTTCCAGTCTTAACCCAAAGCAATCAAATACAGAAAAGATTAAATGTTGAATGTTGATGTGCAGACACAGCTGCTGCAAGGTGATCTGCTGTAATTGAGATCACAGCTAGATGTGTCAGCTAGAATAGCTAGATCACAGCCAGAAAAGTCAATGTCAAAAATAACATTTACATACCTGTATAAGTGAATTGATTCTCCTGCAAGAATTGTTTCATCCTCCATTTCTATGTATAGAGCTGTCCCTCAGGTGCTTCAGACCACTGAATTTTAACAATCCTAAGGAAGAGCTTTATGGCCTCAGTGTTCCCCTTAATTGTTTTTTCATTTTCTGGGCCCTAGTTTCTTTCTACAAGCTGGCATAGTGGGCTCTAGTCCCTGTACTTCTGCTGTGTTGGGCAATGCTTTTGTCCAGGGCTCGAAGCAGCAGGTTAGCAGCTTTCATGTGAAAAGTTCTCTTCAATTCAAAGGGGGCTACAAGAGGTCTGCATATAGAGAGTTTAGTTGCAGAGCTTTAGGCATTTGTATTTGGAAGAAGAAAAAAAAAAAGAGAGAAAGGCTTATATTTGTGGAGAAAGGCAGTTTGTCTTTAAACTCCAGGTAAGAGAAGAAAGGCAGCCAATGTGAATAGACTTTCATTGTAATGATATATTAGGACATTGTCAGAGTAGAGATGTGAAGAGAGAGGTAGCCATGAATGGTGCTCCAAACAAAAATTTTCAGTATTCTGGGCGTTCTCCAGAATAACGAAATCTGTGGAAAATTTAAGAGATTAAAGTATAATGTAATCTTACTGATGCATCAGTCTTCATTCTAATTACTTATTTTTATTTAAAAAAAAAAACTGTATGTTTGACATTAATCAAGTGACAGCAGATTCAAGTGACAGCCTGTTGTTTGCTTTTAAACCAGTAGATCAAACTGAGGTTTATCTAATGTCCAGGGTAGAATATATGGGTAGAGTGAATTATCTTTCAGGTGGATTAGACAAGCTACATGAACAGGGATTGCCAATAATTTACTTTGTGCTTATGTTCTTACAGGCAGAGTCAAACATTCCTTCTTAACTTTATTAGCATTGTGTAAAGTTAGAAAATATTTCATTTTGGGGGGAGAAAAAAACACTAAGGAAACAACAAAGAAAACTCCCAACCAAACAAAAAACCAAGCCTGTCATGCACATTAGCAATTCTCAACCATGTCTGCCGCTTTAATTGTCTTTGTCAAACTACCTTTTCCTTGCTTTGCTTCAGAACTGTTGCTTTCTCATTAAAGACAAGGTTTCCTCTTTCAGAAAAGAGAACAGAAAGTTCATGACTTGTATTTTGCAAGTGGATGCAGATTTTTCAAAGCAGTGTGATTTTAAAATGTTTTTATGAATAAATTAATAAAGGCTACGTCACCTAGTATTGTTAAAATATTCAGTGATCATTCTGCTGAACCAAGAAATCTATTTTTAAAAAAGTAAATAGCGCTAGCATTTCAAGTGAATCTTCTTGGTCACAGGTTTTAACATTTTCATTTTCTTTTTTAATAGGAAATCCTTTCACACGTACACATCTTAACCATTAAAACTCTGTAGCTGTGACTTACCACACAGTTCTCCTGTCCCATTTTGTTTTCTAAACAGCAGCATTAGTTCCTGTATCAAGCCCTCTTTTTCCCTCCCTCAGATATGAGCAACATAAGTGGTAGCAGGTCATCATTAAGAAATAAAGTGAAACCGGTCTTCATATGATTATATCTTGCATGGTTATGCAGAACAAGACTAATAGCCTACAAAATAACCATGCCTGTCTTCATTTCTAAAGATAAAATGTTCTTTGTTTCCTGCTGTGTTGTGATCTGAGAAGAGCATCATAAAGACTATGGGGTTTTTTGTCCGAATCAGAAGGGAATCAGTCAAACCAGCCTCATTAAGAGGTATGGTGGGGTTTTGTTCATTTGTAGTTTGTTTTTTTCTCTTTTCTAAATTGGTACTGGGTTTAAGACTGTCCATCTGATCCTGACAATTTTACCTTTCCCCAGAGATAAAAGCAATGAGGCATGTGCTGCTTGCCTTTTGGATTGCAACTTTATTTGTATACAGAACTTGCTGATCAGAAATCTATTGCATAGGCATGGCGTTTGTCAGTTCCCCAAAGGACATCCCTTCCCTTCCCCATGTGCTGATAAGTATTCTGTCTTTTACTTTGATCCTCTGATGAAAAGTGCATGCTTCATCTTCTACTTGTGAGTGATGTTTCTTTCTCTTTTTTTCTCTCTCCTTGTCTTAATTTCCTGGCTTCTCTTCTTTTCCTTTCCCTTTATTCTTTCCTCTTTCTTTCTGATGCAGAGATGAAGATAGTTGGGTGTAAGTTTCTGCTTTTCTGTCTAATGTCTGCTTATTGCTTGCTTTTTTCCATTTTCATATCTTTCATGGAATGTCGGGGATTGGTAAAGATAGCAAATCATGACATCATAGGAAAACTTTGGTAACAGAGAGGCATAGACTTTGTCTTACCAGTGTATCTTCCTACCACAGTGTTTCAGACAAATTTAGCAGCTATGACAGATGAATCAGTAATAAAGGTGAGAAACATCTCAGCATCTGTTGTCAGTGAGCACAAAGTCATGGCAAATACAGATTAAGAAAAGGACATGGCAAAATGCATCTGCTATATCAGAATGTCCATGTCAAGAGAGTCAACAAGACTAAAAGACATAATTATGTAATAATTATCCCCAAAAAGCATTTACAAGGAGAATAAAAAATACTTTTGTCATTAATAAACTTGCAGAAATAGGAGGTTAAAATACTAAGATGGAGGAGATAAGAAAAAAAATATATTATAAATCAACTCACTGCTACTTAAGGGAAACTTAGGGAAATCATTTAATTTAAAAAGACCATTGTATAAATTCTTTTCTAGACATCAAAGTCAAACAATGAATAGCAAATAATCCAGTAAATACTGTTTGCTCCTTTTCCTTGAAACAACTGAGTGTTCTGTTCACTAAAAGCTAGAGGAACACACAGAGTTAAACTTGCATAATGTTATCTTTATAGAAGAAAAAAAAAAGTTAATTAATTTGTTATACAGAGAGTAGATAAAAGCTCTCTTTCCCCTTGCTGCTGTAATGTTACTCACAATAATGTTAATGGTTGCATACTATCACTATTTCAAGAATATAGGCCTTGAAAAAAAAAAACTAGTGAGTGACTGGTGAGAGAGCAGAGAAATAAACTGCTGAAATATATCTAATATGAGTCTCAGAGACTATCTGACCATACTAGGCTTCTTAATTTTAACAGGCAAGTAGTAATACAGTGGGCAATACAGCAGTTGTACACCAATGTCAAAGGTGACTTCACTGTTAAAACAAGGAAAAATGATGCAGTGTGAGGCCTGACACTCTTAATCTTTTGTGACATGATTGAGAACACGTCCACAGTGGTCAGCCAGAAAGAAGGCCAGAAAGCGCTTGAAACACTTCCCATACGTTGCACTTTGTCGTTTTTTTCCTTTAGTCTGTTTTGAAAAAAATAACATGATGATGACAAAGCTGATGGTGGGCCTTGCTCTGTTAACCTGTTCTGTGTTGAAATTATTGCACTTCAGAAGTAGTTGCATGCTTTTCATTTGGAGAATGTCACAACTTAAACCAAGGGTGTAGTATGCTCTTTGAGATCAGAATCCAATTACTGGCACCCTGCTCTTGTGCAGCGGCCTCCCAGGGCACTGCAGGGAAGAGCTCTCCATCAAGGGAATGTCTGAATTAAGATGGTACTCTTAGCCAGAAAGAACAGTTACCATTGTAAAGAGCTAGAACAAATATAGGCCAAGTGCCTTATAACACTATCCATGATATTAGTATTCTACATTTTATAGTTTGTCTCAAAAATTTTAATTACTTGCTGGACTGAGTCTCTCTGAGTCAAACCCTTAGTGGTCAAAATGTAACTGTAACTTCACTGAAGTAAACCTAAGCTGTAACTTCATTGAAGAGTAAATCAGCATCATCCCACTGACTTGTTGCGGGGATGTTCACTTGTATATGGGACATAAATGTATGGTTTTGTTTTTTCTTCATAAGCCATTGTGGAAGATACTCTGAGTGTCCTTTTTGCCCATTTACGTCCTGGGGGTTATTTGCACTCTTCTCTAAAATGCCAGTATTTTCAAGAAGATGCTAAACCCAGTGATGTTAGAGAGTCAAGTAGACCAGATATCCCAGTGTTGGGCCCTAAGTAAATAAGACCATCTCAACAATTTAACAAATACAGACAGAAATCCTAATTTTTATAGACAGTTTGGTTTTTATATCCTTGACTGCTTAAATTGTAAAAGACTAAACTTTCAGTTTAAAAATTCCAGTGAAGATTCTCTAGATAAATACAGTTATTTTACTAGATTACTTGAAATTACACTTGCATACCCTGAATATTGTGAGCTGCCACTTTTCCCCAGGGTACAGGGCTATGTTACATGTCCTGTACAGGTTCACAAAGTCAAGAGCATTGACCTCTTAGAAAGGAGTTTGCTAGAATCAAGAGGTCAGAAATTCGTTTGCCTCTTTCTCCTGTAGGAACTTACATGAATTATGTAACATTTTTTTGACACATTATTCACCTGTATGAAACAGGGACCATTCCTGTCCTCAGTGTACAAAATCTTTTAGGATCCCTTAATAAAAAGTGTTGTATTAAATGCAGATGGTTTCTCTTAACTGTTACTACATTCCAGTTCAAGTAACTGGTTAGTCTTCTAGAGAAAACCTGCCAATCTTATCAGGATAAATCTCCTACTTATTCTGTTAGATACTAGACAATTATTGGCCATTGGACTACTTAATGTTACTAAGTCTTTAAAATGATAAATAAGTATTTGGAAGTATTCCAGTACATCTCTTTATATTGTAAACACAAAACTGATATATGGCTCGTGTAGCCTTGTCCACCACTCCTAAAATAATTTCATATGATATAAGAAGGGATTTAATTTCATTATAAGTGATCACCCCCAAAGCTATAATTTATGATTTATAATTTAAACAATCATACATTTGACAGAAGGGTTTGTAAATAGGTTAAAACAAACAAATAAAACAAAACCCCCATAAAGATGGAGGAGCTACATAACGCATTAGAAAATAATTATTTTTTATTATTATTGTGAAAAATACTGTATTTTGAAACATTTCATCAAGAATTAATAAACTGCATGTTAGAACTGCATGTATTTTATGCTAAAAAGCAGTTTAGATCTTGTTTTAAATTGAAAACAATTTAGAGAGATGGGCTTTAAAACAAATACCATTCTGAAAGCTCTCATTAGGTTTTCAGTTCATCCTTGACAGCCATCTAACACAGAGACCTCAGCTTAAAATGTTGTCTGCAGGTTTTAGTCTATAAATATTTCGACCCACTAGCCTTCTAGCACTTTTTTATTCCTGTACTAATGATAGGAGGCCACAGGTAACCCAGTTTTATAATCTGCACTGTTCTATTTCTGAAGATGTGAGGCCTGAGTGATCCAGGTTGGTGTAGCACACCATTTTCCTCTCAAAATGCAAGTTACTGTCACTTCAGAGCCAGTACTGTTTGTACAATAGTTTGCCACACAGAAGACGTGAATTGACTGGTTTGTTAGACAAGCTCTTTTTTTTTTTTTTTTTTTTTTTTTTTTTTTTTTTTCCCCAAATGGAATTAAATGTGGGAAAAACTCTATCTGCCAACATTTTTCACTTGATATGTAGTTGTCATTCTGTGTTAGAGCTGACGAGGATCACTTCTTGATCGTACTGATCACACTTTTTGTTTAGTCACATGCAAGCTGCACTGTGCTATCTGTCTGTGCACTTGTGTGGTGTTGAGCAGAATGTTTTTTCTAGCCTTGCAATTTGCATACTCAAAATTTGTAATAAACTGCTGTGTTCAAGCATTTGCCCTAGTCTACGTGCAACCCATCTGAGTTCATCTGAGCTCAAAGCCCTCAAAAATAACAGCAGTTGGAGAAAAAAAAAAGGCTTGTGAGGACTCGGCAAGAGATGTGGTTAACTAATATGTTGCGAAAAGGAGATACTTCTTCCTAGCAAAGTTGTTTTTGCTGAAATAAACGCAAGTGTTTGAGTTTGTATTTTTAACTCCATATTTTCAAGAAACTGATGGGCTCCATACCTGATAGTTAAATGCTTTTAGTCTTTTCTAGATACATTTATTTTCCTATTTTTACTATATGTAATGACCTTTTCTAACTTTTTTTAAGATTCAGTAGACAGTATTTTTACAAGAGAAGGTACACCATTGTACTTCGCTAAACTACTTTTTCCCTTCTTTTTTTTACTTCATCTTGATGCAAATCCACTGGTTTTTAGGCTTCTCTACCCCCCCACCCCAAAGGCATTTTTTTTAATTAGTGCAGTCATATCCCTCCTGTTAAGCTTAATGGAAGATACGATGCTCTATATAAACAAATGCTGCCTTTAATTTAGATTGGAAAATGATTTACAATACGACATTGAACTTTGTGTAGCCAGACTATCTTCTAGAAAAGACGTCATAAATAGGAAGTTCAAAAATGCTAATTATAGTGATTACAATTCATTTCTATTAAGTTATAGCATACAAATTGAAACTTTTTTCCTTATTGTGCAAAATGCTAAAAAAAAAGGATGGAGTCTGTTAAGCAGCAGGATTTTCAAAACAAAAGTCCCTGGTTAAATTCTTTGTTGTGAAGAGTTTTCTATTTCCTTGATATTCCTGTAGTCAACATATAGGTAGCTTAGCTTGATTTTGAACAGCAAGAGAAATGCACAGATAATTTTCTCTGTTGTTGTGGACTGTGGAGTGTTGCATTTGATGACTAGTCTTTGACGAGAAAAAACAGATCAAATATTTGAGGTCTTTCACCAGCCTCTTGCTGTCATCTTTTTCCCGTTAATGAACCACAGCATTTTCAGACCTCTAACTGTGAGGCGTTTCCAGCAGTCAGCTCTGTGTGAATCCACAGTGAGAGTGAGGCTGATGGAAAAAGGAGGACATTTTGCATACAGATTCCCATTCATAGAGAGTTCCTAGCAGAAAGCACTGAATGTCAGCCACAGAGCTGTATTTTCCATGCTTAAAAAGTTGTACTTATCTCCAGAAATAAAAATGAAAGTAAAGGCAGGCCTGAATGCTTCTATTGTTTGTCCCTACAGTAGATTAAGAAACAAATTCTGTGGGGTTATAGACTTCAAGAAGAATTTGAAGTGCTTCTTTGACAAACACAAAAGGATATCCCTCACTGCCTGAAAGCAAATGCTGCCTATTTCATTGTGCTTCTGATTAATAAACAGATTTAACTGCATCAAGCTTCTCCAAGTGGAAGAAATCAGACATTCAAGGAGTCTCTGCTTTGCTGGATAACCATTCCATTACTTCATTATTTAGTCTCTTGAGGCGGCTTAACAAAATACTTGCCTTAAAAGGGTTTAATTTTTTATTTTAATTTTTTGTATTTTATATAGTGCTTTTCCGTATGTTTGCATTTCTGGCAAGTAAATAAAAAGAAGTGGTAAGTGAACCATCATGAAATGGTGACAGTAACTAAGTCTTACAGAAAAATAGGTGCTACCTGCTATCCTTTTGGCGCATGCATTACAGTTGACTGCATTGGTTTTGCAAGCAGAGTTTCCCAAATCAGAATCTAAAAAAAAAAAAAGTGAGCTAGAATCTGTGAAATTCAGGATAACAAGATGCTGAGATAGATGCTAGCATTTCTATTTCTGAATACAGTCATTTGCTCTGAGAGCTCTTGAAAATGAGGTAGTGAGAAATTGGCAAGTGTCCATACTGCCCGCTTTCTTATATCCATGCATATGGATACCAAAGGCTAGCCAGAAATCTAGCAAAAAAAAAATTTATAATTCCTTCTTAATCCATCTGAACTGAATTACCATCAGGTTTCCAAAAAGGCTGCTTTTATTTTGTTGTTATGATAAAAAGAAATTATTGAAAATATAGAAAATACTTGAAGAGCTAACTAAACATAATTTTCTGCTGATCATCACAAAAATACTTACTTTTCTTAAAATATATTAGAAATAAGAAGTCTGATGTTAATGATGTTTTGTCAGGCTTAGCCCGATACTTCCAAATCAGCTAGCTAGATAGAGTAGCAGAAGGCCTTTTTTCCCTTCCCTGCTTACACAATAAAAGCAAGTATTGACTCTGAGTTCACATGTAATAAAGGCATTACTAACAATGGTCTGGGTTTATGCACTGATGTGAAAATTTTCATCTTTATTAACAATTAACTTGCTGCTTGGAATGATTTGGGCATCAGCCATAGTCTTGCAGAACACAGAAAACAATTTGCAGAATCAAAAGATTCTGCAAAAGACAGGCACTGAGTCTTTCATGTTGAATTTAAGCCTGTGACTCCACTCTTCTACTGTAGGTGATATACGCAATGACTTATACCTGACATTAGAAAAGGGAGACTTTGAAAGAGGTGGGAAAAGTGTGCAGAAAAACATTGAAGTGACCATGTATGTGCTTTATGCAGATGGAGAAATCCTGAAGGTAAGTGCTTACTTACTCTTTGAGCCTCAGTTGCCAACTGCTTGCTCCGTGGATGTGTTCTTTTGTTTTGCTGTCTCTGATGCAAAGGAAGTGCTAAACTAAAATGAGCTCTTTTTTTCTGGCTAAATTTTTAAACCGTATGTTATAATGAAGGAAGCAGTCAGCTATAAATTTGAAAGAATTTGGAGTGCTTCCCCTATATGAGAATAGGTGACTTGGAGAAAATATTCATAAACTGAAAAGCTTATGTAATTTCAAAATGTCGTGTCAGTGGTATAGTAGAAAGAAGATTTAAAGTAACTGTAGTCAGAAAGAACTGAAGAGTATATGACAAATCTAAATAATGTGTGTCATACATGATGAAATGTGATATCAAGAGAGACTTTTAAATCTGAGTTATTGGAGTTATGGTACTGAATGTAGTTTTGGAAAATAATTTTGAGTAGCCTTATTTCAAGATCTTCACATTCACCCTGGGGTGGCTCCATTCAAGCTGTGGATGGTGATGTTTAATGTTTTCCTTCCTTTCTTTGTTGTTGCTTTTAGTATTATTGAAGATATGAAGGTAGATAAGTCACCTTTGTGGGAGGGTGGTAGGACGTGAGGATACAGGAGTAAACCGAAAAGTATTTCAACACAAACATCTATCAGAAATGGAAAAATGGCTCCATTAAAATGTATTAGTCATAATTTCTCCCTGCCTTTTTTTTTAACTTCCACTGCAATAAAATGGCCTTTGTAGCCGTTATTGTATAAGAGTCTAAACACCAAAGTGCTTGTCTACCAAACTCGTTGCCACAGTCTGGGTTTTTTTAATCAAAAGGAGAACTTTTCCTTTATTACAGCAATTGCTTGTGATTTCATTAATGGTTAAGTATATCTCTTGTAAGGAACTGGTTTGTGATCATAGCTGTTGCAGGAAGATCACAATCCTTTTCTGTTTAATTGCATTAAGCATACCTTTCAAATTGAGTGACATATTTTTAATCATTACTTTATTTCACAGCAGTCTGCCAAAGACCAACGTAGGTCTTTACCTTCCAAACTGCAATATCAGCATCTTCAAATGCTAGCATACATAATGGTAGCTAATTATACTGTAACTGTGGCAAATGATTCACTGTAAAAGCCATATAATTTCTAGACATTGTAATTCTTAACTTATGTGGTTTTGGTTGGAATGGTCATTCACAGATACTAAATTGTCTTTTTCTTACCCTTGCCTGTTATTACTACTGTAACAGTACTTCAAGGATAGTGGAACAGAGATGGTACAAAGAAAGAAATGAAAAAGGTGGTCAAACCGATTAGAAGAAAAATCAGGTGAACATTTGTCATAAAGGAGAGACTTTACACAGAAAGAATCTTCTGTGGTTTCTAAATTTAAACCACATGTTTAAAAGAAAACCTTTATATGAGTTTTTGTTATTGCTCCTCTGTATATTTGCAGTCAAAGCAACAAGGATACTTTGTTTACATCAGGGAGATCTTTGGTTCATGATGTCTAATGGCATCTAAGATCCATTGCATTTCAAGCATGCAGACACTAGAATTTTTCTACATATCCTCAATGCTCAATTTTCAACTTTGAGTTGAAAATACTCAAAGGTATAAGCTGGTGTATCTGCTGAAAAGTAAGTAAATGGGCCATCAAGCACAACAGAAGTTGAACTTTCCTTCCCTTTAATTTGAACCCCCTCTCCCTACTTAGGTACATTTGTGTTCTCTCTTAATTGCAGAACATAACTAGAAAAATAGCATATAAGATGCAATATCAGGTTAACTGAATATAGAGACATAGTTCAAAAGTGCTAAATGACAATTTTAGGGAATAATCACATGCACATAAGAAGCAACTACTTAGAACTGAGCTTGCAGTCTAATCACGTCTCCTCTGGTTTAGTCACTGCCATAGTTTCTACATGATTTAAAAATTCTGCAAATTCATCTACCAAAGTTAAAGCAAATGAGACAGGCGTCTGGAGTTACTTTTAACTTAGCGGTTTATCTCATCATTCAATGGCAATGTCCTTCTCAAAGACAGTTGACCCTATTAAGTGTATATGACTGCTCTAAGTCTATAGAACTGCACTGAAAATGATAAGGATTCAGCTCCTTAAACCATAGATTTCCAATTGTCTCAACTTTCAGAAGGCAGATTTTGGTTACAAAATTCAGGCAAAATTTGTGCTCAAAATCTTCCCATGTTTCAGGTGAAAATCCCTGAAAACAAAGAGCTCCATCAGTTATAACCTTCCCACCTGTGCAGTGGGTTTTGGGAAGCCTAGATATCCATTTGTCTAAAACTTAACACAGATCTCTTAGTCTGGGTTATTTTAGTATGCCACTAAATGGATACTGTTTCACCTTTTGTATTAAGAATTTAGTTTTAAACCCTAGATGGTTTATTTTTCACTGTAACTACCTGGTTTATATAATCTTCAAGATGGACACCTAGAGCAGTGGGTAATGACCTGCCATTTTCTCTTAGGAGGAAGCTAGTTTCCTCCAAAGACAGAATATAATTTAATTCCTAAATGAACCAGATGGAAAAAGGCTGCTAGATCAGGACTTTGACTTCAGTGATTCAAAATAAACTGAAAGAAAATATTGAAAACTGCAACAAGAGGAGTCTAGTAACCTTTTAGTTATAGATGCTAAGAATAAGGTGTGTGTTGGATATGGCTTGGTGCAGTACTGATGGAGGGAATTGCTTTGTTTGGGTCCCCTGTCCCCTAAATGATCACTTGTGTGACCCAAGGTTGCTTTCAGTCAAGTGTAGCTATTTTTTCTTTTATTTCATTTGCCTAATTATTACATTAATTTAATAACTTTCTGTAGGTGATAGAGAAGCTAATAAAAAACTCCAATTTAAGCTTACAATAGTGTAGGCAGAACACTGAAAGTTCAATCACTGACCTCAAAGCACTACTGTTCATGGTTGAAATACCCTTTACTGTTCCTGACCTATGGCCTTTCCAAAGCAGAGACTGCCAAACGAGAAAGTGTATGCTGAGTTACGTGGTACAATAGGGAAATTGCCACACAATTTTCATCTGATATTAGAATAAAATCTCTAAACTTTTCCTGACCAGCAGCACAATCTAAATCTGAATTATGCCTTTGTGAAGACTTCAGCAAAACCTTATGCAGCGTTAATGAGAATATTCTTTATGTCTCAAATCCTTATTGCTGTTGATTATCTCTTGGTCCAGAAATAGTCCTTTTGAAAGCAGTGAAATTATTCCCAAAACACAGTGCTGTTCAAAATGAGAATTAGTAATTCTTCTTCAAAATGTTTTTACTCAATTGTTAGTATCTTTCAATATGGTCTGAAAAATAAAAAACCTTGACACATTTCTCTCTCACTCTTCCTTCTGTTCCAGTAGCAGGAATGTCTTATTAATTGCAAGGCATACTTTAAACGATAAAATTATTACCTGATACTTTTTCTAGTTTAGCTTCACTTACTTGACTCTGCCCTCTAACTCACCTACATATTTGAGTCTCATGGTAACTAAGTATAAGGAGACTAGATTCATGTTTATATTTTGCAGATCACAATTCAGAATTGAAGATTAAACAAGTCTCCCTCCCTTAGACTATAGATTGTAGCGTAAACACATGGAAACTAAGTAACAACCAGCAGGAAAGACTCTTCACCTATTAATTTATTTAAAGTTTATAGCATGAAAACATAAAAAAGACTGACCATTTGTCTGCCAAGGCAGGTAATTTTTTCAGGCAACAGAAAAAGGTTCACATTAAAATTTGAAATTTTACTGTACCTTATAGAAGAAATAAAATACTGTTTTACTTTCTCCTCAGAACCTAACGCAGAATGAGGTTTCAGAATTGCTATGTTGAAGCTCAGCAAGTTACTCATTATAAAATATAATTTATAATATTGCAGGCATTCTGTTGTTTTAATAGTGCCACCACCACTCTCACTCCATCCTGTTAATATCTGCAGCAGTTAATTCTTGTTGCTGTATTTAAAAAATCACTTTTATGCTGGGATTGTGGCACGTACTATATGGTTACTAAGACTTACTTGAGAGGACTGAGTTTTGTGAGTATATGCTACAGTCACTCTGTCTGGTTTAGAGCCTTTGCAATGAATCTCTGTCCAAGGAGGCTCTTCTTGCATTGAATCCCAAAATTCTAGAGAACTTTGCTTTATTTTTTGGGCTCCTTCTCAAATTCTTAACTTTTTCGAAGCCAGAAGAATATTACCACAGGCCGAACTGGCTGGGTCTGTTTGATGGAATATGCTTGTCTTAATAGGCCTATGATTACAGATGAAAAAATCAAATCAATATTGTCAGTATTTTCTTTGGACAGAATTTAGAGATCCCTTGGGGAAATGACCAGTAGTTGTTCTTCTCATGATACTATTCCATGTGGGGTGTTTTTACGTCAGAATTTATATTGCAAGTGTCATTCTGGTTCTGCTTAGCCTCTGTCTATTCCTGGATTCATTATCCTTAGAGATGCTAAAAGTGAAGCATCTCTTAAGGTGCCTTTTTTTCTGCATGGTTTTAAAAGATGTCGTACCTTTTGGATCACTTTGTAAGTGCTAGGTTCTAGAACATGGGTTAGTACTTATAAAAAAATGTGCTTCCTCTGACTTCATTACAAAATAACTTTTACTGTCCTTATTTCAGGACTACAATATTTCTCCTGCCCTCCTTTGCTCGTGCTTTGACTAAGGATTTCTGTATTTCCTGAACAATACCAATTAATGTTGTTCTTCATCTGTGTTTTGAGAATACATAGATTGGTCAAGATCTCTGAGCTTTTTGTATCTAAAAAGAGAAATTTAGATCCCATTGTATTTTTAGGTGATGACTATTCAACAGAAATTCTTTGCTTACCACTAATGAAGTAACATGATAAGAATTCTCTGGAATACTCAGTGCGGCAGGGTGATTGTAGTTTCAAAAGAACAACAATTTTAAGAGCTTCAAAAGTTCAGGTATCACTTCTGAACTGAGAACTGAGATACCGAAGCAGAATTCTGATTAAATGATACTTTCAGAAAAATTGCAAGTGATAGTCCTATTAGGTCTTTTTTTTTTTTTCTTTTTTGACTAATCTTTATATATTTAGAGTTACATGTTTATTATATCTATTCTGTGCTTGATAGAAAATTTAGCCTAAATAATAATTTAAATAATAACTTAAGATATTGATATTCATCCAGTATTATAGGTCTTCTAGCTTATCTTTTGACCCAAAACACAGTTTAAAGATCTCTTTAAAAATTTCAGATTTCATTGTGTCTGAGTTTCTGCTTCTGTCTTGTCCTTTATGTCCACAGAAAGATATGGATTATATAAAGCTTATCACTGTGTAATAAAATGACTCATCTGTAGTGATGTGATGTCTTTTAAATCGTTCTCTTTTGTTCCAGGACTGCATCAGCCTGGGCTCAGGAGAGCCAAGCAGGAGTGCATACCACTCTTTTGTCCTTTACCACAACAACAGCCCTCGATGGGGGGAAATCATCAAGTTGCCCATCCCTATAGACAGGTTCCGTGGGTCTCACCTCCGGTTTGAGTTCAGACATTGCTCCAGTGAGTGCCAAACATAACCAAGAGAAATCTAAAAAAGCTGAGATGTTTCCATTGTAAAATTATATTTGGATGTGGCTGTTACTGGGTGGAAAGCAGGAAAGGGGTGCCAACCTAAAATGCAGTGAAGGTGCACTGCTAATTAGACTCTTTCTACATTTATTAAGGAGCAGATTAAAAACGTCATGAACAACCAGTGCCAGGCAAAACTTTTTGCAGATGTTCTTCCTTGATGTTCTTTTGCTTTCTTTCCCTGTAGAATGTTTTCTTTACAGCGTCTATATTTTATATTTTACTATGTTTGGCATGTTTGTGTTTGTTTTGAGGCCTGTTAATCATTTTCATAGAATTAGACATAGTATATTATGTTGCTTCTTATGTAACCTGCATGCTCTTCGTTAGGCATGCAGAAAAGTTAGTGAATAACCTTGTGGTATATATGGATGGACAGAATATGTACGAATATGATTGCTTATTTCTGTCTTTTGCTACAGCAAAAGACAAGGGAGAAAAGAAGCTCTTTGGTTTTGCGTTCACTCCGTTGATGAGAGATGATGGCACTACCTTGTCAGATGATATCCATGAGCTTTATGTTTATAAGGTACCAATTCTTCTCTGCAGACTTTTCATCTATTTGTCTCTACTTCAGTTTAAATAAGTAACGGTCATTACATTATCTTTTTTTCCCCCTCATTAGAAGTATGTGAGGAACAGATGAATAGTAGTTTCTGAATTTTATAAAGTCAAAATCACATGACTAGGTATGAATACAGCCCTCTATTCCAAGTACAGCTTACCTTTTCACTTCAGATAATGATGATTTACTGTCTATTAATCCTATCCATTTTGATTTCAAACATACTAGTGTTTATGAGCATTCAGCAGTTTTACTAGCCTATGGCATTACTCTATACCTTTGTGTTAAGAAATTATGCTGTACTTCAGATGCATCATGTTACAGTGCTGCAACTTGGCAACCCTGCAGCAAGGGGCTCGGTGGGTGTTGTTTAGGATTTTCTTCTTCCTACTGATTCACCTTGGTTTGTTTCTTCAGTATGATTTTTCAGACAGCAGCAATAAGTTGTACAGTTTGGAAGGTTGTGATAATTTCTAGTCAGTGGTTGGGAGACCACATTTTCTAGAGATGAATCTGTTTTGCATATGTTCAGGCCCTGAAGCTTTTTATTAGAAGTGATTTTGTGTACCCAAAAGATCAATAAAAATAATGTTAGGCAATTGCTGTCAGGGTGTGAGTATGTGGAATGAGATAGACTAGGTACAATTCCATTTCTTGTCCTGTACCTGCAGTGTGATGAGAACAGCACATTTAACAACCACGCACTGTACCTGGGGCTGCCTTGCTGCAAAGAGGACTACAATGGCTGCCCCAACATCCCTTCCAGCCTCATTTTCCAACGCAGCACCAAAGAGACCTTTTCAGTCTCCACACAGCTTTCATCTACCAAACTGACCCAGAACGGTAAGTAGCTGATCCTTCAAAACTGTCCACAGCAACAGGGATTAGGAAAAGGAGAGATAAGATGGACATGCTGTGCTCTGTTTATTTTACTAAAATACTCCTTTGTTATGATTTCATTATATGTATGCTTTTTTTTTTTTATTAACAATATTGAAATTAGCAGAAACTGGTGTTTTTGAAGAAATAAGGATATTGACAGATGACAGATAAATTACAGTCATTAATGTAAGTGCAAGAGAAGGGTAATATGTTAAAGCAAAGTTAATTTTCAGTAAATGATTGAAGGACAAAAAATTCAATGTTGGCAGTTCTACATGATCCAAAGTTTGTTTTGTTCAGCTTTTACAACGTTAATAAGTAAATAAAAATGCGTTATGGCAATGACCCTGAAGCATGGGAAGACAAAAGTGGATTGTCCACAGTGCAGTGTCAAGTCACACAGGGAGAAATGCAGCATTTACTCTTTTAAAATACTTTACCATTCCTCCATTCATTCCTTTGTTGGTAGTATTGGACTTACTCTGTGTTTTCCTTCTTGTTTTCCCTGATTTATCTATTTTTTTCCCTGAGAAGTGCGAATTGCAACAAGAGCAGAAGTGTAACATGGTAATGAATCTCTGGTGACTCTGGGGTTGCCATTCTTCCCTCTGCGTATGGATTCTAGCTCTTTCTCTTACTGTTCTGCAGTGGATTTACTCGCCCTACTGAAATGGAAAGCTTACCCGGATCGTGTGATGGATATTCTAGGAAGACTGAGACATGTCAGTGGAGAGGAAATTGTTAAGGTACTACATGAAATAACAGTCTTCGGCAGAAAACAGAGCTGACTCAGAAAACTTGGCCTTTTCAAACAGCTAGTAGAGCTGATATGTGTTTCTATTTTGCAAATATGTTCCAGACTTCTGTGTAGAAGATAAAGAAATGTGAAACCTTGACAGTTAAGTTTTGCTAAATGGCCAATGAACTATCCTGTAAACCCGTTTTCCTGTCCCAGCACTGTGAAGTGGAGCTGTTGCCCAGAGCACCGGTTGCTCTCTAACATTTCTAACCTATCAGTAATCTGCCTCCTATCTGATAATTCCATCATGTTTTGTAACCACTGTTGTTCTACATGCCAATCCTTTGTGTGGCTTGAACTTTCTTCAAAGGAACTTCAAAATGCCTTTGAATACTTGTGGTCTCAGCAAAAAAAAAAAAAAAAAAAAAGCAGTGCTTTCCAGATATCCCTCTGATAATTTTAGGTGCGCTGAGAACTCTTCCTAAAATTTATTTCTATAAATCTAGACATAAAAGGGGGGATAATTTGTAACAGCGGACAACCAAAGAGAAACCCTATCACTTAATTAGTAGTTTATCATTAAAGTTACTTCACTGTAACTCATTCGAATATTGCCATATCTTGAATGTTAATCTTCATGATAACTTCATAACAGAAACAGAAGAGGACAATATGCCGTTTATGTTGGAATTCTTCAAGAATGTCATGTCTTGTACACTTTGTTTGCAGGGCAGTACAAGTATCTGGTTTTTATAGAAAACAGCGTAAAAAGATATGGATTAAATTATTCCAAGGGGAGAAGGAATTGATTCCCTCCCTAAAACAGCTGCCATTTGACATTGGGATATGAAGAACAGAATGCAATAATTTAGAAAAAAATAAATTTTATTCCACATCAGAAATTTAATTAGAATAGATTAAAAAATCATGAGACAATGTGCAGTTGACTTGATTTTCAGAATTCTTCTTCACGGTCATCTTTTCTGAGGACCATGCTTTCGGGAAAGAAAATCACTGAATTGTCAGCATTCAGCAAACCGCAGTGTTATGGATGAAAGAAACAATTGGCAATACGTAATTTGACCCATTAATGCTTGTTACAAAAGTTTTACTTTCTGTCACATAACAAAAGTTTTCAATATTAAACATAATTTGGAGCACCAGTTAATGTGCTTCCAAGTCTTATATTTGATGATGAACAGTATCTGAAAACTGTCATGACGTGAGAATGAAAGTTAGTTGGTTTGCCACTGTTGATAGGCAGCACTTTTAGACAGCTTACAGTGAAAGGAACATGCAGTTATATTTACAAATCAGACATACAGTACATATTTCTTATTTTTTGTTTTTCTGTCATTTTTGTTTAGAAATACTCGTTGTAAAGAGAAAAATTCTTCTTAGTAAAACTAACTTAAAATCTGTCTCATCATGTGGATGAACATGAAGTGGTTTGTCCTTGGCAAGTGATTCACAGAGATACCAACATGTATGAAATAATTAAAGGAGGGAAATAACCTTCTTTTGAATACAACTGAAATAGAAATTTTTTTCTTTATTCGTGTCATTTTAGTTCCTACAAGATATTCTCGACACATTGTTTGTAGTTTTGGATGACAACACAGAAAAGTATGGTCTCTTGGTCTTTCAGTCTTTGGTAAGTTGCTGAATTGTTACTTTTCTTTATCTCAGTCAATGAGCTTTAAGTTCCTTATTAACATGTTGCTAGTATTTTTCTTCCATGAAATATGAAATATTTTCTGTAATAAACTTGGGTAAGGTGGACAGTGATAGCATCAACAGGTCCAAGGACAGCAGTATTTGCTATCACTTGGGAGAAGCAAACAGTAACATCTAATAACACAACTACTGACTACTTAAAGAAACGGGCGTATTTCATTGTTCCTTAGCTTGTATAAGTTGTTTACAGAAACCTAGCAACAATGAGCAATTTCCTTTAGTATGGGTTCACTTTTCCATTTCTCACAGGTATTCATCATAAATCTGCTGCGTGACAGCAAGTATTTTCATTTTCGACCTGTGATGGACACTTACATTCAGAAGCACTTTGCGGGAGCACTGGCTTACAAGTAGGTTTTGTTTATCCATCACTTCAAGAGATGGCATTAGCAAGCTTTTGAATAATGTCACAGTCAGAATCATAACCTTCGTGTTAGCAGTGGTTTCAAAATTAGAACTACTCAGACGAAAGCTTTCCAGAACAGAGAAAAGCTGCTGAATGTCACCTGTGGTGAAGAATGAGCAGACTTTGGACTTTGTCTTGCCTTTCTGAACTGGCAAATCTTACTTTCTTTTTATTAACTGAAGAGATCTGTCACTCAGAAACAACTCATTATCAGTCTATACTAATGAGCTACCAAGAGCATGTACATTTCTTGTCTTAAGGATAGGATATAAGACTTGTGTGAAAGCTTACAGAACTAATTGTAATTTTCTCTTCTAAAGTAGACAGGTATTTACATATGATGATGTTCTATTTGATTACAGTAAATGTATCATTTCACTAGATCAGAAACTTCATTTCACTGACACTTTGAAGATTCTGCCTTATTTTTTAGTATTCTTTTTTTTTATCAGAGAATAAGATTTTTGAAAACAGTAAGTTATCATTCAGAGTTTTCTTTTCCTTTCTTTTTATACCATTTCTTTTGTATATTTGAGCATATTCTATCTTTGGCCGCAATAAGCTATTAAAAACAGCTTATAAATGGTTTTAACTGTCTTAAGCCTTTCACATTGTAGTGTAATTTTTAAAAAATATATAAAAAATACTCTGTCAATTACAGGTAAAAACCTGTAGATACTATACAACACTAGAAGGCATAGTCATATTCAGAGGGTAAAAAGCGTTCTGCTTTGTGTTAATTATCACCTCTTTCAGACAAAACAAATGATTTCTGGTAGTCTGATGTCTGAAATAAAACATGTTTTTAATACAGCTCTTTAAGTTAGACCAAATGGTATTGTGTACATAGGAAAATAAACGCATGTATTCTCTTTGTGATCTTAGTTTCTAAAAATATCTTACTTAGATGAGATCTGGAATTTATTATTAAAAAAAAAAAAGTTTTGGCCATGGAACTGTATTGCATGCCTTTATCAAAGCTATCTCGTTAATAACATCTTTTTGATGTTCTCTTTGTGTTCCTTATGGTCTAAGTCAATTATGTAGAAAAAATTTTTTTCTGATTTTGAAATTTAAATAAACATATCAACATACCATGTAAATTCAATATTTAGGGCAGCTATAACTGACCACTGAAATGGAGTGATTATAGATTTCTCCCTAAAACCAAATGTTTGCCTGACTAATTTTAGAATAGTGATGAAGGTTTGTCACCTTTTCACTGTTTTTTATATCCAGAGAACTGATCCGATGTTTGAAGTGGTACATGGACCGTTCAGCTGAGCTTGTACGCCAAGACCACATCCAGGAAGCAATGAGAGTATGTATTCAACAAAAGTATTTGTGTGTCTGTTCCATGTGTGACTACAAAAGGGCTGGGGAAGCGGTAAATAAAACCAAGACTAGTCTGACACTGACTTATTTGTTTAACCAGAATTTTTTTTTTTTAATATTTTGCCAAAATTTTAATTTTAGGGGGGAAATTCACTCTTGTGCAGAAAAAAAAAATGGAAGAATTATGTCTCCTTAAGTCCTTTTGAAGCCCTATGGAGGACTTGTGGATTTATATGGAGTATATGTATACACTGGCCATTTATATATGTGGTCTCTACCTTGCAATTCAAGAAGCAGTTATTTAAAATGTTATAGTGCTGTGCATCAAAGATATATTTTTCATTTCTGGCTGTGACACAGCTTCGTTGTATTATCAGTTGAAGTTCTGGGGTAGTTTAAGCAGCAGACAAATAAGCCTTTAACTGCATGGAAATTCTAAGGGCTATCATTGCACCGGACCTGGGTCACAGTTCCGTGATGAAAGTACGATCTCACAAGAAGGCACAGCTTTCTAAGGCTGTGTGAAACAAAGGGAACATTTTTGATGGTATTACAGAAAAATCAGAGTGTAAATAAAGTATTAGTTCTACTATCTGTAATTGTAAAACAGAAAGTTTGTCAAGTACATAAATACAAGATTCCAAACTTGGCAGGAAGATATTTTTCTTTGAGTGAATGTTCATCTGTACCTTCGTAATCTGAGTAGGCCTATACCCAAACATTTAAGTCTGGGCATTTTTAGAGCTTGTAGCAGTGGCAGAGATTAGCACTTTCTCTCAATTTTTCGAGTCAGTACAAATAGGTGAAGCATCTCACAGGTGAAGCACACACATACATACACTACTCCTTTAATTTCTGGCAACCACTTAGGAAAGTCAGAGGTTATTCCTTGTAAATGTATTTATGCTTGTGTCTTGGCATACATTTCAGGCTTTATTATGGCTTTTTCTTCTTGTGATATTTTACTTCCTTTAATCTAATATAGTCAGTATTCTTGAGGAAGCAATTTTTATTTTCTGAGAATCCTTGTTCCCTTTCAAAAGTACAGCATCGCCATCATCAACCAGCTTTCAAGATCTCCTCTTAAGACCATATCCTGATACAAGGGCATTATACCAGTTGTTACTTGGTCTTTTGTAAATATCTACATACTTAGAAATTTCTTCTTTGTAATACTTTTCAGCCACAGATTCACAGGGAATGGTAAAAGTAGGACAAAGATGTCTTTTCAAGAAATTATCAACTTTTTGTTCTTTTTGTTTCCATTCTTATCCTTTTTTTTCTTTTTTTTAATTACAAAGAAACCTGTTAAAATTATGAAATGAGAGGAAGATCTCTAGCTGGAATGACTTCTAGAGGGTTTTCTTCCCTCTCAAACCAGTCATTAGTGCTATGCGCAATGCAGCAAATAGAGATGTATGATATTGTCTCTGTGATTTGCATTTTTTGAACCTCATAGTAGTCCTCTTCAGAAATAAGAAAAATATAAATGGTGAAATATCCTTCAGAAGCTTGGTTATTCAACATACCATTTGTGAATAAGGTACATTCTTTCAAGGATTCCAAGGCATTTCTTTGCTTACTGGGAATCTCAAGTGCTTGCCTGGAAAGTAGCTTTTCCCTGCATGAGTGAGGTCAGTTTAACACCTGGCAGTCCAACCAACCCTTTCCAAGCACAAGAATTATAATTACCCACAGAGTTTCTGCAGACCTAACAGTGCATCCTCTACCAGTGACACTGCTGTCGCACCTTATTCAGACAGTTACCTTTGCAGGTACATCATGGAGGCCCAAATTAAGGTCTTTATCTTCTTCCATTCTGGAAAGTGATTGATTTCCTTTTTTGTTTCCAGATTTTGTTTCAGGCATTTAGAGCAAGTTTATTCAAAAACCATTATCATTGCTGATGTGTCATTACTGATACTGCATTCTACTGTTGGCAATTTCTGTGGTCTTAGATGTCTTCATTACATTCCTTGCATTAGTAGTTCTTCAACTGAGAAAACAGGATAGCTCTCTATCCCTTTTTCCATGAGTTAGCTGTTACATGTAGTACCCTAAAGCAGGTGTTGAAATGTCTCTACACTCTTCTATGGCTCTTGACTGCCCGTGTACATTCATTACGGGTATGCAGACATCTCACAGGATTCTGATTTTCTACCTGGCATTAGCAAGTGATGCTCTAGACTATTTCTAAAATTACTTACCTCCCTCAAGGCTGCTCTTAAGTCTCAGAAAACTTCTATAAAACCTGGAGGAACTGTAAGTGAAAGGGTATCTCTACCTGTGCTAGAACACATGGCATCACATTCCTTTATTATGCTCTATAACAAGTTCCATGTAAGCTGCATCTAGATACAGCTGCCCGTAGCTCCCTGGAGGACTCTGTAATGAAGTGTCTGTGTGTGGCTCCACAGACAGTTTTACTTTCCCTACTAGTCCTGGCAAGACTTATGAAGTGTCTCCAGGAGATGCCCTTTCAGCTTCAGTTATCTTCCAGTAGTAGGATCACAGGTGGTTTTTGCCTAGATTGAGGAACCCACTGAAAAAGGAAGACATTTTCTTCCTCAGAAGTCGCATTTTCCTAACAGTGTTCTGGAGCTGAACCACACAGAACGTGTATCAGACCTTTTTTAGAGGCTTCAAGGTACTGCATACCATTACTTATGGGGCTTTACATGAATCAGTGATAGGGAAAGGGTCAGTCTTCCCAGCTTACTACTTCAAAACTCTGAACATATTTTCGGACCCATGCCAGCCAGGGAGCTACTGAATGAGAGATTTGGAATTACAGTCTCAGCCTGTCTTTTGAGACACAGGACTCCTCCAAATTGTTTTCTTCACCCTGAACTTAAATAAATGTTAGTCTGTTGCTTTTGAGACCAGTCTGTCTCTGGGTTTATTGATTACCTCATTCAGAAATAATTACCTATTTGGTGATTTACATTTTCTACAGCCTCACTTTTTTCTAAGAATACCAGAAAATAGGTGATGTAAATATAATTGTTCCACCCTGGTCAGTCTGATTGTGGGACTTGCTCCTTCTTTTATTGCTGATGACTTGAACTTTGCCCTAGGTCTTTTATTTGCTCTCTGAAGACTCAAAGTGGTACCTTTACTTGAACCTTTGCAATTTTTTTCTTAAAACTTCATAGTAGGTGCTTCTTGCACTTGAAGCAAGTATGTTGTTCTCTGGAAAAAACACACTGGACAGTAGCAGGAAGAAGTTCATTAGCTGCTCATGAACAGTGAAGTGGATACTCAGAGACTACTGAAAATAGCTTTTATTCACTTTGGTTAGAACAGTGAAAGAGATTCAGACCTTCAGAGCTAATCCTCTTTATATATACTGTGCTTATGATAAGGTTACCCATCCTATATACTCCTGATGCTTTCCTAAAGTAATCTTTGGGTTCCTTGAGTCAGGAAATTAATCTGTGCTTTTTCTTAAAGCAGCTCTACACAAGATTCCTTCATCTGTTCATACTCTGAACATCATGTATTGTTTGCCTTTTGTTTAAACTGAACAGACTCTCCATGTCTACGGCAGATGAGTCCAGATGTGCAGCTGTACTGTCCCCAGCTGTTCACTGGATTTATGAATGTGCTACAGTAAAACCATCAAATGCTGTCTGAGCATAATCTGTGAAGGCTCAAGTGACACTAGTGTTTCTGAAGAGAATCTTTATCTGTTAGACCTGCAGAATAAACCCAGAAATTTATCCAGTTTTTTACCTCTATTATCATAGAAGCTTCTAACTGATGCTGCTTTTGTCATAGTGGTCTCCTGGTTTAAATTCTCCTGGGACATTGCAACCAACCACCAGGTAATCTGTGCAAGCTGAGATGTGCTGTTCCCGTGTTCACAGAGTAAACATGCATATGTACAGTCACTCAGAAGAAAGGAAGTTTACTCAGTAGTAGGTGGAAGTTCTTTGAGGTACATTATCTACATGCACATTTCTTCTTTTCTCATCTCTTCTGGAGTACTGCTGGTAGAATTTAGGGATTGCTTGGTTGAGAGGAGGCAAGGTTATGATGCTATTTGTCCATTGAAGTTCTGTGCATGGTGTGCCATGGGTCTTTAGGCTGCTGGTCACGGGTGAATTGTGTATGCTCACCTATTGTGTGAACATGCATACAGACTATGTTTTTAAGAAAATTTCTTTAATTTGATACTGATTTTTATATCATGTCAGACATAATGGGAGGCTTGGATTTTATTTCAGTACAGTTCTATGTCTTTAGGCACATATATGCATCATAGCTGTGGGGTTTTTTTAAATAGTAAGAGTCCAAGTTAGTCCAAGTGCTGATTTGTGCTAACAAGACTTGGTTTGTGTTTTCACCATCTCAGCCACATGTCTGCAAACACACTGAGCTCCAGTTAGCTGCCTTTGTGGGTTCATTCTAGGCAACAGTTTAGGTTGTCTATGCTAAGGCTGTGGAGTGTCTCTGAAAGCCTGCCATTTCCCTTTCAACAAAGAATTACAGAATTTCATACATAAACTCTCTGATTCATTGCAAAACATAATCTCCACATTAAATTTACGAGCTTTCAGGTTAGAATTACGGTTGTCTGTACCAAACTATAAAACAGCTTCTACAAGCACCTGACTTGCTGGTTTTGGGGTTAGCAGCAGGGATGCTAACTTTAGAGAGCTGACTCTTGTGAACCAATTGACCTTTGTCTAGAAACTATCCAGACATATAAAGTGTTATTTCCTGATTAAGTTCTTTGGTATAAGGAAGCTTCACTGGGAGATGTTTTAGTACAGAAGTATAAATAATGTGCTGCCAAATTACCAGTTGCCACTGTTCCTGAAAAAAAAAATAAATAAAAAAGTAGCTGTAATTATTAGTGGCATTTTGAAATCTGTTATGGTTTTATGAGGAATTTCACATTCCCATTCTCTATCCATAAAGCTGTAGTGTCCTAAAGCTTGCGACGTAACATTGCATATTCATGCATACAGTGTGGTGGTTCAATGAGGGGCATCCTATGGATGCAAAAATATCTGATGAGGGCAAAATCTGTATTTGAATTAACTTTCAGTTTCCAAACAGTGAAGCAGAACGAGAATACTTTCCAGCGAATACAGTGGACTATTACTAATCTTTCTGTGTAGACTCTGATTACTGAAGTTCCAGCCTGTTTGTTTCCTGTGCTGAATTTTGAGGATATCATCAAATTATGCATCATGTCTTCTCTTAATCCTGCTTTAATGGTGTATGATGTTAAGCACTAAGGAAAGGAGTGAAGTCTAAAACTGACTGATACTTGGTACACTTCAGTGTGGCAGTTGTGTACACCAAATGATGAAAAAGGCCTTGTTGCTGTGTGGAATATTACATTGCTCTGTTAGTGTCTGTGAGAATCTTCAGTAAATCGGTAAGCTTGTCAAAGGCTGCAGAGAGCAATGTATTTTTCTTCATTGACACTGCTGTCAAACAAATGGAGTTCTGAATAGTGCCATTTACAGAATTTTAGTTAAAGACATTTAGGCTGCAAATTCAGACTTAATCTAGACATGTCATAGAGCAAATTATCATGCTACTACAAAAAGATCCAATTTGCCAATTCTTCAGGACTGCAGCATTTTTCACACATTGTATAACGGTGTTAAATGCCATCTTCTGTGCAGGTTACTCTCCCTCTGCTGAGTGCTCTCCAAGTTTTGTGAGTGACAATAAAAGAAAGATGCTTTAACTTAGCACAGCTTGAAGTAAAAGCAGCTTGCTACTGTTACGGGCTTCCAGAGGGCTTCACGTGCTGCTGCTCTTTTATTTCTGCATCTGCATTTATTTCTGTTCATACATGTAGCTGCCAGAAATAAAGGTGAACCTTTCTGTTGTGTTCCTATTGAAAAGGAGTAGATCCTCCTTTTTTCCAGGTAACCCTTCTTCTGTTCCACTGACAGCCTGTTTACCTTGATCTAGATTAGCTAACTCAAGTAATTAAAGGTCAAATTTGAATGAAAATGGGAGAACCCTTCTTCAGGCACTTCCAGTCATTGTGCCACATTATAGGAAGTTTCTAATCTTCACCAAGATTTTCTTCAAATTATTTAATGCAAATTTGTCTATTAAGTGCATGCCTTTTTTGTTGGTGGGACATACTAGTAACAAAGATTATTGGTTGAGAATGGGTACTTGCCTATGAGTAGCTCTTCCTTAACTGATTTATGTAACTTACAAAACCTGTTTTTCTTTCTCCTTTCTAAAGCTGAATAATTTAGTCATTATGCACCTAGAATCTTTCCTGGTTCTCTTTAAAGCTCCTTTATTTGTCTTTCTCTCTTTTTCTCTGTCTTAATCTCCTTCCTCTCCTGCTCCTTAAGGCCTTGGAATATCTTTTCAAGTTCATTGTCCAATCTCGGATCCTTTACTCCAGAGCTACTTGTGGAATGGAGGAGGAACAGTTCCGCTCCAGCATCCAAGAACTTTTCCAGTCCATCAGATTTGTGCTCAGCTTGGACAGCAGGAGCTCTGAGACTCTCATCTTCACACAGGTTTGCTCTTTTCTACACCTTAACTGGCAAACCAAAAGGGAGCTATTTTCTGCACAGGCAGTATGTATGGGCACATGATGATTAAATGCAGGTTAGTAGTTTTCCCCCTCTAACGAGCTGATGATACTGGAAAATGACATAGCCAATTAATGTTATTAGACAGGAGCTTTGCACCACTTCACAGATACAGGTGATCTGAACTGTGGACTCATGAGAGGAAGGTGACTTGTCACACGAGAATACAATTTTTGCTCCTTGCAAAAGTAAAATTTTCGAGTGTCTCATCCGTATATCTTACAGTTGGCCTCAAGAAAGTTTAAAACTGTAATTGTAGTAGCTCAAGTCAATACTTACGGTCAGAACAACATCACAGTGGAGACCTTCAACTGATGTACTCACAGTCAGATAAACTTAACTCCAGCATAATCTAAAATTGCGATCAGAATCATATGCAGCCTGACTGCAAGTATACTGTGATACCCACGCTCACATTTAATACATTATTTTGAATATGGCCCAGATGACTTCACAAAGACTTGATGCGGGCTTAAGATACTACTCAAAGTGAGTAAGAATGCTGTGAAGTTTTGTTTCATATTTTAAAGACCACTGTACTAAATAACATACTTCTGTGTTTAAAAGTTTTAAACAGTAATGTCAAATGTGTTGTGTGTGCCTCAGCTCAGAGACTGTCAAAATGGACCACCTGGAACTTCCTGGTAATATGAAGGTGATTTGTAATCACTGATTTACTATTTACAGATGTTTTGAATACGTACTGTAGCTTGCCAAAGAAGCAGTCATGAACATTGCAACAAAATGGAGTGACTCCAGCAGTTAGGGAAGCTGCCAGCAATGTGATCTCTTTCTTAAGAACCTGCTCTGAAAGACTTTGAAAACAGCTGCTCTAATCTTTTATTTAATCACCCATTAGCGGGTATAATAGGATGAGCCAGGAATGTGAGGAATCGGTGCACAGAATTTTGCAGGCAAAGTGACAGTGAGTAGAAACAGCATCTTATGAATGCAGGCTGTTTAGCGTTCTTTGTTTTTCAGTTTGTCAATCACAAATACAGAGGGAGACGAGATTTGAGGATGGGGTTGTTTTCCCTTTTTGTCTGTCTTTTATTTTTTCTCCTTTCTCTCGCTGTGGTATTTCTTACTTTGGACTTTGGCAATTTGTAAAGTCTGTCCTTGTTTAATCTTTGAAAAGTTTACTTTTTGTTTCCCCCTTGCCACTATGTTGCCCCTTGATCCCAATTGCCCCATAGGCCTCTCAGCCTGGAGGGCAGGCGAGTGGAGCTGGGACATGTGCCCCACAAAAATGTGGTGGTACTTCAAGGCCGTCATTTAATTCTGTAAGTAACGATCCCCAGAACTGCACAAGTATTTCATCATGGATGTTCCCAATTAATCTCTTTTCCCTACCCCAAACCCTTCTTTCCTGCATATAAACCAGAATTTAATGTTTAAGTGGCTGGTACTTTAAAACAAAGAAATGTGGAATATTTCAGTAATTGATGGAACAGCTTATGGCATCCACACACTGAAAAGGGGTGTACACAAGATTATATACATCAAATTATTCAGGAGAGCCAAGGAGATTATGTACTAGTTCTGCAAACCTGGACAACTTTTAAATGTCTACAGAAATGCTTGAGGCCTTAGCAAGCATAGTTTTCTTCACACTTGTCCTCTTATCCAGGATATTAGCAAGATCTCAATATAGTTCTTTCCAGCAATGAGATAAAAACTGATTATGTCCTTCCTTCCAGGCAATTAGTTTGACATGAGTAATGTTCCAGCATATTTCAGGGTGTTGTAGAAAAACGGGCCCTTCAAGGAACTGATGAAACAGTGTAGCTGTTCCTCAGGATGGCTCCAGAGCTTCCTGAAAAGATCCTTAGATTGCGTATCCTTAGATTGCTACTGGATATCCTAAGAAATCCTTCTGCTTTATAGTAATATAAATCAGTTTAGGAAAACTCCTATAAGGATTTGTTGGGCCAATATTGTAATTTCACTTGTATTATCCCAAAAATAAAGATGATGACTGGATTTGCGACTGTTATAGCTTTCCAAGAGTACCGTGAGCTATTTAAATTATTCATATTTTTTTTATTTTGCTAGTACATTGTAGGTATGTAGCAACAAATAGGTGACAACACCCAGCAAGCTATGTGGGGTTTTGTGTAATCTGAATTGATTGTAACAAGACAAAATGTTGAGAGAGATAATGAGTGCAAGGAAGAAAGGGGTAGATTTATATTCAGAATAATTTATTGGGCTCTAAGTGTTAGTTATAAAAATAACTTAGACTTTGCTCAGTGACTATTAAATAGATATCACTGTTGTTTGAAGGAAAAGATACTTTGAGGAAAGATTTGACAAAGAAGGAAGCTGTATATTATATGGGATTAGGAGAACCATGACAAGTGTTAGAGCCAGCATGGGAGAGGTGCAGAAGTGTTTATGCAATTGGAAAATTAAAAAATCTGTGAGGAAAAGGAGAACTTGAAGAATAGAAGAAAATACTCATACATGGTGAGACTCTGGAAGGGCAGAGCTGAACAGAAATCTGCAACGAAGTTTGATAAATCTGAACTTCTGCAGAAAATGAGTGTGGTTTGTGTGAAGAGCTGAATTCAGACAAGGGAGGTGGAAAAGGCAAGAAGGGAAGCACGCATGGTTGGGGGCTGTGGTGGGCGTAGGTGGGAGTAAGGCAGCTGAATCAAAACCAGACTCTGCAGCAGTTCAAGAAAGCAACCACCTAGGAATTCAGGTAGTTATAATGAGGAAACAGATATGGACCTGGAATAGTGCAGGGGAAGAAAGAAAACAATTTTAAAGCATTAGAGGTGTGTGGCAGTTGTTAGGTATGACACCAAGTCTGTGGGACTTGAGGATAGGGTGATGCATGGAATTTTCTCCTGTTACGAAGAAATTAATTTAAAAAGTGTGAAATAAGAGGTGAAGAGTTGGATTATCTTTTTGTTGTTGTGCTGATAGTGTTTCTGCACTTTAAGAAACACCTTCAAGGACAGCTCCAGCTTTCTGGAAATACCGTTACTGCCAGAATCACGTGCACACTTACTTGTGTGATGTGATGCCTCTTTCACATGAAATCGCACCCCCATGCCTGTTGCAGAAATATTGTAATGTCACATGACAGTGCTGCTATGGCTAAGGGTCTGTTGACATGTTCTTTATTTCAAAATACTTTCTGCAAAGTTGTAACTTATGTAGTTGCTCAGTACAAAAATTTGGTACGGAACTCTAATCAGAAGCAAGTTTTATATTTATTGAAAAAAGTAAATCAACAAAAATGGACTATTTTCTGTTCTCTAGTACCTCTTTTTTTTTTTTTTTTCTGTTTGTAAGCTGTGTCCTAAAATACAGCCTTTTGATGATCCACAGGATATATGTGCTCAACTTATCATAAGACTTAGTATTTCAGCAGCACTTGATTTTTATACATTACATGTGATTTGTTCACTATGATCTTTAGGTATTGCAAAACATTAGCACCAGCCATAGCACACTATTTAGTAGATTTTGCTACTTCTTAGATTGATTTTGCAAATTTTCATTCCGTTTTACTGATGTTTCTGTTTCACTGCATTTAACTTGCAGTCGCAGAATTCAAAAGTTTCAGTTTCTTCATTTACTTGTTCCAGGCTGCTTTGCTGAACTCCTTCCCTGCTATCTTTGATGAGCTGTTGCAGATGTTCACTGTGCAGGAAGTAGCAGAGTTCGTGAGGGGTACTCTGGGCAGCATGCCCAGTACAGTGCACATCGGGCAATCGATGGATGTTGTTAAGCTACAGTCTATCGCACGCACTGTTGACAGCCGCCTCTTCTCTTTCTCAGGTGAGTCTCAGCCTTGCTGCTAACTAAGAGTAGGAGCATATTACATTTCTTTTGCAGTTGTTTTGGTGCAAATAATGCACTGCTGAATGCTAATGATCTTGGTAATTATTGATCTGGGTGGTATCGCTGTTACATATATTCACTGCATGTACTTCATAAGTTTTCCTAAGGTAAAAGTAGTTTATAAATTGTTCATGGATAAATTGTAGTTGCTAAAGGTTGATAAAAATATGTACATTAACAAATCAAGTCAATTATTAAAACTGCCAAATCTCACTTGGTAGATTGTATTACTCTTCCGTTGTTGTCATGGATAGGAAGATAACCTCCTTCCCAGCAAGCTTATTGTCTGAGAAAGAGAAACAGGGAGATCAAGTTATGTAAGAAAACCACCACATTCTTTTAAAGTATGTTTATATCACTTTAATATTTCTTTAGCTCAACATACTAGTAATTCTTTAAAAATTAATTGAATGAAGAAGGGCTGAAGATTGTAAGTTTATTCCACACATAAAAGTCTGAATGAAAGAAGTTATGAAGGTAATAGTCGAAGATAAAAAGCACCATTGGGTTTATCTTCCCTGTAGTAAGGATCTCAAGTTAGTGCACTCAAATTATTCTACTCAGTGTAAGGTTAGAATGATAACAACGCAGAATCGTGTTTAAACCATCCATTGTCATTGTTCATACTTTTTTTTTTTCTTAATTCATCTCAGAAAATATGAGAGAGTATAGAGAAGGAGTAGATTAGTCCATAGGTGTCTGTGAAAGAGGCAGTGAATTTTATCTAATTCTAGTTCATGGGCAAAAACCTCCTCTTCTGTCTTCTCAGTAAAGCCAGGTGTAACTTTATCCACATGGTCCAGGGATTTAATCCGTTCCGCTAACCTTAATTTCTCCTTTACAATGATATTGGCAACTGATGATGCTTTTAGTTGCTGCATAGCACCGTGACATCTCACTGCATCCTCAAAAACCAGGAAGCATCACAAGGCCACTGTGACTGTACAGATGCCACGTTTTCCACCCAACATAATAGTAGACCCCTGTCCTATTCCTTCCCATGGAACCATCACCCAACGCTCCCAGGTCAGCAATCTCTCCCGTGTCCTGTCTGCCCCTGGGAAGGTGAATCTAGTTTCCAAAGTTATCTTTTGCCTGCCTGCCCACCCTACGTACTCCAGGTCTTATGATTAAAGGAAGAGACATTCTCTCCTTCTTGCCTCCCATATGGTGGTGACTTCCTTTCCTTCAGTCTCCCCCTATCAGTCTGTTTGCTGACATCTTGCCACTTTTTTCTCAATCTCTTCCCTCTCCTCCCTTCATTTAGGCTACTGTTTTCTACAGCTGCGACTTGCTCTCCTTTCTTTAATAAGATTAAGGTCTGCAAGCCAGCTAAAAGAGAAGAATTAGCCAGTTTCCAAGAGGCATATATTAGAGAAGCTTTCTTAGCTGTGACAATAGAGCTGGAAAGCAACACAAAGTAAGCAATAGGAAAAGTTTGCATAAAAGAAAACATTAGAAAGTATCAGTGTGCAACTGTTGTTTCCAAGCTGAATCACTATTGAGAACACGTATACCGCATTTATGAACATTTGAAACTAGATGCACTATTCATTCATTAGATATCACTCTTAGAAGTGTAGTGTACTACAATCCGTGTGACCGGAGTTGCACCACTTAATCCAGTGTGCTGTATAATGGTAAGCTAGTTTGGATACCAAATGGCTCATGATTGATATGGTTGAAATTTAACTTTCTTTTGGAAGAACTGTGATCTCATTTTTCTTCTTTCAGAGTCCCGGCGCATCCTGCTGCCTGTAGTTCTTCACCACATTCACCTTCACCTGCGACAGCAGAAGGAGCTACTTATCTGCTCTGGAATCCTCAGTAGTATCTTCTCCATAATCAAGACCAGCTCTTTGGTAATCTGCTGCTTGATTTTTTATTTTTTTTTTTGATTGCACCACTGATTTAGTAAAATGAAGACTGAGGGATTTTTATAGGTTAATACAGGTTTTCTGGAAATCCTTTTAAAAACGAAATTCTGCTAACTTTTTGTCAGCAGGAGAACATCTGAAATGGGGGTCTGCTTTTGTGTGTGACTCAGAGCATTCTGATTACACAGTGTTCTTGCTGTTAGGAGGGGAAAAAAGCACACGCATTTACCAGGTTTGACACTGTTTAATTTTCTTCATCCAAGCCCAGAACTTAGATGTCACTGGAGTTTAAAAGCTCTACACAGCTCTAGGACTTGTAGTTCTGCAAGAGACAGTAACTAGCACTTTGTGATTCATGTTAAGAAAATACTCTAAAATTATCCAATCAATGAAATCACACTTACTTCTGGAAATTGCTGCTGAGTTTAAACACCCAGCTTTGATGCTCATAATACTCTGATCTCAAATGGTAACTTTTTTTTAATTTAAAGCAATGCTCACAAACAGAGCGTGGTGAAGTTTCCCCATCTGACTCTGAAGGAGGAAGTACATGGTGCTAAATATAATTCATACCAATTTGTATTTCAAATTACAAGTTTTGGTTTTGTGTCAAAGGAATGAGATGAAAGGTATCACAGTAATAAGCTAAAATAATACTGCCATGGAATAAAGGTTCCTGAACATAATTTGATCCCATTGTGTTCTAGAGTGTATGCAGACCTTTGATTATAGATTTACCTTTATGGCTGTGACCCTGAATGTTTCCAGCAGAGACTGATAAGGTAACACACACAAACACACTGGCATCGCAACAGTATCTGGTACCAGTGAGGAATTTTGAATGTACTCCTTTGACCCTCTGTTACGGAGCTCTCTATCAAAATGAGTTTGTGGTATGCCTGACTCAGCAGAACTGTCTTTGCCAATTCCGTTCTCTCCAGTTTCTAACTGTCTGTTTGCTCACCACTTACTATAGGAGGGAGATGTCGTGGAGGAGGTTGAGATGATGGTGGAGAGCCTCCTGGATGTGCTTTTACAAACTCTGCTTACAATCATGAGTAAATCGCAGTCTCAGGAGGCGGTAAGAGGGCAGCGTTGCCCGCAGTGCACAGCAGAAATCACTGTTAGTAACTAACAATCAGTTTCTATTTCCTGCTTCTCTAACCTTTGGTTCAGTCCCTCACCACCACTGGCACCTCATTATCATCTCTGCTGCATGAATGCCCAGGGCTTTGTCTTTCTCCCTTGATAAGCCACGAATCCATTCCTTCCTCTGTGCAGTAGTGAGGTCTGCAGGAGGCAGTGGGGCTCAGGAAGCTTTTGTGGATTTCCAGGTTACTTTCCTGCTTGTCTTTGCAGCTGTGATTGAGAGTTACTGTTTGGCACTCGAGGCGTATGCTAGCTGCGTCGCTGCCAAGGGCTTCACCCCTAAATGGGTCTCGCCAAGGACTACATGAGTATCAGGCTCTGATTCCTTAAACTGAGAAATTCCATAATGCTCAGTGGACAAGTCCCTTTACTTAACTCCCCGGAGAGGTTCTGTCCAGGTTCACCAATTATTTCATGCAAATAAAACACAACATACTTCTGAAAAATAAATCAACAGATCCTAAATCAAGTGAGCTGTTGGACTTGGTGGGACAAGAGGGCAAAGCCACCACTTTGTCCAGACTGCCAGCATAAGCCTAGGGGAAGAAATTTTTTCTTTGACATGCAATGGAAAAGGAGAAAAAGAATAGGATTTTGCTGTTCAGCTTTGTTCTTTTTTGAATTTGTTGGCCTTTTCTAGACTATTTTAGTCTATTTTTGCTTCTCAGAGTCTCTAATGTAGCTTTTGCACAATGTATGATGTTACGCAGTTGCTCAGAACATCCCTTTTTTTAGTTTGCTTTTTTATCAAATGGCTGAAACCTCAGAAGTATTGTTGGGGGCAGATGAACACCAAGGTACACTTTCTCACACAAGAGACAAGGTTGTATCTTTCCGTACTAGTCCAGATAGAGTAACGAATGGTAGAATCCTAACAAAGGACAGGGCATTTAGTAGTTTTCAGGCATGTTCTTTGATACAAAACATTAAAAGCGCTAGCTTGCAAATGGCGAGTAACATCTCAATTTCCTTTTACTCCTACCATTTGTCTTATTTTTGTTTATCATGTGCCACCTCACACCAAAGAGCACACCTTTTTTCCTAATGAAGTTCAGCCCTGTAAAGTTTATTGGCAGAACCTGTGTCAAAGCTTCTGGGTAGATGCTTGAGCCAATTAGAAAAAAAATTAAAATGGAATGAACAGTCCCAAGTATAAAATCCACTTCCTGAATTTATATTTCACAGCACAGTGATATGTGGAATCTTATTAGATACTGCTTAGAAATCGGTTCATATATTTTCCAAATTAATTGCTTATTGTTACAGAAAAAAAGTGCTGTGCAAGGGACTGGCAGTCAGAAGACATAGTCTGTACGTTCTTGGCACTGCCTTGCTTGTTACCTTGGATGGATTGCTTAACTTCTCTGTGCTTTGCTTTCAGATATGTAAAATGGGGGAGCTCATCTTTGGAAAACACTTTGGGATACTGTGGTAACTGGTTAGGGTGCATCTGCTTTGCAGGCCAGAAATGTAATTGTAGCTCATGTAGGCTTACCCAAACTATATTCGGAATATCTTACTGGAGTACTGTTAGTACTGTAGCTATGACATCGTGTAACTTGATGAACACTAATAAGATAAATATTTACAAGATTCCAGACACCTTTTGTAGCCCATACTGATCCCATGCTGTCATCACTATACTGAGTATCTGAGCCGATTAGCTTAAATAATTCCTGGTACGTCTGCATGAGCTGCAGTCACACCTTTGATAGACATAGTATATAAAGTAACTGAAAAAGGTGATTGTCAAAAACTGCATGCTTGGAGGACAATTCATTAATGTCTGTATTAATAATTTCAAATTATTTTTATTTAGACTACAACATTGGTTAAAAGACCTTTAAAACTGGCATCTCTGGAGGACCCTCTAAGCAGTGTACTCCTACGTATTAACAGTAATTCAAGAACTGTTAACATGCAGTATTTTTAATCTCTGTGCATGTCAGCTTTCCTCTCATAGGCATTGGGGCCATTTCAGACCCCTCCCTTTATACCTTTACCCCAGGTCGAGTTTTATATTTAGGAAATTTCAGGTTGTCTGAACTTAAATAGTTTCTCATTTGGTCAACAGGGAGAATATGTCTCCTGCCTTTTATCTTTGCTTCGTCAGATGTCAGACACTCATTTCCAGCACTTACTGGACAACTTCCAAAGCAAGGATGAACTGAAGGTACAACAGAACATCATGTTTCTAGGGTGATTCACTCAGAATGGGAGAGCAGAGGGGAATCCCTCCAGCATTACTTGCTCTGCTAATCATTCCCATTCACTGGCACTCCATTCATGGACCTTCCTTTCACCTTTATAATAGTAGATGTTGTGTTATAAAGGCATTTAAGACCACAGGGCACTGAATTATCTTCCTGAGAGCAAATAAAGTCCCAAGATAGATGTTACTAGATGTAAAAGCATATTGTTATTATACCATGTAAAACATAGTCAAGAGGAACAAGTTTTTTTAAGCCGATGGATGTAAAGTCAGTTGTTCTGTGGCATTTTACTAGATGTTAAATATGCATTGGAGCTTGCTTACAGAGTGTGTTGATTTTATGCCAGAAGAGAAATTTCAAGCCTTCTTAGGGATACAAATGTCTCTAGCAGATGAAATCTTTTTTGGGAAAGCAGTAAACTTACTACTCCGCTTGCTGCATGCTTCTCAACTTTGTGAACATTAGCTTAAATTATGACTATTCATGAACAGAAGGGGTTAGTGAGGGGTACAGACCTCGGTGGTGGCTTTTTTGTCACTGGCATTTTAAAATGGCACATCTCAAAACAGCAGAAACTAACTTATTATCTCAGCTTGCATAGGAAAGAGTATCTCTGACAACAGTCTGTTTGAAAAGCAAAGTAATTTTATAAAGACAAAATTTTATATAAAATGCTTTTGATTAGCATAGCACTCAATAAAATATGGACAATAAGAAGAATGTAATGTGGCAGGTACTTATGTTGCCCTAACAAATGGAGAATCAGTGAGAAGTCTTTTCTGAATAGGCTTTCAGCTTTTAAATAGTTCATGTGCATGTAGAGAGGCTGAATAAATGAGGGAGATAAATTTGGGATGATATGATTCTTACCTTTAGGTTGCAGGGTTCAGTGTATCTCAGGTTGACAGTGATTTGAGATTACTACCTTTCAGGCAACTTTCAAATTGCTCATAGGAAAATGATTTGGTAAATTAATTCATATTAGTTTTTAGTAGATATTTTTTAAAGCTATCTAAACTGTAGCTCTTACATCAGACCAGTGAAAAGGTTTGTCATTGAAATTAAATTTGTCTTTATACCCATAAAGGCAAACACTGTTGTATCTCTGATAATCTAAGAGTATGTTCCAGGAGTATCACAGAGGATGAAGATTTCATACCCAATGTTTTTTCTTAAATAAAATAAATTACTTTGTTTTTTCCTTCAAATACTGCTGTAATAATACTTCCAGTACTTTTTCTCAGATGGAAAGGCAATATGTTCACTTACCAGTGTTACATCGAGGCCAAAAGTCAAGGAGCTTCTGATGCTTTACTCTTAGCTCAGTTACACCAAAATATTAATCACCCCACCAAAATATTAATCCCCCCACGCCCCAAATTAAGACATAACGGTAGGACAGTTTTAAAGAAACCTTGCTCTTCCACTTTCTGTGCCATCTGGATTTTGTGTAGAAGAAAAACAAAGCTATAAAGTCATAGTTTGCAAGGCCAACAACTTGGCATGTTTCATCCTCGCTGTTGTTCTTTATAAACAAAGCAGTGCAGGTAGCCAAAAAAAAACAGAAATGTCTTCAGGTTTGGGGATATTTTTGAAAAGCAGATATTCAGCTGAAAGTGTTTAAAACATCTTTTCTGCTGCATATTACCAGAAATAGGGTTTTCTGTTACTATTTTTCCAAGTGTATGTAGTTTTATTGGGTTTGGGTGTGTGTTTTTCTCAAATTTGTGGCATGAGCACGATGAAATTTGGACAGATACATTAATTAAATAAATGCATAAATAAATTGTGATGCCAGTGTATTTGAAAATAGCTGCAAATTTGATACTTGAACTCTGGATGATAATATGAGAAGTCATATATGATTATGCAGATTAGGAAGGTTCTTCATCTCACTATAGAAGTTAAGATTTAAAAGAGCTGCGACTTGTTAAGTACATATTAGATACATACAAAATGTATAGACCTATATCCCAATATATGTTGTTTTCACGTGAATGCCCTAGTAACACAAAGCTCAAATGGAGCACATTTAGCTTAATCATCTGTCTTATGATCAGTTAAATAGATTAATCTGCAGCGGCCGGTGATTTTTTTCAATTTTTTTCCCTATGTAATAGGAGTTCCTCCTGAAGATTTTCTGTGTATTTCGGAACCTGATGAAAATGAGTGTCTTTCCTCGAGACTGGATGGTGATGAGGTTGCTCACCAGCAAGTAAGTAGAGAAGCAGGTATAAACTGTTGACATTCTGTATTGGAATTTTTTCTCCTCAGCTGGGCAGTTAAAACCTGTGATGCAGTGCATTCCATCAGACTGAGGTGTGGTGATCAAGACATGAATTCTGGAGTTATTTTAACAGTCTGGACCAAACTGGGACTTCTGTATTCATTCTGTTTCTTAAACTCTGCCAGTATGTACAAGTGTCAAAGAGTTAAAAGTTTAAACCCAAAGCTGATGTAGCTGCTTTGAGGGCAGCAGTGGCACAGCAGCTCATCATAACACATGGCAAGGAACAGCTACCCACACCAGGTGGTGTCAACAGGCCTGCCTCTCAGCTCCCTTTCCCAGTAAATTAAGCTACATTAAATATCTGTCTCTTCCCATAAACATCACTCCTTAACCTGTCCAGAAGGGAGGACTCAGATATTTTAGAAAAGGAGGAACAGACCCTAGCAATGACACCAAGTGCATTACATACAGTTATTTCTCAGTTAAGTTGTCATCTACCGTGTTAATGCTTAATTTTATCTGATTTTCTTGCTTCTGATGGATTAAGTACTGCACCGTTTGGAACGGTAGCAGTGTGATGAACACAGGGTGGCTGGAATTATTTACTAATTTCTTGTTTCTTTAGAAAAACTAGCTATAGAATTAGTACTGACTAACTGACAGCTGGATGGGTTCCCATTACAAGACGACACCATGGAAGTTTTCCTAAGGGCTGACTGCTCAGCTGAGCTGTATGTTCTGCGAGTTCAGCATGCTAATGAAAAGTGAAAGAGGTGGATTTCAGCATTTCAAGTGCAATGATTTAATGAGGTTCATCCACATGAAAAGAGTAGTTCTCTCAGATGCTGTAGGTTACCTGGTTCCCTTTGGCATAATTTGCCATAAACCTTTAGACTGATAGGTATGTTTGGTGGTGTTGCTGGACACGTTGCTTTCACGTGGATCAGAGATGTGCTCTTTCATTTTATACTATCATTGCCTTATCTACATGCTATTTATTCATTCCTGAATTTTTCACATGCCTTGATTGCCTTTCATTAAGGTGTATTTAGCCACTTAAAAACGAATACCAGGTAATCCAGAATTGGCAAAATACTCACAAATAGGTTGAGTTTAAGTGTGTGCCATGTAAAGAACCTTTGTATAGCCAAGACTGAAAATAGCTCAAACTTCTTGAGTTGCTCTTTGAACAACAAAAATCTTTCCACTGAAAACAGGAGAAAGATGGGTGTATTCTTTCATTTCACTGAAGGTTATATGGCCTGGCCATACAAAACAGACAGGATTTTAAGTGCTCCTATGTAAACTCCAAAAATTACAATAATGATGAAAATTCTTAATCTTGTATCACTTAGTGTTTATTACAACATAGAAAGTGAGGTGACTTCTGTGCGAGTCTAGCAGTGATTACCTGAAGAATCTTGTCTCTGTATGTATAGTAAAATCAGCAGCACCCATTGTAATACTTTATCCCAGATTCAAATGTTCTTTTTTGCTGCTTTTTTTTTTTTTTTTTTTTGACTGCAGCATCATCGTTACAACAGTTCAGTACCTGTCTTCTGCACTGCATAAGAATTTCACGGAAACGGACTTTGATTTTAAAGTAAGAATTGATACTGAGAAAACGTGGACATCTTTTTAAACTAGCAGTAACAAAGCAAGGACCTATTCTCTATATTAGCTGATTATATTTGCAGCATTTATTTGAGTATCTATGAGAAAGATGACCTAACTGGTAAAAGACAGGAATTTGAATGAGTTCTGGAATTGAGACGAAGTAGAACAGATACACCCTGAGATCAAATCAAGAAAATTGCGAGCCCCTCACAAAGGAAACAAGTATCTTCATAAGCAGTGGAGCTAATGAGGCATGCTGTCTTACAGATTCATGCCTAATAAAGTATAAACTCTGGCAGTGCTTTTCCTGAAGTTGGAGCATTCATGATCTGATCTTCCTCTCCCAGAGGCTCTCCTTCTGGCTATTGACCTTAAACTTGGAGGAACACAGTATCTTAGGAAATGTTTTCACTGTGTAGTTGAAAATGGACAGCAAATTCACTGTCACTAAGGAGAAGCTGCCAGACATGTACCTAAGCACATATACACACAGCATGATGGCAAAAGCCTCATTTCTTTGAGAAAACAGACTAAACTATAGGGCTATCATTCATGATATAATATAATCTCCAGGGTTTTTTGAGGGATAAAATCTGTTTAGCCTAGAGAAAAAGAACAATTTAAAACTTTGCGGAAGTCACCAAGTTTTACTCAGTTTTGAACTCTGGTGCTAAGAGGAAAGCCTAGTGGCATTACCTTCCTGGGCTTTTTAATTTTAGTTCCTACCAGGTTTTAAATAATCCATTGGTATCCATAAGAGTTTAGTATCTCAATAGTTAAGATACATATTGGTTAAATTACGTCTTCATTACAAAAAGGAACAGGCTGATTCTACATATGAAGGCACATATGTCTTCCTACACTTGTTTAAAATTTACTCCTTGGAGTGCAATGTTATAAAACTTCTTTCCTGTGTCACAGGTGTGGAACTCTTATTTCAGCCTGGCAGTTTTGTTTATAAACCAGCCAAGTCTCCAACTAGAAAATGCCACACCAGCTAAGAGGAAGAAGATCCTGGATAAGTAAGAACATGTTTTGTTGGGTTCCCAGCCTTTTCTGCCACCTCTAAAAAGAGACTTCTTTTTCTACCAAAGTCTCTGTGATTTATTATGGAACTTGGGATGTGGAGATGCTTGAGAAATTAATAAGTAGCTCTTCTAATACAATGTTCAGTGATTAGTCGAGTTGTTTTTCTTAAAATGTGAATTTGATATTTTTTTTTTTTCTGACATCACTGTCTTGCCAGTTTTTGTTCCATTAGGCAGTAGTTTATCTCTGTTCTTTCAGATACGGCGATATGAGAGTGATGATGGCATATGAGCTCTTCAGCATGTGGCAGAACCTGGGTATGTCTCTTGCTTCTCTGACCTAACAGCCAAAGGCAAAGAACTTTGGGTTTCTGTTGGAATTTTTATTTTTTTAACTTTCTGTAGCATCATGGAATTTTTATATTCTCTTAAGAGTTGTAAAACCAGGAAGCACTTCACTCTTCCCACCAAAAACTCTCTTCTGTATCGTCTCATCATACTTTTTTATTTGAAATAATACATTCCTATGAATTTGAATGCTTTCTTCCCAAATCTGATGGTGGCAGGTTTTGGTTGTTCTGACACATCAGTGACAGTTTTCATGTATTTTCAGATATAAAATCAGCTTTTTCTAATCTCTTCAACTGCACTGAAGTCAGGTTCATATGGAGATACACTGTTACTCTCTGACTGCAGTCTGATCTGTAAAGCAGAAATTTAAATTTTCACAGCTGTAACCAACTTCATAATATTTTAAATTATTCAAACGCCAAATCTGTAATGATTCAAAATTATAGAACCATGGAATGATTTAGGTTGGAAAAGATACACAAGATCATCGAGTCCAACTGTAAACCTAATGTTACCAAGTCCACCACTAAACTATAGCTACGTGTGTTTGATAATAATGCCCAGAAGTGGCATACAGTAAAGCTTCTTTTTTGGTGTCTTCAGGTATCTAGTATGCATAATAAATTCTATGTTACTGCTTTAACAAGGAAAAAAAAAAATAAAGAAAACAGAAAACCCAAACCAAAACCCACAAAAGCCCCATCCACAATAACACAATTTTTGTGATAAAATGTACACTTCTGCAATTTATTTGACCTTTTCCTATATGTCTTGATTAAGAAATTAATGAAGGAAAATGGATCTCACCACAGGTTTCAAAAGGTAAATGGAAATTTTTTCATCTAGGACATGTGCTTTTAGAAGTGTGCTGAAGCAATCTTGTGTTTAGGTAATTCAGGATTTTATTAATAGGCAAGCTAAATAACATCTGTACTGCATCAGAGCAAGGCCAGCTAGGTCCCTTGTCAGGGACCAAAAATTAACATCTGTGGAAATGTTGCAGGACAAAGAAAGCTTATAGTATTCTAGAGGGGGAAAAAAAAATGTTTGCTGGTAGAGATCACAAATAATGCAAGGTTCTGAGAATGGGTAAATCATTAAGAGGGCAAAGGAATGGTACAAATCAGATTGGATAAGTTGATAATGTGGCTGCAAGTACTATATTCAAAAAGCCAAAAATGAACATTTTATTTGTAGGAATATAGGTAGGAATGCTATTTAAGAAAACAAAGACTGCAATACAGACAAAAGACTGTCCTACAGATAATCAGATGAATGGGAGCTACCTGTAAAATGCCATGAGCAAAAAGGATACCATAGTCTTTGAGAAAATAGGTGAGAGCCTTGAGAAAGAGAAAAGGGATGATATTACTCCTATATTTTTTCATAAGTGCACTTCATTCTAGAATAGTTTACCTGGTCCTGCTTTCTACAGCTCAGAAAACAAACAAACAGAAGACAAAGACAAATAGGACAGAGTTCAGAGAATAGTCAGGAAAATGACTACAGACGTAAAAAAATGCTTTAGTATAAAATACTGAATAAGCCTGACCTGTCTTGCACAACTAAGATGATATAGCCAGACTTGATCACAGTTTCTAAGCATCTGTGTGAAGAATAAAAGGCTCTCCAACATAACAGTGATCAAATAACCAGAAAATTATGGTAGACAAATTCAAATGAGAGGTGAGGAATCCATTTTTAGACATGTAGATACAGATATTTATCATAGCCATATTTGGAACAAGATTCAATTTTGATTTATTCTCTGCGACTGCACAGCAAGCATGCCATAGAAGATTGTTAGCAAAATGCCTTGGGTTTCTGCAGTGCAATTTGGTCCTAAGTTGGGGTCAGTTAGGAAATTGAGACTTCCATAGCACTGAGGATGAAGAGCTCTGTTGTAGTTCTTTGAAATCTAAATATATTCTATTAAATACCAATTTTCTCACCAGCCCCTTCAAAATCTTTTTCTTCATAAATTAGAAGTATCTGTGGCCTCTTTTCCCCCTAGTTAGTATGTTTTAGTTTGGTTATTTTTGACAGTTTTAATTCCTTTGCAAGTAAAATGCAATGACAGTTTTTGCTGAAGGCTTTCACAGTGAAATTAAAAATGCTCTTAGAGATTTTGTAAGGAATGATGTAAAGCAAATACTGTTTTTCCTGTCCTTTCAAGAAAAGAATGTGTTTGCTTTTATAATGCTCATGCTTACTACTTTGCATATGTTGTTATTGCAGGAGTTCCCTGTTTTCTCATTGACAGAGAAAAAAAGGCTTTTATTTAATTACAGTTGCTTTGTGTTATACAGGTGAGCATAAGATTCACTTCATTCCGGGAATGATTGGCCCTTTTCTTGGTGTTACACTTGTTCCACAACCAGAAGTCCGGAATATCATGATCCCTATCTTCCATGACATGATGGACTGGGAGCAGAGAAAGAATGGCAACTTCAAACAGGTGAAGTCACTACCTAAGCATTCGCAGTATTCTTTTTCTTGCTCTGTCTGTCTGCAGTGTCCAGCTGGAAGCAGGGACTTCATATCTGTTCATCCATTTCCGATTGTGAAGAAGATGTTGTCGTGTACATATATAAAACCAGAAAATTTGAGGCATAATTCACAAACCTATTACAAGACTCCCAAGTTTATTTAAACAGTGCGGTTTACAGCAAGCTACGTTTCTCATGAACACAGAAAAAAGGAGAAATGTGCTTTATCATACTGGAGATGAGGAAGAGAAAATAATTTTGCAAGTGCTGGGCTCCCACTGCTCCCATTGGTTTCACTTCGATTATTAGTCAACCATTAAATGGGTCAGACTGAGAACCAAAAACAGAGATGAAAAGATTTAGCCAGTGTTTGTGAAAATGTTGGTCTTTGCTTCTCTGTCTTCAATTACCATCTAGAAAGTGGTATTGTATAATTAAAAAACTACACCCTGCTTTGAAACAGACTTTGTGACCGTATGTTTTTTTAAAGCAATTGTAGCAGGTCTCCTGGAGTGATTATGCCCAACAACAGTTCTGTAGTTTCCACCTGCTGTGAGCTCTGATTGCAAAACAGAGAGGAGTCTTCATCATATTGTTGCCCAGTCATGGTCAGAATTGCTTAGGTTTTCCACTGCAAAACAGATCCCTGAAGTGCAAAGTATTAATAATGAAGGATTGGTTTGGACTGGTTCCTCGGATGACAGTGGCTCATTGTCTTTGGGGCAATACTGGGGGCAAGTATCTGCAAATAAGTGCTCTGAAGTAGTAAATCCTTTTATTTAAATTATCATAATTCATGTGATTATTATTTGCACACTCATTAAAATGCCAGATCTAATCTATCGTTCCAGGAGAATAACAGACCTTTCCCATAACCTGACCTATTAAAGGCTATGTGCAAAAATGTTACTAGGATCTTATTCTTCCTCTTCAACTCCCTTGATTATTACTATTATTATTTACTACTATTATTATTACTGTAGCATTTGATCATAGTCCTCTTTTTGCCTGTTTTAGCGTAACAATAGAACAGTCCCTGCTCTGGCACACAGTTATAAGTACCTACAGTCAGCTTTAAGTTTCTGGACCTGTTTATACTTACTGTATCAAGATGAACTCTTCATAACCTTAATTTAATTTTTATACTCACTAATGTATTCTAAAATAAAGCTCCAAGAATATTTCTTAAATTACCTGTGGAGCAAATTTCCACACTGTTTTATGAAGCATATCTTGTAGCTTTCTAAGATTAAAGACAGAATAATCATCTGAATTAGTGAGAATGAAATAAATAGTTAAATCGCACAAGATGTATTAAACCTTATTAACATTAGCTGCTGAAACCAGTAAGTTATTTGTTGTCCAGTATAATGCTAAGTAGCTGGACAGATGCGTTACTGGTTTCCGTCAAGTCAATGTAGATCACAAGCAAAGAGAGGATAGGGGTTGTTTTATTATTTTGAGCTTCTCTTTACTTTTTGAATACTAAGTTAATTGTCAGAAAAAAAAAAAAAATCCTGGAAATTCATTTTCAAGCCCTTTTAAAGTTTTTTTTTCAGTAGCTCGTGTTTTAACAAGGTTATTTTTTCAGCGATACTGAATAACAATGCAGTCTGATTCATGGACTAAATCAGGCCTCCCTTTAATATTTCAGCAGCAAGGGCACCAACTTAATTTGTGTGCCACTGGGTGATTTGCTTCTCCCCCTCATCTTTATTTCCTTTACAATTTGGCAGCTGAAAACCAGAGAAACTCAAACCATGTTTGTCTTTAAATAGAAAGAAGCCATATTTCTACAAACAGTTTCAACTTTTAGGAACCTTTGTATTCATTAGTACTGAAAGTAGGTTTTCTGCAGGATTTCCAAGACTACGTGAAATTGGTTTGTTTCATGTTAGATACACTGATTTCTGCATTGAATCAATGTTATGGGAATATCTGATATCAAACTTGATAATAGGATGTATTAGATAGGTGGGGAATGAATACATATTCACAACCTTTGTAAGGGAAGAGAAACATAATGATACTCTTGTGGCCCTTTATGTAAGTGTGAAAGGAAAATGCACCATATAATCATAGAGAGGCTTGACAAAACTAGGCTTAATGGACAAATAATCTTCCACTGCAGTGATGCTTGGATGACTGGAAATCAGTTACCTACCAGCAGAACCATCACAGCAGACCAGTGGTGATCATGCCATGAATTAGTTTCTCTGCGTGGATGTTCTGTTACAGTACAGGATATAGTTTAGCTGGTATACTGGTTCACAGGAAGTGTGTCTGAGTGATTTATTTGATAAGAGAATAAACTTCAGAAATTCCTGTGAAGAAGCGTTACCTCCACTGGGATGTTCATTTAGACCCTGATAAGCAAAAGGATAATTGAGTTTTAGTCATCCTATTTCACTGAGAAATGAGAAAAGTGTGTCCGTTTAATGGAGCCACAGAGAAATACATCACTTGCGCATAGAAGTGGGCAGCCCCAGGGCATGAGGTGTAAAATATTTTTCCAGTCTTCCTAGGGCTTGGAGCTCCTATCTTCTACATGAACAGCTGGTTTGTAACCAATCGCTTCTTTATCCAGGTGGAAGCTGAGTTGATCGATAAGCTGGACAGCCTGGTATCGGAAGGAAAAGGTGACGAGAACTACAGGGAACTCTTCAGCCTGCTGTAAGCTATGCCAGCTTCTGCTCACTCTGTGTTGTGCGGGTCTTTGAAAGAGCCAAAGGAGTGATCTGTGCAGCTGCAGCTACAGGGCTGGTCTTCAGAGAAAGCAGTAAAGGGCGGCTTTCCGGCAGGTTTTCTTGACATGGCTCAGTGAGATAGAAATACATCACTCTACTTCTGAAAAGAATATAAAAACCTAAATTCTTCTTTGTCTTCTTTCTGTAAAATTGAATATAAAGCTGGGCAGGTAAGTAGTTACCAACCTCCTTTCAAAAACCGATTTGCTAGGGGAGCCAGTGCCTGCCTTTTTATCTAGCAGTAAGTGAAATCATGGCCTTAGGACTGTTTAGAGAAACACTGTACTACCTAGCAAGTCAGGCCTTGCTAGAGCCAAAGAGATTTTCCTCAGCATTTACCTTTGCTTCTTCCTGGTTTTGAAGGTCATGTTTTGGTTGGCTCAACAGTTGCAAGTTGCTTCCTCCGGAGTCCATCACAGCATTGCATTTCCACTCAAACCTTTCACAACAAAAACCCAGTAACTCATAAGGATAAACCTAAAGACTTTACATCTCACTTTCCACTTAGTTATCTTTGATTACTGACCTGTCTCCAAATTTAATTTCCAGTGATCCTAGTTTATTTCAGAAGGACTTATTTTGAATTCTGTCAGTCCAGAGCAGTTAACCCTAAATCTTTAAATATTTCAGTGAGCCATGAAGATCATTAGCAGAATTTTAGCCATATATTCCAGACAATTTTATGTGGCCCCCAGTAGCATGCTGGCAGTTTGAGACATAAACCTTCGTCTCACTAGAACCAATACTTCTATTTCTGAGTTTACAATTGCACATTCATTCATTTTCAAGATACATAAGCCTGCGCATCCTGTATGCTTATCCTTAGGAAGCATGTAAATATATTCAGTTTTGATTTGTGTATATTCAGCCTTGGGAAGCCTGGCAGGTTGTGTGTACAGATAACATAAGTCTATTTCAGGGATGAAGGAAAGAACATACCTCTTTTTTTAATTCACCTGGCAAGAGGAATATTGTGCATTTCCATTGCTCTAGTTAGAGATATTTTTTACCCAAAATGTTAAGAATCCAGGGACTGTAGCTTGTTACTTATTTTTAGATGACAGTGACTGGATGTATTCACAAGAAACAAAGCCTGAAAGTCCAGCAACGTTGTAGTTCATATTTGCTACTGACTTTTCTGAGAACAATGTGAACTTTAAGGAAACAATTCCACAAAGTTGTTAAATGCTGTGTGAAATAAACAGTTGACCCTGAATTCTACTGTCTCAACTATACTGCTGAAATGTGAATTGGCTCACTCAGCTGAGAATCGTTCCAGTACAGAAGAGTTGGCCTCTTGTGAGGACATGTATGACACCCAACAGAACTTCTTTACTCTTGCCAGCACAGAAGTGGCAAGTTCTTTGACCGGAGATACAGTTTCCGGAAACTAGCATGTAAATTTGCTTTCTTTTTTCACTTTTTAAATATGATTCTCAGTGTTCTCGCTCTAGCCTTCTCTCAACCTTCACAAATGTCTCGGTGAGATGTTTGCTGAGCAGGAGCATATTGCCCTTATTTATTTACAGTTTAAATAAACTGTGTTTCAAGGTTGATTGGTTGGTTGCTGATTAGAGACAAACATTTGTGGAGGGATGAGCAAAGTAAAGGTATTTGCAGTAGGTTTAGATTCCCAACTTCTGACTGCTGTTAGCAGTACTTAAGCTACGTTAAGCTACATGGGAATGGAAGTAATGTGGGAATCAGGTGTTGCAATGAGCACTGGTGGTCTTCATATATTTTAAATGGCAATGTGAAGATATTTTCCCTTCTCCTGTAAATTGTGTCATTTCCTTGTCTTTGCTTCCTGCTGCCTGGAGTAGAACCCAGCTCTTTGGGCCTTATCCCAGGTAAGATAGCAATTCTGTGGATTTGTTTTCTGAGGGAGAAACCAAGTTGTTTGTGGCTGTCTGCATGCACTATATCATTGCCCTGGAAGCCTCATCTGCTGTCTTTTCATCTCCGAACAGTTTGCTGGAGAAGATTGAGCAGGAAACATGGCGGGAGACTGGAATCTCTTTCGTTACATCAGTTACTCGTCTCATGGAGCGTCTGCTTGACTACAGGTATCTGACAACAACAGTAATATATTCTGAGTGTAAGAAGTTTGTAAAGAGGTTCTACCAAATTTCTGTTCTACAGGGAATATTTTTATTCTTTATCAAGCTGCATGCTTTTCTGATGGCAAGTATGTAAGCAAGCCTAACTCATTACTACTAGGTTCTGAGCAAAAATCCTAAGTCCACACTTTTAGCACCCTATTTCTCATTCTTATATGCTCATCAAAGATAAAGAAATTTTTTAACTTATAGTTTTGTACCTAGGGATTGATCGGTTGCTAAATGATTCATTCCTTCTGTCATTGAAATGATCTCACCTAACTCAGCAAAATAGATTCTAAATGCAAGAATGATCTCAGAAATGACTGGCTGAACCAGGATGTGCTGAATGCCTCATCTAGACATGCAGGGCTGGAAAACTTACATCTGAGGGAAGTCTGACATGTCAGCTGGTGACTCATGTGTGCAAGACTCCACTACAAATTAGGCATCCTTTATTTAGTTCTAGACTGATGTTTGCAGGACTATTGTGTCAATACAGCTGAGCTTTGGCTCACTTACAAGAAAATATTTTAACTTCATATATATATACACACACACTTGGAGTTGTTTTTATGGCATGACAATTTGAAACTATATAGAACTGCCCCAAATATTTCTGTCTTCACCCAACTGACAGGAGTTCAAATAATTTTTTCTTCCGCTGCTGCTCATTATAGGTGAAAATCTGTGACTAGGCTGTGTATTCTGCAATCTCAAATCCTTTTCTTTGCTTTTGTAGTTTGCTCTTTTTGTTATCCTTGCCAGTTTGATCCAATCTCCTGTTTGTTTCCTGACAACAGCTGCTGTACAACTACAATGCAAGACCAGATATCTGAGACACATTTAAAGGGAATGCAAGGGAGCTGATTTTTTTTTTTTTAAATGAAATTTGCTATCAATGCAACCTTGATACACTGATATACATTTTCATGCTTAACTGAGGAACAGACAGCAGTTTTTAATTGATTCTTAATACAAAGCAAATTTTTTCATTCCCAAAGCAGAACAGAACAGGGACCTGCACTGAAATTTGGAAATACACAGGCGTCTCTTGAAGTCCAGCTGCCAATTGGTTGACACAGTAGTTCTCAAGATAGTTTGCTGTGTTACTGCTTTAAAAATTTTGTCTCTTTTTCACAAATGAATATGACTTTCTCAAATCAGGATTAGTAATTTCTGAAGCCTTTAACTTTTTGTACTGCTTGAATAATTTCTAAAATACTCTAGAAACTAAAGATAAATTTTGTAATTTAATTTACTTACGAGAAAGTTAGTAATCTAGGCTAAATTACTTGGCTTGTATCTTTCAGCGTGCCAACACTACATTGGATAGCTGAATCTATGAGAGCTAATCCTTTGACTAGAAAACCACTAATCATTTACATCTGGTTAAATAATAGTTTTTCACTTTTATAGTGTATCTTTTGTTCAGATGATTTTTGGCCACTATTATCTGATTTTTGTTCAGATTCGTGTAAGAAATGTAGTAGCAGTCATTTAAGGTGCTTGTTCGCAGATACAGACACGTAGGAGGACACTCAGTTCTCATACCATTTAAGCCATAAACCAGAAATTTTTCTTAGAGGAACTTTATAAAAGAAAGTAGATGATTAACTCTCGTTTGTGATCCAAAGAAACTCTGGAGGATAAGATAGCTTAAAATTTATTTTGAAAGGACTTTTTTTGAAGCTGTATGTTTCAACATTGCTCTGCTTTCTTAGGGACTGTATGAAAGGAGACGAAACAGAAAACAAGAAAATTGGCTGCACCGTTAACCTTATGGTAAAGATGTTTCCTTTGTATCTTTGCATTAGTGTGCAATGTTGTCAAAGCTGTGATGGGAAGGGTTGAAATAGGAGTCTGTGTCCAGCAAGTGTAGCTCTGGAATCCAAGCACTGAGATGGCAGAACAGAATGACAGAGGTTGTGAAGATCCCCTGGAGGTCTCTGGTCCAACACTGTTTAAAGCAGGGTCAGATGGGTCAGGTTCCTCAGGGAAGCTGTTCCTTGTCCAGCTGTGTTCCGAGTATCCCTGTGACACAGGTTCTACAACCTCTCTCGCCTTTTCTTTCAGCTTTGACTACCTCCATTTTGAAAAAAGAATTAAAAAATCATGACATAATAAAATTAGTGGGTTAAATCAGTGTGAGTACAGAAAGAATTATTACTTTTCTTTTACAATAAAAATGTATTCTCTTTATACATACACAGATGCTGCTGATTTTCATGATTGAAGGAAGGGTCTCAATAAGAATAACAACTCTCTTTTTTCTTTCACAGAATTTCTATAAATCTGAAATTAACAAGGAAGAGATGTACATCCGCTATATCCACAAGCTGTGTGACATGCACTTACAGGCTGAGAACTATACAGGTTAGTAAAACATCCCCTTGAAAGTTTTTGACTCTCCCAGTGTTATTGGGAGATGTTACCTCCGATTTATTCTTCTGGAAAAAATTTGTGTGAATGTCAATATGGCAGCTGGGAAGATAAGAAGCTGACGTCCAGCTCGTTGCCTTAAATCGAATAATGTATGTTTATACCCACGCAACCATACGACTGTTCTGTTGCACCTTGAATTTTACATTGAAGTGTTTTATTAGGAAGATTGATGCAAAGAAATCACAACAGTGGAATCACATTTAGAGGAAGATTTTAATGACAAAACCACTGTTATATTATCATTTGCCATATTTCCTTGCACTGTAGTATTTATGGAGCACTTAGAATTAGAGTCCATACACTTTCTGTGTTGTCCAAGCCCTGTTTACAGCTGCCCGCCCCAAATCTAGTTACGTATCTGACTGTGCATTTAAATCAAGTAGCTAGTAAAAAGAAACTTGCCAGATTTGTACCTAAATATTGGGTTCATAGGAAACAGCTTTCGCTACTATTTTAAATAATTGAATAATTTAATGATCATCTAAGACGTCAGAATTTTTTCTCACATTGTAAATCAGAAATTCCAGACTGTTTAAGAATCAGGTCTAGTGACCTTTCAACCTGTGGGCAGTATTTATTTGTTGTCATTGATTCAGTGTTCAATAATTGTATTTCCAACAGAGGCTGCATTTACTTTGCTTTTGTACTGTGAGTTGCTTCAGTGGGAGGACAGACCTCTGAGAGAGTTCCTGCATTATCCGTCTCAGTCAGAGTGGCAACGTAAGGAAGGTCTGTGCCGTAAGATTATCCATTACTTCAACAAAGGGAAGGTATGCCAACTTCTTCTCTCTTCCAGCAGCTTCCTTCCCTTTTCCTGACTTGCTTAGGGCTTGCAAGCCTATCATCTCAGTTCAGTAGTCTGGAAATAAATTCATATCAAAAGGTTTTATAACCTGACAGGTTGCTTGTTGGCTCTCAGGACGAAAAAACAGATGAGAAAATGGACATGGGTATTTCATTATGCATAACATTTGGAACTAGTTTAGGTAGGCCAGCAGAAAAAACACCACAAGATTTTTATACCTTAAAATGAAACTTTGGATCACCTGATATGGCAGAAAGCTCTATGAATGCCAGTTCCTTAGCTTTTGGGGGGCGGGATTGCATTTTGAAGTTGTCTATGCAAATTTCTGTGCTATGACTCACTTTAGGACTTGTTTTGTTTCTAACTTATAGAAGTAAATGGGAGGCAAGGCACTGTAGGAGTCCCTTTATTAAAAAATATTTAAGTCTTTTCAGTGTCACTGTTATTTTAAAGTGGCTTTTAATTAAAATGCAGTTCCATCCGTTCACAAGAACAAAATCAATACATTTCAATTTTACAGATTCAGTATGTTTTTCCTACAATATTTTTTTTTTTTAATTACTGCAGAGGTAGGTGTTATAGTCCCTTGTGTCATGACGTTTTGGGAACATTTCAGAGGTGAACCTTAAAAGTGGTATTATCTGTCAGAATATTTTCAAATTTTTCCCTTTTCTAGAAAAATCTTACAACTTATATTATTGGAAGATAACGTCTGTATGTGCACCTCAGGGTTGTTTTTGCATGTGGTGAAAGTGACAGTGGTATTAAATACAAATGTGATTTGGTTCATTTGGGGTTGACATTCCAGAAAATTCTTACCTAGCCCTGATAACAAAAAATTGCATAGGACAGAGACATTCTCTATAGAACCTACAAAAGGAAGTCAGATTCCTGTGTGTAGGAAGAAATGGCCTATTTGTGATTAATTAAGAAGAAATTTTTTTTTGCCTGGAATTGTTCTTTGGTAACGATACTGCATATGGTTCTCTTTTTAGTTTCAGAAATTTTCAGGGCTTTTCAGACTGCACTTAAAAAAATAACTGACTGGTGCAAATATTGCAGTACTGTACTGTCTGATTAGCCAAAGATGATACAGAACCTATGTAAAACAAGTCAGCCTGTATTTTTGACAAAAACAGGCAATCCATATATGCACTGAAGGGGAGTAAAAACTTGATGGATGTAATTTTGCTATAAAACTCCTAACAGATTATAGAGTGTTAACCTCCTGAGGTTTTTTCTCCACTGGATGTTTTTGGTGTTACTTAACTTTGTGTTTTAATCCTCCTTTATTATAAATAGTAGCTGAATGACTAAATAATCTACTTACGCAGTGTATATGTCACTCAGGCTGTGGAAGTGAAAGATGTTAAGAAGCAGAATCCTGCTGCTGCTTTTCAGCACTCTTTCTGTTGCTGTGTCACAGGGAACAGCTCAGGCAATGGAAGCAACTTGCTTCCCTCAACTTGTGTCTGATAGTTTCTTTCTGCACTACCTTAAGATGGTCCCTCCTCCGGTCCTGAGGAGTGGACTTGGTTATTCTGTGTCCTTCAGCTGAATTTCTAGAATGAAGTTTCTCATGCTGCTCCTGGCATCTTCCACTAAGAAAGGGAGTCAAAGCAGCACGAAAAACGTGTAAAAATTCTGCATTTGTTAATGGGAAAACTTTCCCAGCACAGAAGTGTGGAAAAACTATGGCCACAGGACTGTCTTGTGAGTTTGCCATAAAGGGCATGCCAGTGGAGGACGAGCGCTGGTGGCATGGCCCACGGCAGGCCTGGAGCACCACGGCGGGGTGCAGAATTGAGCAACTCACATTTTCAGTATTGTCAATAGCAGCCCTGCGCTGGGCAGGAACAAGGTGTTCCAAAGCCCTTTCAGCCTTCCCTTTGGGTGTGTGCACTTTCCTCCTGATTTCTGCTATGCTTTGAATTGGTTTATGGCTCAGATGGCAGTGTGTGGAAGTGCATAACTTTAAGATTTAAATTTTTTTTTTCAACTCACATTTACGATTTTGTCTGTTAAAACTCAGGGTTTTCTAGTTGAAGACTGTGAATAGAACAGTTTGAACCCAATTGATCATGCTTCTGGACAGCAATAGCTTGAAAATTACACAACCCTCTTCTGTCTAGTTCACTGCTAGATTTTATCAACAGAAAATTCTAACCAGTTCCCATCACAGCATCACAGTGTGTATTCTCCTTAGTGCCAGCCAAGTGCTGTGAGACCCAAAGCTGTATTTCCAAAGCAGTTCATTTTTAGATTGTGTGCTCCATACCCAACATTTAAACTAATTTCTCATGTGCACCCTCATGTGAATCATATTTGCAAGAGAGATCTGTGCATGGGATGTAAACAAAGGTTGCCATTCATAAATGTTGATTGTCTCTAGCTGTGCCTCCCTGTGTGCACTCAGTAGTGCTCAGCTGAGAGTTGCTGGTGCCATAGGAGAAAGCTGCAGTAAATGTCATATGAATGTGCTCTTCAAGTGAAGGACATAATATAGAACATGCAAACAGATCAGATGTCAAAACAGAAAGCAGTAATGAGGGAAAGTAACAGTGGAGACGTCGGGAAATTATTTGAAGGGAGGAAGAATGATGCTTTAGAGGGAAGTGACACTTGTGTAGCACATGGAATTACATGTTAAATTTCTACACTGTGAAGATGGAACTCATTAACTTTAGAGATTTTAAAACAGGATCCCAGTAACTCAGATATCCATTCATTCTCTTTTCAAATGTCTGCAAACTCTTTTCTCTCAAAGAAGTTACCTGTATATTGTGTTTCATCACTTCTCTGCTTCATCTTGTATCTACAGAATATTCAGCTAGCACAGTGGAGTTTCTCTGTGTGAAAATCTAACTGAAACAAAGAGAGAAAGCCAAAGTTAGGATGACAGGAATAATACCAGGGTGAATGTAGAAGAGCTGGTATAAAGAGAAATAAGATGTGGTTTACACGTTGTTAATTTAATTCACATCAGAAAAGGAGCATGAAAAGGTTACATCTTTAGGATCACCTCAAGGGAAGACAGCCAGCTAGCTTTCTGCTTCTATCCAGAAGACAGATTACAGAATTACGTAGGCTTTAGCCACGGCATCTCGTTTGGAAGTGAGGCTGCTCACACTCTGTGTGATAAAAGCCATTTATTCCTGGCCAAATGTTTTAGAAGACTTTTCCATTCTTTCAAATAAATACAGATCAGCTAAGGAAACAGACTGAAAATAAATGTATAATATTGCTGTAAAGAATGTTGGAGCCTATAAAAAGTTGCAATGGTCTTTGTGTTTGCAAATATAAACACTTATCTGGTTAATATTGTTGATCCCAATTCAGTGTATCAGTTTGTATGTCATGGACTTTAACAGCCCACAGCAAAAATCCTATTAATTTGAGATCACAGAAACCTGAGTAATATTCTGAGTAGTCAAGTAACTCGTCTTTCAGTTCATTTCCTATTGCTTGTATTGTATTTATGTAAAAAAAATCTCAGGCTTCCCATCACCCCAAACTACTACTATTATCAGAACATCCAAATTAATTCTGAAATAATCTTTTAATTAGCAAGTTCTTATGTAAGTTTTTGTAATTAACTGAAGAGAAAGAGATGTAGGATCATTATTTTTGCTTTTTAGGTCTTAGAACTATCCCTTCTTTTCATAAAAAAGTTCTCATACTTACTGGTTTTGCTATTCAGAGGAAAAAAGTCTCGCTGATATTAAGGATGAGAGAAAAGACCCTGCAAATGTGTGTGCATAAAGGGAAGCTTTGTAAAGTACCTAATACACTAAATCAAACAGTGCAGAGATTCACTTTTTTAAGTGAAGGTACATGTAACCAGAAAAACTATTTCCATATTAAGTGCTAATATGTTAAATAATTACTGTTAATTACTGTTACCAATAATTTACAATATTGCTATTAATATTCTTAAAACTTAAGGTGATAGTCTAACTCACACATTTTGTTTTCACTACAACAGGGTCCCAGTTAAAACAACTGACAAGTTAGCCCAGTAATGCATAAAAGTTAATCCAATAAAGGTTCAACTCAGACCTTGGTTTCTAGATCTTTTACATAAGTATGGTAAGAAAGAGTCATTTCCCCAAAAGACTTCCAATCTGTGCAGGTAAAAGATGATGGAGAGGAGATTTCAGCTCATATAAAATGAGCACTCTAAAAAGCTAACTGGGGTAACAGGGGAGTCTTTCTCTCAATGTGGGCATGCCCAAACTCAGTCTCTTTCTTCCTTACCTCTGAGGGTGATGAGTACAGTGTGTTAGAAAAGATTTATTGTATGCAGACTGTAAGTTGAAGAAATTAGTTTTGTTTTCAGTTCTGAATATGGATATTCACTCAGTGCAGTCATGCAGGCCAGTTCTGAGAATGTTTTGTCTCTGTATTTGAGTGTTTCCCATTGCTTGACAGTTTTGTGCTTTCGATAGGAAGTAGCAGCCCTGGAAGGGGAGCGCTTTGCTGGGGAGTGAAGCCGTAACTCTTCACTCCAGGGAGTTTTAGTGCAGAAAGCAAAGGAGATACTGGGGGTGGGTTGAAGGGGTCTCTAACAAGAAGAAAAACTGTTAGTTGTATTCTCTTCAGATAAGTTCCTAGTCTCACAAGTGAACTGTCAGTAACAAGCAGTATGTGTGTGTAATTTCAATGGAACATATGCCTCCGTTACTATCTCAAAGAAGGAATTAATCTGATATTTAATGGGAACTGTTTCATCACATTGCATTTTCACATCTAATCCCTGGCATTTCATACCAAATGAATTCCCAAAATTGAGTTTCCATATTCCTCTCAACTGAGTTGGCAATAACATTGTTTGCTGTGAGTGTGATTTGCTTTGGTTTCACAGAGCTGGGAGTTTGGAATCCCGCTGTGCAGAGAACTGGCCATACAGTATGAAAGTCTCTATGATTATCAGAGCCTCAGCTGGATTCGGGTAAGTAGCAGCAGTTCTTCTCCTTGCAGGCTCTCATGTCGTTCCCCAGGGAATTTTGCTCTCCTGTCAGAACATTCTGGATTTAAAAAATAATCATATTCCCTATACAGCTCCATGCATTTACCGTGACTCCTTTGCCATTGATTCACTTCAATGACTTTGTAGGCCTGCTGAAGTAATTCCAAAGTCTGTTAGCAGTAAACTCCCATGAGTATATGCAGACAGCACACACGTAGGATCTAGGCTTGCTTTTGCAGTTGCATATTTATATATATTTTTGCATAAAATACCTTTTTTAAAAAGAAAAAAATTATATATTGATATTTCATTTTCATTTCAAAAAATATCAAGGACAGCTTGTGCTTCAGTTGACATACGAAGAGCAAGAGAAAAAGGATGGAGAAGGCAGATATTTATGGCATTCTTGTCAATTTATAAGAAACTGGTCCTCCGGTAAAACCAAACACATGATGAGATCAGGGCACATTTGCAGCATCGTGCTTTAATTAGGAAAAGTCAAAGTTCTGGTTATTATTTAAAAGCTTTATGAATGTGAAAATAGTTAATCTGCTTTTGTCCCCTGGGGTAGCATGCATATATCCAAATTTAACACTTATGCTGTGTGGATGTATTCTTATACACGGTGGTTGAAATTCTCTTTAAAAGTCAAATTTATTTGAATCTGAAGATTTCTAACTAGGTCTCATGAGCTGCATTTCTGAAGAACCTGTTTTCTTCAGAGTGGCCCTAAAGAGAGTATGGGTGACCGTCTTGGTTGTACCCTTGTTTATTGTAGACATCTGAAATAGAACAGCGTGAAAATTTATCCTGGTGTACAGGAAACACCATATTGGTAAAGTGATCTGAATGATGAGCAAACAAACTTATTAAAGGCTTAGTTAAATCATGCATCAAGACTTTCTTTCCTAAAACATCAGTAAATTAGCTATTCTTGCTGCCTCTTTACTATTTGGATTTAATCTGCTGGCAGGTTGATTAGCTCCAGCTGATCATTATAACCAATTTCCCGCAGCTTTTCGCTCACCTGTTTTCAAATTTCATAAATCTGTGTTGACCTGAACTGACCTGAATTTCTCCCCACTCTAAAGAGCTTCTCTCTATGCCATTCACATCATTCAACCTATTCCTTTATTCTTCCTGCAGTGATTTTGGGACCTTCTTCATTTTAGAAAAGGAGTTAATATATGTGGGAACTGAGAAAAAAGCCTTGATGCAATAGTTTAAGTCAAAGCTGCCGTTAGGGTTCCCTGCAGTGGAAGCAATGATGTCAAACTGATTCTTCTCTTTAAAAAGCTATCTTTTTTGCTATAGTGAAATTCCTGTGAGCCTTTCATCCGAGATTGTTTGGCAAGGGGTCTTGAAATCCCACTCTTGATATAAATGCTAGCACAGTTCCACAAAACTATTAATTGGCACTAGAGAAAAGTCCTTTTACTTTTTCCAAACCCCTTTTTAGTTCCATGTTAAACCTACTGGTGCACAGAGCTGTAGAAGATTTAATTTTGTTTCATCCTTTCTCATGCCCCTCAACTCAAGACAAACCCAACTGAATTGATAGAATTTTCCAGACTGTGGTATAGATTTTGAGCTGTAGGAAAGAATAGGACACTGAGCCACGCAACATAGATCTTCTCAGCTTTGCCATTAATTCTGCAATGCAAAGAAAATTACATGCAAGACCTGTTTAATTTAAAATAAGATACAGCAGAAAAATTTTCATATATCTCCAAAAATGTAAAATGAATATGGTGATACTATAGTCTGTTCTACCATGTAGACTGTTTAATTAATAATTTTTCTCTTTAAAATAATTTTTGGCTTTTCATAAAAAATTGTGGGGGCAAAAGAGTATGGTATTTTAATGTGTCTTAAGATGCTAATGTTTTAAATGCAGCTTTAAGGGTCTGATAGCAGCTACCTTTTTTCTCCACAGAAAATGGAAGCTACCTACTATGATAATATCATGGAACAGCAACGCTTAGAACCTGAGTTTTTCAGAGTTGGTTTTTATGGTCGGAAATTCCCATTTTTCCTACGGGTAAGCCAGACTTATACAAAATATGACAAAGTGACCAGGTTCAGAGTAGCAGTTAAGGCTTTGTATTTTTGTTGTGGAACTATGATATCTGTCATTCAGCTTACTTTTTTACACCTGCGCAAGTAGAAACAGCTTGTTGGCTGAACTGAAGGGTGTGATCCATTGAGAATGTTCTAGGAACAGAGATCAGAAATTTGACTCATGCCTATGTGTATTTTTGACAGTCTGCAGATGCAGCACAAATTGCCTCTATATTAAGCAAAATGCTGTACTGCAGCAATGTTGGGTTATTACTCAACTAATTTTCATCATCTCAAATTATCACTCTTTAAAAAGTCTCACATGACAGAATGATTCTAATACCAGACTGATGACTCTCTCTTATGCTATCTACAAGGAAAAACTTCCTCTCTCTTCAACAAAAAGCCTAGCAGCTTCTCTGAACACATCCTCACTTTGAGCTTATTTTCTGTTGGTGTATACAGCATCAGCTGGGTCTGCAATCCATTTAAAAAATTAGATGATCTTCTTTTCCTAGTGAGGAATCAAACTTAAAATGGATATTTGTTCATACAATGTCTTGTTGCTAGTTCAGAGCAAAGAAGGAATATAATCTGGCAACTGCTGTCTGAGAATTAATGGTAGATGCCATCTAGCTTGACAGGACAAGCTAACTTGAAGCATGCTTTCGAGGACTGGAGGTGCATGTTTTGTGTTCTCTTTGAAGAAATGGTTTGACAAAATGGCACCACTCCTGAGTTATGCAGTGAGAAGCTACAAGAAGCCAAACTGTACCATTTTGAAAATTGCACTCTTAAATTTCCTTCTGACTACTAAGTTGTTGGATTTTTAACTAGTATTTCAACATTGGTGTTTAATTACAGTCTTTTAATGGAAACACAGGCAGGGGAGGTAAAGGCAAGTTGGAATTAATCAAGTTGAAAATACCAGTGGATAAAGGGTGGCTTCATGTTCCTCAAAGGTGAAGTTGAATGGTGCCATAAGGTAGCAGCCTGAATCTGTGTAGAACACACCTGCAGAGGAATCTGAGGAAATTACAAGTGTTGCAGTATGAAGCAGTAGCTACCCTTTCAAGAAGATCTCCAGAGAAAACAGAAATTTCTTTTTTTATATCTAACAGCAGATGTTTCAGAAAATGAATGACAACAAAGTCATTATGGCACATAAGCATTCCTACATTTGAAGTAATATCAATGAATCTAGCTTATCTTTACTGTCTTATGGATCCTCCAGTTTTATCTTGGATCCTGCATGGCCTGTATGTTTAACACTGCACGAGTTCAGTGCACTTACTCTCTGTGAAAAGGTGTAACAATTACGGATACTTGGCTGGAGACATTATCAGTGAACATGAGCATACATAATTACAATCCTGGTTAATTCTGCAATTATATTTGGTAGCAGTACTTCTGATAGCAGATTACTAATGTAGCAATCTCATTAAAAGTCATCCTCCTCCTTTCTCTCTCTAATGATCCATACAGCATACACATTGCGAAGCACAGACTAAGCCCATTAGCAATCACATCAGCATGGATCACACTGTAAAGAGATTGGAAGCAGCTATTCTAGAGAAGAAGGCTTACATGGATTTAAAATTTTCAAGTGGATATGGCAGTGATTTAAAGTGATCAAATAACTCCATGCCCTTTTCTCATTTATTTTTCTATTGCTGTATAGCTTAGGACAGAAAATAACCACTTCTTTCTACATCTTTGATTTTGAAGATGCTTTGTCTAGAAAAGTCATTGTTCATGTTTTTATGAATTCTGCATCTATTTCTAGCTTTCCTACATAAGTAAATTAAAACTGTTCATGTCTTCCACCTACCAGAAGTTCAAGTAAGGCCTGACAAGCCACGTTCTGAAATCTTGTGTTGGCATCTGTCTGAAAAGTCTGTTAAATTTAGCTTTGAGGTATTTTCAGGGCATTATTTTTAGAATCACAGTAACTTTATTTATAGGATTACAGTTTTCCGGATTGCTGCAATCACTAAAATAGAGAATGCAGTAAGTGTCATGAAGAGATTTACCTTCAAACATGGGCTCACTCCAAATTCAATAATAGCTGCAAAGTTTGGGCATTACAGCCTGAACTGTCAAGATTCATCATGCAGTTTTTCTCCCAGTTCATTGGTTGCTGTGGCTGATGCATACAAAGTCACATACGTCCTATGAACATGAGATCTGTTACATAAAGTTGAAATGCAAAGCATAACTGCACTCCTTGGCTGTATTTTATAATTGGGTTTTGCTGCTTTTTCTTTGATTTTTCTACAAGATCAAGAACTGCTTGGCCAGAACAGTTAACAAAGCATTATTGCATATACTGCAGCTTCTAAATGCAAGAAATAGAAGGGGGAGAACTCTTCTTTGCTGGGATTCTCTCTTTGGTTTATGAAGCTGAAAAATCTCTCTGTACTTCTAGTTATTGTTATGTGTATGAGAGTTAAAACTACCAGAATTGGAGAATTTGCCTGCTTTGATTGATCTAGTGTCAGGCGACATGAACAGCAATCAAAATTGTGTTTTGTGGCAATAGGGTTAAGACACTGGAATACGATCTTAATGACACAGAGGACTTTAGAAATCCTGTATCTTGCTGTTCAAAGTTTGAGATGGCTCAAAAAGCATCTAAGAACTCCACACAAGAGATTTAATGCCTCAGACATATCTAAATGCAAGCTTTCCATTACTAGCAGGAACAAAATTTTGTTCATCAAGAGGAAAGTGCTTTTAGGGCTGAAGAGGGGCTTGCTAAGTGGCCACTGAGAATCCTTGGTAAGGCTTCTCCGTATTACTCCACTATAGACAGGGGGTTTCCTGAGCATGTGTTGTTCAGCATGATCAGAGGTGAATGGTATGGCTATAATAATACAGCGATGATTCAACAGTGATTTTTGTGAACAGTTTGTTATGACTTCTCTCTAAGGATAACTGATAAATTGATAAACATGTATCTCCCTCTGTTCTGTGAAATCCTCAGGATTTCTATCCATCTGGTGTAAACTGCATTTGACAGCAGCCTTCCCAGTGTAGAACAGCCGAGCTGGTGACTTAGTCTTAAGTTTTGATCAATACGTTTCCGTAGAGTCCAGTTAAAAAATAGGCCCTTTTCAGCTGTCTGAAAAGCAAATGAGAGAAGACAATAGGACTGATTGCTACATGTGTATGGATCAGAGGCATCTTTGTCTTCAGTGATCACTGGAATAGTCTACTTAGTTGTCACTTCTTGATGAAATACACTGTAAAGAAAATGGAAGGAATAAAATAGATCAGCTGTGTTAAATGCACATTTTACCCTCGCCTTAGCATAGTGACATGGTCATTTATCTTTGGTTTTGAAGCAGTAAAATTTAAAGTGAGATAAAAGCCGATAGAATTTAACTTACTTTCAAGCAGACTAATTTATGCTTGTCCTTCTTGCAGAACAAAGAATATGTATGTCGGGGCCATGACTATGAGAGGCTGGAAGCCTTCCAGCAGAGGATGCTGAGCGAGTTCCCACAAGCCATTGCAATGCAGCATCCAAACCACCCGGATGACTCTATATTGCAGTGTGATGCCCAGTGTATCCTTCAATGAAAGGGCAAACTGATTAGGAGGACTGTGGTAGAGCACAGCAGAGGACGGTATTGAAATGTCATCGACTTGGATACCTCAGTTCCTGAGTGTCTTAGGTAGAGCTGGATATGGGCAAAACCCTACATCTGTCTGCTGTAGCCATTCACTGGCGCATTGCGCGGTCTGTTGTTGGAGAGAACTGTCACTTCTTATTCAGGAGTAATGCCGGTCTTGTGTGATGTGTAATGGCAACAGCTGTGCTTGGTCACATCTATGTTTTCACCTTTACCAGCGGCATTGCCCTAATGCATGTTTTATGTCATTGGAAGTATTTCTAATACCTTCTCCTGGAGATTACTTTGTTGGGAACAGATCTTAATTCCAAAGTGTTATTTTCCACTGTATTTATTTTTCACATCGGTATTATTATTTTTTTGCATTCTCCCTTTCTTTTAAACTGCTGAACCCTTTTATACCTAACGCTTCAATCTCATTCTTCTCGTTGGTAGTCCTTACTGCAATTTGATGCAATCAGTACGATTCTATTTACATTTAAGGACTGAACCACATAACATTTAATGGGTCTTCAGAGACTTCTGGGGATTTTAGTCATGAGAACACCACTGTTGTGTGACAACAGCAAGGATATGGCGCGGGACTTTAACCATAAGGACATTGTCAGCAAGTGAAATCTCCTGAAATGGGTTGCTGTTTCCCACTTGTCTTTCATAACACGTGCATTTCACTCTTCTTTGCTATGTAACACTGATATTTTCATAGACAGAGGGGTGTTTGTATGTGTACTTGGCTGGTTTGTTTGTATTTGCAGGGATCTTGCCTGTAACACTGAGGTTAAACTGGTTTAATTAAACTGGACTGTAAATTGATGAAATTAGGACAACTTTGGTTTGTAGACAAAGCTGAAGTATCTACAGTGAAATTTATCAAAGGGAAATATTAGAGATTTAGGTACCTAAATACATGAAGATTTATTAAAGTTCCTGCACAAATGAGGCACCTAGCTGTAATTCATACTAATGGGAATGATATTCTGCCTGCTGTAGCTATTTTGGATGTCTTGCAACATACTCTGCGTCCTCAGGTATCTTCCACTTTATAATCTGGCTGTGAGGTACTGTAACTGTCGACTCTCCTAGTAGTTCTAGTCTAGCATTCTGTTGTTTCACGAAGTGTTGGAAAACAAAGAGGAGCAGGACTTTCTGAATTCACCATCCTCTTTCTTTGCACAGCAGAGATAGCTTTGCTGTTCGATGTCCTGTGGCTTTCTTTAACTACGTAATTTACAGATTTACAGATCTATGCAGTGACTCCCATCCCAGACAATATAGATGTGCTGCAAATGGACCGTGTCCCTGATCGCATAAAGAGCTTTTACCGAGTCAACAACATCCGGAAATTCCGTTATGACAGGCCCTTCCACAAAGGCCCAAAGGACAAGGAGAATGAATTTAAGGTAGAAGTAGTGAATAAGCAGTGTTGTGTAAATCTCTTCAAGGTGAATGCTGTCTTGTTATTTTATGCTGATATAGTCTTTCAAATAATCCTGATTTGATGACCAAAGATAATATAGTAACTGAAATAACAAGTAGCTGTTGAGTCCAATGGTTGCACACCTGGCCTAATTAAAGCACTGTACAGTTTAAAGGTGAGTTATTTTAGTGCCAGGAGAAAGGCATTTTGAAGCAAGGCTGCATTTTTTTGTTTGGCTGGAATTTTTTTCTTACTGCCATATATGTCCATAATGTCTTCTCGGTTCTCATGACAGAATTGGTGGTCAACCTTTAAAAATTAATAGAAATGTTGAATGTGTTGTTTTAGAGCATACTGAATTCTGATTTTGTTGTTCAAGTGACTTTCAGCATGACATTCTGCAAAGTAAGTTAATGCTTGGGAGGTTAATAAATTCTTTTCTGAACTTCACCCCCTTAAGCACCTGTAGTACAAGTACAGACAATGTGATTGTGATTCACTGTGTACCTCACAGCCTCAATTACTCTTTGCAGAGCTTGTGGATTGAACGCACCACTCTGACCTTGACTCACAGTTTGCCTGGGATCTCTCGTTGGTTTGAAGTGGAGAGAAGAGAACTGGTAACAGTCATAGTTCCTGTAATTGGGGTTTGAAATTATGAGTTACTGAGGACATGGGATAGGCAACTTAAAACTCCTTTGGCTGAAATCTTGCAGTTTAAAATGATGAAGTTTACCAATAATTAAGTATGTCCTTTTCCCACCACTTAGACTAAATAATTGCTGAACGTAACCAGGGGAATTATGTGAGGGAACGTGACAGCATAATGGAGAAACATCATCAAAAAGATGGAGTGATTGTATTGTTGCCATGTCTTCCAGGATATACAGAAAGAAGTTATCGCAACTAAGTGACCTGAAACACAGCATTGCCAACAGTAAAGTTTGCTAGTGTAGCTAATTTTCTACAAAGCAGTCAAAACTAAGCGAGGTCACTGAACAATCCTAGGGTATCATTTCATTACAGGGAAGATAATAAATCTCAGTGAAGTGTCCATGGAATTAAAGTATATTTTATTGCCTTTGAGGTTGAAGTCAGTCCTTTGGAAAATGCCATTCAAGTGGTTGAGAACAAAAACCAGGAGCTGAGAACACTGATAAGCCAGTACCAGCATAAACAAATGCATGGTAACATTAATCTTCTCAGCATGTGTCTGAATGGAGTGATTGATGCAGCTGTTAATGGGGGAATTGCACGATACCAGGAGGTAAGCCAGGCTCTGCTTCTGAGTTTAGTATCGCCTTTTTTCAATTTTATTTCCATTTCTGTTTCAAAGAGAGTATTACTTAAGAAGATAAGAAATTTTCATGCACATTATCTAAATATGAGGTTAAACACCCTACTCTGTTATTCTGCATCAGTTCTTGCATAGCCACATGTCAACAGGAGGATCTGAAGGTGGAACTGGGATATCGCATTGAAGTAGGTACAGTTGACAGTGGGGTTTCTCAAGAACAAAACTTGGCTTACCTGGAAATGAGATTTTTTTTTAATATACTGCTTACATTACAAATGCATTTTTCAGTAGAGGCAGTGGGACTCCTGGTAATCGAGAATGATTGGACCTGTAATCAGGAGAAGCTACTAATTCATGCTACTCGACCATTATCTTTGCTAGCCTTAATTTCAGACTAGTGTAACCCTAAAATGATCTTACATGCGGTATGTTATATGATGTAATACTTTGGCAAGCTGTTGCTTAAACTCCACATTGCAAAAGGTAAGTCTAGGGTGAAATACTGAAAAACAGCAGCAATGGTCCAGGAGCGTGGGACACGTCTTCCTTACAGAGCCATGAAGGGAACACCTGTCGTGCTTTACATTAGTTACCACTTTACTCACTTAATTCCTTTAACATTAAGCAGTTATATGAAGGAAACTGTATGAAATTTAAATAACTGGATGATACAAGGCTTACTGGTATTGCTTATCATTATCACAGGGGAAAACTTGGGTCAGATTCATGATTTAACAGAATCCTCTAGGTTGCTAAAACCGTACTGTACCTCTACCTGGATCCAAGTGTTAAAAGCAATAAAACTGAGCTGCTGCTGTTAGCTTAGTATATTTAGTTTTCCTAAGATTTTGGGGCCTTTTCGTTTCATCCTTTGAGACCAAGTTACAATGAAGCAGTAACTCTTCCAGTAAGCAGAGAGCTTTTTTTTTTTTTCTTCTCCTACAGGCCTTTTTTGATAAAGATTATATCACAAAGCACCCTGGAGACGCAGAGAAGATCACACAGCTCAAGGAACTCATGCAGGAACAGGTATTGGTTTTCAGATGCAAAACAACATTGCTACAGTAACTGGATTCATCAGCAGTCAGTCTAAACATACCAGGTCCAACTGATTCATTCAGAACTAAAGAATATGGTACAGGAGATCTAAAGTCCATATAAACAAAAAGCAGTGGGGAGATGGCCAAGTTTATGAACAAGCCATTCATCTTACAGGATGTGAGGTGAAGCTCAGCTAAAGGTACATTAATTTTGTTGTTTCCATTTATTATCCGATGGTCATCTTGTCACATTTCAAGCCTGCCATTCATTTTTGGCATGTTGAATTATGTCTTCCCAGTAAAGTTCAAAGATAATCAGAGTCAGGACAGGTCAGGCTTGAGATTAAATTGGCAGAGCTACATGGGAAGACTTAATGCCTATTTATATTATCTACAGTTTTACTTTTCCTTAGTGTCTCCATGAAACATCTTGGTAGATAAAGCTAGCTGAGTGCTTTGATGGTAGTGAAATCAGAAAATCACATTCCTCTTAACTGAAAGTTTGGCAAGATATAACTCATTAAACAATGTGTCCAAGTCTGAATAGAGCTACTAGGCCTGTTTCTTCAACAAATCACTTAACTGCAATTCAGATTTCCCATCTGTAAAATAAAGATAGTGCTTATCTCCCTTCAATCCTCAAGAGAATGTCTGAAGATTAATTAGTTATTGTTTGTACAGTCTTTGGATCATGTAGGGAATTATATACATTTTAAGTCTGCTATCGTTACTGTTTCCTTTCATCGGAGAGCTTCTATAATTCATTCAATCACTAATACTATATGTTTGACCTTTGCAAAATTGACCTTTAAAAATAAATAATGAGCAACAGAAAGAGGGACTATGCATGCCACAGTGCCGCTGTTCAGCTCAATTATGAGTAACTCCTTTTAGACATTTCTGTCAGCAACTTTGACCCCTTCTCTGACACTGGGTGGAAGGAATTTCCTTTGTCACAATGCGTTATCTGTGTGAGGACATAACGCTGTTCGCTCTGGAGAGACAATCAATCTGGTAAATTTTTACAGTTATCTCTTAATAAAAGTAATCCAACATGACATAAATGTACTTGTCTCACACTTCAAGTACTTGTTGAAGTAATATGAACTTGCCAGTTCTCTTAGGCTTGCTTAATTATCAGCAGCTTGAACAGTTGCATATTTTACAGTGCTTTCTTGCACACTGACAGACACTGAGGGACAGGCTTCTATTCTGTCTCTCAGACATGATTTATTCGTGTTTGTGATGTTCTGTTTTAACAGGTGCATGTCTTAGGAGTGGGCCTGGCAGTCCATGAGAAATTTGTACACCCAGAAATGCGCCCCCTACATAAGAAACTGATAGACCAGTTCCAGATGATGCGATCCAGTCTGTACCATGTAAGCTGATGGTCATTTTTCCCATTTTGAATTACTCAGTTATAATTAAACTCCTATCAGTTACAGTAAGGTTCACAAAAGCACTGGGCTGATACAGCACTGATTGAACCTGCTGGATTGACAAATTATCAAAAGAATTCTTGATTTTTGTGCAAGGAAGTCCCAGTATTTTGATTTAGCCTTTAATTTAAAGTATAATTTTAATTATTTGTATGTTCTTTGCTGTATCACAAAACAATTGTAAAGCTTAATTTTCAGTTACTGTCTTACGTAGCAGAAAATGGTGTATAACAGAGGAAGAAAGATTAACAGAAAGTGTTAGATCCTGAGCTCTTCAAGAGAGCTCCCATAATTTGGAGTAGCATGACATGGATTAGGCCTTCCAGAGGTGTTTTTATATAGACAGTGCCAGAAATGCCTGTTGGTTACGTTAGGTATCCAGCTCTGGTGGTCAGGACACGTGCTGTTACGGGTCTATAGTTCCTATGAAGCCAACGGAACCGCTTCCTGCGCGTGGTTCACACCACCTGTTATATACCAGAAGTACAAATTCCATCCCCTAGGAACGATTCCTTTCCTTCTGTGTGTGCTCTGCTGTATGTTAATACTCCCAGACAACTATACTTGAGACATCTTTGCCAGGTGGGTCTCAGAAATTTGCAGTGTATTTTCCTCTTCCTGGTGTAGTGAAATCTTTATGGATACCTAGACACTATCTTGAACATTATCACTACCAAACTAAAGGGTATCTTTCTATAATGTAAAAGAATTACTTAAAATATGTGTGTTAGCATTTTCCAGCTGGAGTCTGTCTTTTCTAAGGTAGTTTCTAACTCAAAGGCTTTTTCGTCCATTCTTAGGAGTGAACACTGTGCAAGGATGGCCAGAAATAACAGCACCAGAATGTTCAAACATGGCCTTTCTCTTTCAAAATGGATAAGACCGGTACAGGTCACAGTTGCCAGTTTGAGTTCACTACCTTGCTTGAAAGTTTGAACAAAATCTGTATTTTTGAGTCCATATTTCTTTTTTGAAAAATGTAGGTGGCTGTAATTTGGGCCACACTACGCCTCTATTTTCCTCCCAAATTCTTGAAATAGTGGCTAGAAAGTGTCATTGGAAATAAACAGAGAACGGGGTTGTAAAGCACTTGAAGCTCTTTATCCTGTGGAAATGCAGGATAACTGAGGATAACTGTAGAGAACATGGAAACAGATAAGGATTTTCCTGAGAATGCTTGTAATTTTCCTCAGCCAACTTAGCTGAAGTTTGTTTCCTTTACAGGAGTTACCTGGTTTGGATAAGCTGAGTCCAGCCTGTTCTGGCACCAGCACCCCACGCAGCAACGTCCTGGTTTCACATGGACCTATGAGCCCAGAGAGCATAAAGCTGGTGCATCGACACAGGTACCCTGGGTTTTTTTCTGTTGGAATATCTCAGATGTCTGCACACTGTTGCATTAAGATTCAAGGATATTAGAAGTGGTTAACAGAACCGCAAAAGGAGCAGGATGTGTTTTGGCAGAAGTGCCTTTCTGCACTCAGTACTAATTACCAAAGGTTGAGAACTGGAATCAAAAAGTTGAGAAATCCAGTTTGCCGCAAATGCTGAACACCTCCAGGTGTTACTCCATCGCTTTGACTTACTGCAGAGGCAGAAACACACATCTGCCACTCAGATCTCCAGATTCAATCTGCCTTTGGAGGTTCCATATTCTCCTACCACTTCTGTTACGCAAACAGCAAATAAATGGGTCCTTACCTACCATAAAAGGAAAATATTATTGCTTCTTTTAGAACCCAACTCAGTATGCACCCATTTTTAAGGATCAAAAAAATGTTCGCGTCATTCTTTTTTACAATTCTGATCAAATCAAAACCCAAATATAAAAAAGGTTGCAAAGGAGTTTTGATCAGAATACTGAAAAATGGCTCAGACTTCACAGAAACACCTGCAAATGTGGATGCTTATTTAAACTGAATACCCACCTATAAAAGCTGAGGTAATGGTTGAGGATCAAAATTGGGATTTTTAGGGCAAAACTGTTTTTTGTATCCAGCCAAAACTGCTTATTTGAAAGTGTACACATCCACGCCGGTGTGAAAAACAGTGACAGGAATGTCACTGAAGTTATGAAATTGTAATTGTCCTTCCGTGTTTATTTCTCTTGGTGGCTTTAAAAACAGCTTAGCATGAAAAGCTGTGAAGACTTAGTCTTGAGTACATGAATCCAGGATGGTGACATTCTTTTTGCTATTAAAATTGAGTAGCTCTTACACTGTTTTAGTGGTTTGGCAGCTGATAATTGGTGTCTAGCTGGTAAAATTTCTTTCCTCAAAATTACTCACTTTGTAAAGTCTCTTTTAGTTCTTAGAGCAAACTAGGGATATTCTACAGTGTACCAACTATGTGTTTGTGTATGTGATTCAGAGTGACAAATTAAAAATTAATTCCATGAGTGAGATCAGGGTGCAGCCTGCACACCAGATGGGCTGTATTAATTTACTGTCAGCTACAAAGTTGCCTTCAGCTGTAATGCTGAGGCCCAACAGATACAATAAGGAAAACTGTATTTTTGCCCTGTGTGTCTGCTGCTTGGCTTCCTTTGGAATGTTTATTTTTAAGCTGTTCCCACTCATCGTATTTCAGCATTAAAAAGTAGAGTGGTTTCAGACTATTCTGTTATAAACAAAAATATACACCCAGCATCACGATGTGATGCTAACCTGGCTTGGGATTCTGAAGTTCTACATACTGCATACGACGTTGTCTTACATGTATCCTTATTGTCACTTCTCTCATATTTACTCACATTTATGGATTTGTTTAAGCTTATTCAGCCTGATTTTTCAAAAGTGTTTGACATCTAGAGGTGACCTAAAGCAGCAGGTGACTGTAGGTACTTACTAGCTTGGAAGAAATCAGGCTTCACAAATGAAAACACAGGTTCAAAAAATAATTACGCCCTTGTTCTGCCTGTTTTTATTCCAGCCCACTGAACCTGCTTGGTTCAGTCCGACACTCGTCATCCTCTCTGTCATCCCACACCTCCAGTGAAACAGGAAACCTGGTTATCCTAACAGACAGTTCTGTGGGGGAGACTGCTGAGGATATGTACCACATGCAGGTACAGCTCCAGCCCGGCCAGGAGCGGCTGTCAAACAGCACTGAACATGCTCTGGAGGGTTATGCTTAGGAGGAGTACACTTTACCTGTGCACATGCTTGGATCTGTCCCGTGATATTTTTCTCAGAGCACTGAGTAGGTAGACTGTAACATTGTTCGAGAAAGTTGATACTGTGGTCCAAGATCTTCCTGTTGCTTTCAGAATGTGAGATTTTAGTTGGCATGTTACTTATCTGGCCTGTTCAACACACACAGTTAGCATTGCTCTTGCCTTGTGGGAGGGAGAAATGAGTCCCACAGTCCTGAGTGCAGATTAATAGTGCCCGGCACAGAAGCTGCTTCCTAGGCTGAGGCTGCACTGGGTGATCTGAGACAGGTAAATATCTAATGCACTGATCCGTTCAGTTCTCTCTTGATGGTTTCTCTGCCTCCAGCAGCTTGTTTGCCCTAACTCCAGGTACCAAGGCTCAGTCACCAACGTCTCTGTTTTATCCTCGTCCCAGGCTAGCCCTTCCACTTCAAGCCTGAGCTCTACTCACTCGGCACCATCCCAGATGATTAACTCTGCCCCTTCCAGTGCTCGAGGTAAGAATGGATGGGCCCAGATGAAGGGTTAACTGGACCTGTAGGCATCTCCTGAACCTGGCAACCCTGACTTGTTGGTGAAAGACCACCTGCACTGAAGTATACCACTGTTTCTCCTTTGGAGCTGTAAATGCCTCTTCAAAAATAATTTCTTAGAAAATGTTTTTCATTCTCCAGAGATGGATTTAATAATTTTTTTTTTCAGCAGTATTTGGAATGTATCTCTAATACATGCTGCTTTCAGGCAGCTGAATTTCATAATGATTTCCATTGTTCCATCACAAAATTGTGGCAGGCAATCTAGAGGAAAACAAGAATAGTCTTTGGTACAGTACTTAAAAGAGAGAGATTATGAAGACAAAAGCAAAAAAATCATTTTACACGTTTAATGAAGTTATGGCACAAAAAAGAACTTGCGGCAGCTTAGCAGAAATGTGTGTATACAAAAGCATATGTCTGTGATGAATGGTGAAAGACACAAATTTTAAGTATCGGAGTTAACGAAGGGCTTCCTTGCTGGTTGATTCTTGAAGAAAGGAAAGGTGTAAAAACAGACTCTATGGATACTCATAATTGCCTTTGCTGTTACAGTAGCTGGTCTTGATATTGCTAATCATTTTCTTCCTAAAACTCAGAGCTGAAGCAAAACCACTCCATGCAATCTTCCAACTTTGGTAACTTCTATTCAAGTCTTTTTTTTTTTTTTTTTTCCTTTCATTTTGGATTTTTAGTTGCAGGTTCACAAATTTCTACACCTCTTTTCACAGGCGTCTGAAGAAGGTACCCAGGGTATAGTCAGAGATAGAGGCTGATAGTTAAATCTTACCCCTTTCTCCCATACAGGGGAACTGTATGTCTCCTTATGGACAGGCAATACAGAGAAATCTCAGGCCAGATTGGGGCTTTTTTGCTCAATCTTGCAGTAAAATCTACATTGACTGGCTGTCGTTATGACACAGATGCAGCAAAGTGATTTAATTGAAGGACCAGATGGAGTAGGAAGGTGAGAAGTGGACATCTTCAAATAAAGACAAATAACTTCACTAATTATCAAGGGCTGGAAGGAAAATAATGACAATTCAAATAGTAAAGTAGCCAGATTAAACTGGCATAACGGGAAAGCGAAGATGGAACTGAGTACAGGGCTATCCTATCAGGAAGACGCCCTTAAATGGATGTGCCTCAGCTGCCACGTGAGCTCTGAATCTTCTGAGGGATCTGAGGGGGTTTTGGGGCTCACAGTGTTTCAGGCTATTTTCCTCTCTAAAAGTCCAGTGCTCCCAGTGACAGGCTGTGACAGTCCTTCTGAGCTTGATGACTTCACAGCATCACCAGCTTCCCTTTTTACCGTATTCTTTGCTGTTGCTTAGAAACCAAAGTGGTGAATGCTCTGAAGGGTATGGTGCCGATGGATGAGCCAACAGCACCTCCCAGAGACGAGAACCAGACAGTGCAAATGACCACAAATGAGGGAACAATAAGAGACATCATGATTTTGAAAAATACTTCAATATATATATCTATTTTATTCTTCACTCTTACTAACATGTTTTGATCGTCTATGACACAACACTTCTCTGCTAGTTTTGTTCAGTTTTAAGTTAGGTAAGCACAGCATTCAGACATTACCCACTAATAATGGGATTTCACTTCTAGTAAAGTCCCAGATGCTCTCTGTGGTTTACAGTGTGCAAATCACTATTCTGGTTATTACAACACCGCTGTCTGGAATGGAGTTGTTTGGAACAAGAAAAAGCCCTTACACTTAAGTTCCACTGTGGTAATACAGCTTTGTTTTTCTACTTGGTGATTTTTCCTTTTGTTTTTTAATTGGGTGAATTTGATGCTTGTGAAAATGAGAGACCAGTATCACTGGCTGGAGCAAGGTACTTCACAAACATTACATGTGCAGCTCTGCCAATGCACCTCTATCCTTTTTTTTTTTTTTTTTTTTCTTTTTTTTTGGTATTTATTTATATTTTTTTTAATTTAGTGCTGGTGAAAGGTGCTGGATTGACAACACTGGAGGCTGAAGCCCTCTATTTATCCACAGAACAGATACAGCATGGGCGGCAGCCGTGCAAGCTTCCCCACGCTGCCCCCACCAATGTGCCTCATCTCTGTCCTGGAGGGACCACCTCTAGAGGTGAGAGGATAGTTCAGTCACCATGACCCATCCAATCCTTGGCCTTTCTGCTGAGACTGCCCACAAAGCTACGATAGTCATGATGCTGCAGTTAACCGCTTTTCAGATGGAAAGTATACAAAGGCCAACAATTAATTTTGTACAAGCCACCTAAATTTATCAACTGAGCATCTTTGTCACATGTGGCTTTACCCGGAGCATGGTTATCTAGAATTTCTAGGGTTTTGTCAGATGTTTAAATGCTTCTCTTATTGATTCAGACATTAATGTAGAGGTGAAAAGCCACTATCCCATTATCCAGGTACTTACACCACCACCTCTGTTTAACTGCAGAGTCCTTTCTGGAGCTCAGCTACTAGCACTGTCCTGAGGAGACGGGTATTTTTATAATATTAGATTAGTTCTATTAATGACCAAAGGAGGCCATGGCCATTTATATTAAGAAACCAGCAGGAATTTAAATCATACTTCCAATTCTCCACTTCCAAAAAATTATGTTTAAAAGAGAAACATAAGCAAATTATTTGGCTTATCCAAAGAAAATAATAAAGCCATTAATCCAAACAATTTTTTAAAGGATAGTCATCAAGACAGTAGATAAATGATTTTATTATATCACTGAACAGCAGATTTAAGCAGCACACCTTGCACTAGTTATAATATACACAAGTGAGAGCAAAAGTCTTAAACAGAATTGTAATCAGAATGCAGTAAGAATTTTCTAATTATGTGCTAGTGATAGACACATTACTACTCTTTTTTCCATATTAACAAGTACGTATCTTTCTGTTTTCACCTGGCTTGACCTTTATGTAGCTTCTTCCCTATCAAGAAAGCACCACTGTTGTTGTAAGGACGATCACTAAGAAATTCAGAGTTTGTTTCAGCTTCATTTGAGGTTGACTCATGAGGCACAGCTCTGACCTTACAGGAATTAATCGATTATATAAACCAGTGTTTGTTAAGCAGAAATTGTAATACAAAAAGGCCTGGGAAGAACTAGGAGTGGGTTAGGGTTTTTCAGTAATTTCATTTAAAATATGGTTGGGACTCCTCTGATGCACTCTTAAAAGGAACTCCCACTTGACACTTGACTCACCTCCTTTAAGGCATCCCTACTGCTTCCTCAACACAGCCCCTTTTAAAGCTGTAGAAGATGAGTCTTGATTTCTTATTTAGCACTTTGCAAGAACTCATATGCTTACATTAAAAACTTCCTTCTGAAAGCAAAAAAAAATATGATTTAGTGCAGGAGCAAACTCTTTTCATAACAGTAATGAAAATGATGAATCAGGAGAAAAGATTCATTGAGTCTGGAGTTTAATTTTCGGTTTCATTCCTTAAAACTAATACTTGTCACAACTCGATTAAGATTTCCATTATTAAAAGACCACCTCTGGCTTCATCATGGGTTTTCCTTTCTCATTAGCAGTACATACAGTGCTGCACACATCAAGTGTACCAAGCTACAAGCTAAAAGGAATAAGCCCTGATACATGCTGCAGCGTTTTATATGGCCACGGACTGCTCTGGAAGCTTTTAGAAGCAGGTTTTGACTTTGTGTTTTAAGTTTTGCCAGTCCCTGAAAGGAGCCGTGGTGATTGTGCTCTCTATCTTTCCAAAGAAGCAGGCCCAATTATTAATAAAATCTTCAGTTACAGCCACTCCTCTTGTGGCCCCTAATTCAGAGGTATCAGTATCTTGTTTGCAGATTGGACACTTGGCATAATCAGTTACAATCTTTATTTACAGATTTAGTGTACCAAACAGAAGAGCTGTTTGGTAAACTAGACTCTGCCACCATATTTAGCACATAAACAATTTTTCAGGTCATGCAATGCAAGGTCTGTGGAAACTATAATCCCATACAAACTGATGGCACACAGAGATGGTTTGCATCTCGGATATAAAAGAACAAGGATGACCAGATAAATAAAAGGGAAAAGTTTACCGTGTAGGTTGTGCTGTGATGTAGTTCTGGGCACACCTAAAAGTTCAGCATCCTTACATTTATCATGCAGAAACAGGACTATCTGTGATGTGTGAGTAAAAGAGACTCAGCATAAAGTGTTAACACTGTGTTTCCAAGCTGATGTTGTGTATAAGAGCAAATAATGTTGTCTAATTATGTTTCTGTTTTGTGTCTGGGGAGAAAATGAGTTCGGAACTAGAATGCAGATACTCTGCGGCTGTTCATGTCGGGGTGGGGGTGGAGATTAACCTGGGTTCTGCCACCCCTGATGGAATCGTTGCAATTGTGGGACCTTATCCTGCATTCTGCTGGACACATTGTTCCTTCCGCTGTGTGCTGAATATCAGTCCCCAAAACTGCATGTTTGCTTCTGCTGGGGTAAAAGCTGCATTAACCAGCACCAATGCCTTTGCTGATATGTTGGAGTGCTGTTCAGGTAGTGTGTGTGGTTGTGGAAAGTTTGCAGAAGGGGGCATGTATTCCCCGGAAGCCGGCATGGCTCTGTAATGCGCTGTGTGCTGCCATCTGTTAAGTGCGTGTTTGTGACGCAATGAAATAGTCAGTGCAAATGAAAGCTCACTCCAGCAGCTTCAGAACATCAATCCCTGCCTAATACCGTGCATCCCGAGGGATGCGTGCGTGTATCAGTAGTATCAGACTTTAGGAAGTCACTAATGAGAATCATTCTTCTGGCAAATCCATTGTCAGCTGCTGCGTATCAGAGGGCGTACTGCTGTGTGGCACTCATCTTGAAGGGCGTGAGTCCCAAGTAATTCCACACGCCAGGAAGCTGTTTACATTAAATGCCCCGATGTCTTAAACGACAACTATACAGATAACTAATAGTTAAGTCAAGCATATTCCTACTATATACCTTGATTGGTAAATGTCCTGTTGTCATAAAATGGCTCAGTATGCCAACACGCTCAGCAGTGATCGTACGTGACCCAGCAGCATTATAAGCAAAGTGCCACCCACATTTACAGAAAATTCTGTTTATTATGGATTTTTGGTTTGCTTTAACAAAGAGGAAGCTAACCAAGGTATCACCAACTAAATGGCAATACCTCAGACTGTCTATCTCTAGCAGAACTGAGGAATGAAGTAGCTTCCCACTTTAACTGAATGGTGCATCTCAAGCTTTTCTCCCTTTCTTCCACATTCGGTCCTAAAATGCACTATTTTATGGCATTTCTATAATTCTACAGGACTTTATGGGGCAAGGGATCATTAGGCACTGTACCGCACAGCTACAGCTGATTCCACACAGATGCCCGCTTTTTTGTTTGTTTAGGAGGAAGCACTTTGCAACATACCACTAGGGACACATACCTCTTACACACCTTACGTGGTATGTCCTTAATTGTACACGACAAGCCAGTTCTTCCTTCATCCTCGTGCTCTGCACCCCACCACCAGTCAGCTGCTTAGTGGGCTCGGCACCGTGTTTTCTTGAGTCCTGTGAGATCATCCGTCTGAACAAACCGTGAAGGAGGGCTAGATCACTGGGCATGCGGAGACATGGCTGCTGTTTGTCACGTGTACGTGATTATTCTCACTTGTTTACAGGCTCTCCCTCTCTACCAGATAAGTACCGCCACTCTCGGGAGATGATGATGTTGCTGCCAACCCACCGGGACCGACCCAGCAGCGCCATGTATCCCGCAGCTATCATGGAAAATGGACAGGTAGCAGATCTGATTTCTTTGATGTCAGTTCAACCATCTGAAACTGTGACTTTATTTTTACTATTTCTGACTACCTTAAAGTTCCCCTTTTTATCTTCAGGAAGCACAACTTAGGATCATTTTCAGAGGCAACGCAGAACTTTTCATATTAACAGCCCCGCAGAACCACCCACTTTGGTAGTCAAGTGATAGAAATCATGACTGTTAGAATTGCAGATATGCCCTGTGCAAATGGACTCTTCTTACTTCCAAACTTTATCCTATGGGCCCTGGTCCACTGCAAGTAGTCATACCATTTTATTTATTCATTCTTCTAGAACCATGGACATCCCGCAGTCTAGCCTCAAAGTTCATTCTAAATAGCTTTACGGTGATTTCCAGGAGTATCATAAACCATGAGAGGCTGAAAGAATATACTGATACAGGGTCTCCAAACAATCTGTGCCTTTATCTACTACCTTCTCTAGACAAAATGAAAAATTCAGAGTGTGCCTACACGTAAGCATTTTAATCTGGCCCCGGCATGCACTTCTGAACAGAACCTCCTGATCATGCCCACTTACTGCACTTCACATCAGACAACTAAGGCTGAGCATGCAAACTCAATTATTTCAGATGAAACCAAAGCAAAAGGTAAGCTCCAGAAGGGCACCTGATGCATTCAAGCTGAATGTGGGCACAAGACCAGGCTCGAGCTAGTTTGGAAGAACTCCTCCAGAGAACACAAGCAGCCTGAATTGTGGGTCCTCGGCACTTGTTACGCTCTAGAGATCCACTAGTACTGCACTGCAGTACTTGCTAATGTAGACACAGCCTAAGGTTCCCATGAACTTTTTAGTTTGAAATCTTTTTTGCCTGAAAAAATGAGCAGAAAGCCCCAGGGTTCTGCAGCAGCTGGTCTTTAACTCTTTTTTTTTTTTTTTTTTTCTCTTCTTTGCTAACTTTCTTCTCCCTTAGCCTCCAAATTTCCAGCGCGCCTTGATCCAGCAAATGATTGGACCGTGCAAACCTTGCAGTGATCCCAACCTGTCTGTGGCTGAGAAAGGTACTCTTTTTTTTTTTTTTTGTCCTAGTTAGCATGCATGCTTTCTAAAATATTACTCTGGTCATGCTACAGCAAGTAACAAACGGGCTACTACATTTCCTGGCAAAGTGCATTCTCTCACATTTTTTTAATTAACAGTTTAATTAACTGGGCCTTCTGCCAACCTATAGTCATTTCAGTTCATTCACAGAAGGGTGGAGTTGCACAAACCTCTTTAATTCAGACAGCTTTCTGAGTTTAGCATTTTGTTATTGAAACAAATCCTGCAGCCTTTATCAAGCAAAACTTCCAAAGCAGCAAATGAGAAGTTATGGGAAAGAATAGTGCAAGACTTAGACCATATTTTTAGATAATGAGATATACTGCTTTTTAAAATATACATTTATTGTTCAAAATATTAATTTATTGTAATACCTCTCTGAGGTAGTTTTATATTTATTTACATTTATCATTATAAATGCATGCTTTATTTTAACTCATTACTTCAAAAAAAAATAGGCAGAGGCACTGCATTAAAAAAAACGAGAGAAAGAGTTTGTTTGGTGTGGCAGAAGAGGAGCTTGCAAAAGGGGTGCCATGGACAAAGCGATGGGCTCAAAAAATTATCTGAAAGGCAGCAGAAGAGGGCAAAATTCATGTGTCAAAATCTGAGACAAGCAAGCAACAGTCGTGTATGGCTGGGGAAAATGGTATCTTAAAAGATTTTTAAGGCCAGGAAAGACCATCGCAACTGTCTAGTCTGACCCGCATAACGCACGCCATTAGTCTTTTATCAGTAGTTTTGTTTCAGTAACCATGCCAGAACTAAATTGTATCTTTTTGAAAAAAAATGCAAATATTATTTTAGAATTTCTAATAAACCAGAATCCACTACTTTAACAATGTGACAGCTGTACAGAGCAGTCCAGGTTGAAACCAAAAGCCAATGTAGTTTCTGAATAAATGGCAGAATGATGACAACAATGATCATCGTTATTGATGACGATAATGAATGATGACAGCAGAGAGTTAAGACTAGGGGTGAAGCATTAAAAGCTTCATTTTAGCTGTGTCAGTTTGAACTGAACATACGACAGAGGTGGTAAGATCTTTATACTGGACAGGAGAAAGATGTCGAAGAGGAAGGTAGATAAATACTTACTATCTGTCTAGGAAAAATACTTGAATTTGTATTTGTGGGCGATATTATGCAGGAGTGTAGTATACAGCACAAAGAGAGGGGGATCAGAGACAGAATCCCCTCCAGAGGCCCAGAGAAGCCATGAAAGACACGGATGACTGAAAGACACAGTAACTGTTCCAGTGTGACGGCAATCACAGCTCTTCAGCCAGGTTGGTAGCATAAATGCAGTTACAGGCATTTTTTGCAGCCCTCGAACCCTCATCATTTTTTTTAAGTCAGGATGCCATCTGCCTTGGTTTTTGTTAAGTCATGCCCCGTGAATTTACCCACCCCCTTCCTTGCCATGTCAGAAGCTCTGCTCAGTAATTCTCATTGACAGCACATTGACATCAGTCGCCCAGAGCAGAATGCTTCAAATGCAGGATCCCTGCTAATTAAACTTGGCCACTGAACACTGTTACGGAGGGAGAGAGATGGGCTAGGACTGAGCACGAGGAACTCCCCGGGTAGGTTCCTCCCTGAAGCATTTTGGATAAAACCCTGGTTTCAACAGGCAGGAGCCACTCTCCCAAATCATCTGACCGTAGGATGATTTCCAGCACTCCTAAATACTCAAAAAGCTGTGAATGAGGGAACACTGAGAAAGTATAAATGGATTATGCACTGGGGTATCACGTTCTCTTCTTCACATTCTTCTACTACATCTTAGTGTTTAAAAAAAAAGCACGACAGTGATTTTACAGGCCAGGCAAATCAGGTTTTGTTATGTCCTTTTCACTTGATGCTGACATATTGCAGGAGAAACTAGCCTGGCTGGCATTGTTATGCATCTTGTCCCTCTGTTTTAGCCCTCTGACACCAACTGCAGTGCAAATTAGAGCACTCTGGCCTGTGTACAGGGGTGCTCAAAAAATTCGTCTGAAGCCACGTTACTTGTGTTGAGATGTAGCCCTTGGTTTGAACCTGTTCTCTGTCAAGATTCTTAGTGTCTTCTTTGTATGCCTTTCTCACTTTGAGAGTCTCTCTTTATAAACAACATTTATATTTTTATGGGTTTTGTTCTGTCTTATGAAGCTGTCACTTTGTGATCTCTTTTACTGTAGGGAATTCTAGGTCTTGGGGAGCCTGTGTTCATGCTAACTCATGTACTAAAGAAAAAACAAAACAAAACAAAACAAAAAAACCTCACAAAAATGGCCACAGGCTTTTTAATTAAGGAGAAATCATCTTCAGATGTCAAATTCCATGGTTTTCTCCAGGCTTCCATTTTCCCAACTGAAGATGGAAAAAGCTGTTTTTCTCTAGGCTCACTGAATTACTTTGTTTTCCTGTTCTCTTTTCTTTACTAATCACTTACTTGTTTTTAAATAAACATACAATTATTGCATGTCTCTCTTCTCAGAATAAATCAAGTCTTGAAGTGTTTGGAAGAAAGGAAGGTGCATTTTAATAATGTTTAAGGTTGACAGAATTCTCAAGGTCTTGAAAAATGTTCCTGTTAAAAAGAAGCTTTTATTTCTGTGAAAAACCAACTTCACAAAGATCATAATATCTGTTATATGAAGAAAGCCTTCCTCTCTCTGTATTTCCTGATTAACAAAGACTTAATCTTTCAGGTGACTTTGTAATACAAGGAGTCCAAACTTCCTGTCTTTAAATATTTTGTGATCAAAGTTCTTGATCAACTCTGTAGCTTAGTAAAACAGGGATTTGAAGTCGTGATTTCTTTAGTAACAGATTGAGGTGTGATTTCCCTCATGTCCTTTATTCAGTCTTCACTTAGCCACTGTAGTGCAGCAACAGGCCTTCCTGTGTTTCATGAGGGTTCTGCTACATGATCCCTTCTGCTCTGTCATCATTCACTGCCAAGCAGAACAGCTGGTAACTGAGATCTAGCTGCCACTCCATCGTTTTTACTTACTGGTTTGCGAAAAAAACAACCTAGCTGAGTTCTTCTACTCTTCAAATTTGCTAGAAATGAGCCAAGGTCGTGGAAGGGAGATGGGCAGACTAACACTACGATCACCTAACTCTTGCTTCCTTAACAAAACATCCTGTAAACTTAACACACTGTAGACTAGGCAGTGTCTTCGTATGCCTCCGATGCTACCCTTCACCAAGGCCCTAGAATCTCTCTTTTTATGGCTAAAGAGCACCCCGGAAAGCCAGTCCTTCTGGCCCCCCAACCTCCACATTACCCAAGTTACATCTGTTTCAATCCTTCAGCTGTGCCAGCAGCGCCCAGTAGCTGGAGCCTAGACAGCGGAACCCGAGAGGCCCTGCCATTCCTGTCTGCCCACGCTGGGAGCATCTTGGCCCCACCAGTGCCTCCCCGAAGCCTCCCCCATGGTAAGGAAATGCCCAGTAGGCCTGCTGCATAATGCCTCCAGTCACGCTCAGATAAATCTAGACCACCTGAAAGCTGACCTTAGCCTTTTTTTCCCTATAAAAACCATCAGAAACAAAACGCCAAAGTCTTTCCTGGTCTGCTAGGCTAGCACTGGACAAAGTTTTCCTGTTCGGTTTTTTTTTTTTTTTTTTTTTTAGATTCTTCAAATTTTTTGCGGTCCTTACAGTAACATGGACCTGCGTGTATTTTGGGATGAGAATTAGGTGCGTGAATGTTGAAGCCTGGCCTGGCTTCTTGACAATGCCTATCTTCAGCAGTAATTTAAGGTTACAAAGCTACAAAATGAAACTTCGAATGTTCACTGTTTACGAGCCTGTTGCCTTGCCATGAGATCCTTGATAGCAGGGGTGGGTGGAAATCTATCACTGTACTTCTTGTTAGCATTGTGTGCGTGTGACAGATGCACTCCACAGAATCTATCAGAAAGGAGGGCCTAGGTTGGAATGGAGTTATCAGCATTTGGAGATGTTACCTGGCATTACAGAGTCTAAAACCCCAGCTCCTTCGCTGCAGTGAGGCAGCACAAGTTTGCATTTCTGATCCTTGTCTCATTCCAGGACACTACTCACTGCACTTTGATGCCTTCCATCACCAGCTCAGTGACGCTCCTCCGGCACTGCCTGCACGAACGTTGCGCAAGGTAAAAAGGGAAGTGGCAGGAGAGCAGAGAGGGATGTAGAAGGAAAACAATAGGCTCCAGAAGAAATCCCCCTCCTCTACTCCCACCAAGCAGCTTTTGAATACAGAAACATTATTTTTAACTTACACATAAGTGTAAGTAGTGTAAGTACACATTAAGTGTAAGTAGTAACTTACACATAAGAAAATGCACCGAAAGCTCATAGCCTACTTGTTGAATTCTATAAAAGCAAGTTACACACGTTGTAGGCCCGCCCACTTTCCTCCTTTGAGTCATATGCTGTGATTTCAGGCTCTCCGACTGTCACCTCAACTATTCTTTCTTAACAGCTCTGGTGGTGGTAAGTGCACTTGTCTGCCCACAAGAGGTACTTCCATACACATCAGGGGAATGTGCATATAAGCCAATAATCATTGATGTTTTGAACACAAATGGAACAGCACCATTGTTAACATCACTGTCAAAAGCTGAAAGGTGGAACAACACACAGGATGCAGCATTGCCTCCTTTGTCAGTTTTAACCTGCTTTTGTTTTTCCCTGAACAGTCTCCTCTTCATCCTATCCCTGCATCACCCACCAGTCCACAGTCTGGTCTAGATGGAAGTAACTCCACTTTATCCGGCAGTGCCAGCAGTGGTGTCTCATCCTTGAGCGAGAGCAATTTTGGACATTCTTCAGAACCACCTCCTCGCACAGACACCATGGATTCTGTCCCCAGCCAGGCCTGGAACACTGATGAAGATCTGGAGACACCCTACCTCCCTGTCAGGTACAGTCTCTCTGAGCCTGATGTCCTAGAGTCGCTCAAATCCCAGCCATGCCGAAGCCACTCTGCTCCATCTGGAGTCATTCCTCAGGACACCATGGACCCTCCTGCTCTACCCCCCAAACCTTACCACTCCCGGCTGCCGAACATGGAGAATGAGGAGGGGATGATAATTGAAGATGACGACAAACACCGCCCGTTGCATCGTAAAGTGTCCCAACCAGTGAGTGGTGCAAAGGAAGAGCAGGCCAGGGTAGCATGGGAGCATGGCATCAGCGAGCAGTAGGGACAACTCCTGGTAAGCAGCTTGCATCGTCATTCCAGGTCTGACTACAAAGGAGAGAGATGAGGACTCGGAGAACAGCAAACCAATTTTCTACTGCCGCAAGTTTATGTCTGGAGCCCACAAAAGCAATTGGGCCAGCATGGGAGGTTGCTGCTTTCCTTTTTAATTTCTTTTTACACCTTTCCGTTACGTTTTTTAACTTTCTGTGCAGTGGACAGTTTATTCCTTCTGCAGTTTCTTAACCACATCATATGGCACACAAGCCATAGAGACTTGCAGAAGCTGAAAAATACAATTTTAAGTGGAAGGGGGAGAAAGGGGGGATATGTGGCAAGTTGATTTTGAAACTGCTTTCCTCCCAGTTCTGAGACGCACATGAGTAGAAGCAGTTGCACTAGGGACCTATTTCTTTGCTGTACAGAAGTGAAAGCTCATTGCTGAAATCAGGGATTCTATGAACTGTCAGGCTGGAAGGTGCATGAGCTGCAGGCAGTGGAAAGATGGCAATTCTAAGAAGAAATTGGCTCTCATGAGAGCAGGATTGTACATACCTGTGCAGTGATCTCCCTGCATTGGTTCATAGGTGCTGAGGCAATTTAACCAGTGCTGATGCACTGATTTCCAAGATATCATTTCCAACAAACTCTGCCTCCTTTGTTTTTTATGTACTGTTTGATTTCTTAAATTTTGCTTTCACTGGCTAAACCAACCTGCTTTCTCATTGGATTCATATGCTATTCATCTGTGCTACAGAATGAGAGGAGGTTAGTAGCCATTGGAGCTACAACCTAATTGCAGGCCTTTCCCATGCCCAACTTTGGGCAGGCTGTTGACACCAGCATTTCTATTCCAGTTTAAAAGAAGAAAAAAAAAACAAACACAACCAAATTGAGTTTCTCATGCCACAGCTGGTTGATGACCCAGCCAGTAAAGAAAAGGTGACTTAAATGCATCATATCCAACACTCCTTGCCTCAGGGCTGAACATCACAATCCTCACCGACTTCCATCACCCAGGAGCTGAGATTCATTCGCCATTAACATAATGTCCTCAGTCCCTCCCAAAAACTCACTGTAGCTGGTGTGCAGAAAGAATCTCCATTTCTCACAGTAGACAGAAAACATGAAGATTCAAGAAATGCCCAGTCTATAGTGTACATCATAGAGTCAGGGATCTTAAAGGCAACCTGTAAAGAAGAAATGTTTGTTTCCTCTTTTGCTTCTTTAGGATGTACAAAGCAGCTTTAAGAGCTTCTTCTCTCTTCTGGAAGGTTCATTTCTTTTCTTTTCACCTCAGGCAGAAATACATCCTTTTTCCCCCAGTCACCTTCTTTTATTGACAGGCTCCAGAAAGAGCTGGAGAACATTTAAAAAAAAAAAAAAAAACAAAAACAAACAAACAAAAAAACACCAACACAGAACCAAGAATTGAAACTATGCAGAGGTGAAGACAGTACAAGTCTATGAACACAAGCCTTTTAATCAGTATTTGCTTAGTTCAGTACATGACAAACCAGGAAAAAATTCTGTGGGTAATAGAGCCAAGATCATCTGTTCTTTGAAAAGAACACCAAGAAATCTTTTATTCCTATTTTCATATTTTTCAAGAAACTTTCAATCATGAGAGTATCAAATATTTGACTTTTATTCCTATTTTCATATTTTTCAAGAAACTTTCAATCATGAGAGTATCAAATATTTGAAGTGCTTAGATAAACAAGCAATGTTGCTTCCCCCTACCATGCCCACACACATTTTAGCCTGCCTTCTAGCCCTTTCCACCTGCAGATTGCAAAGCACACCCCAGAGGATGGCAACAGACCACCCTCTGTCCTACCACTGACAAATCTGAAGCACATTCAAATAAAAGACTTACCTCCACCATATAAATTAGTGTCAGAAACAGGAACAGCACTCAATTTTCACATCGAATTCTTGCCCTAACCACTGAATTTCTCATGCCACAAACAGCATAAAGAAGCAAAAAAGGATATTATAAACCTTTTACAGGTCACCTTTAGCACTACCTCTAAATGCAGTGACTGGGCAGAGTACATTGCTTCTGAACTCTCCTAAAGGTGGTCTGTCTGTACGAAGTCTGGACTCAACAGATGTATGAAGGGGATTTTAAGAGGATTTGTTTCTTTTCTTTCTCAAGCTCTAGCCCATGCGAAACTATTAGGTTACGGATTTGTTTCTTAAATGGCCTATTTGGCTGGAACAAAGTCTCTCTTGCTTCCTCTATTTTGTTACTAACACAGGCTGCTTGTAATCATTATAACCTTCACAATTAAGTCAATGATAACAAAACTGGCCTATAGTGGTCATTTCATCTCTAGCAGGAAGGAGAGTTTTCCAGTGCTGGGACAGTCCTAACTGTTAATGAATCAAGCCAAATCTCTGGTATAGAACACATGTATGAAAACTCAACTCAAAATTATGTTTTCAGTAAAGGTAAGTCAAGGTAATTCCTTAGAAATAAGTTGAAATATTTTCATATATGCTATTCTCCAATCTGACTGAGATTCTTCAAGTAGTTCTTAAAAGCTCTAAGTATTCAATTCCATCTCCTCTGCCCCATTTTTGCATTGGGTTTTTTTTTTGGCAGGAAGATTAAAAGAGCTTCCTTATTGCAAAGAATCAGCATATCTTGCAAATAAAACTGCAAAACCAAGAATACAACTAAAAGGAACTAAGTCCCAGTCAGCTGGAAAACCTGCCCACTGGAGCTCTAATCAGTCTCTCAAAACATATCATCCTGCTCTGATTAGAGACACTGTACAACAGCAGCGAGTCCATTTTGGGAGTCTGACATTACTACGTATTTGTAATGGTTTGAAGATCCATCGGGTGATGTATACAAATACCTAGTTTATAGCAGGTCCACACAGAGAAGGACAGAATAAATTGCTGAATTTACCAAATTTAAGCCTCTCTCGAGTTAAATTTCTGTTACTGTTCTGGTATCTACCAAGGATTCTGTCTCCCTTTTCAGTGCTTGCCTTAAAGGGGGCAGAAGATAGAAAGACTGTTATTAAGATTTTGTGAATGTTGGAACTAACACTTCTTGGAACTAATACTTCTCTGTAGGGTGAGGTGTCTTATAGCATAGTACAACTCCAACATCAAGCTCAGTCCTGGAGTAGGTGGAAGCAACAGCAGTTGTTGCACTTGCCCAGCAGGATTTGAAGATTCCTTGTATAAACCACAGCAACAGGATGTTTTGAACAGGACCTTGTCATTCTATACTTAACTGTAATTCAAACTTAATATGAACTTGCCTTCATTGGGTTTTCTTTGCATAACAAAATAGCATGTGCATTCCTGAGAAAATTGGTGGAATTCTGCTACAAATCTCTCCATCATCAGTGTACCTGCTGGCCCCATCTGAAACAAAATTGAGAAGGAACCACAGTAGTAGAAGAAAAGCAATTAAAACAATTTCTCAATCCTACAATATTATTTTTCCAATGGTTGGGTTGGTTTTATTACTGTGTGCAAGACTAAGATTCTTTTCTGTCTTTTCTTCTGGTTTTTAGCTTACCTTTTTTTAGGTAGGGGATATTGCATATCCCTTCTGGGGGAGAATCAGCCAAACTGGGGAGGCTGGAGAGAACAAGAGCCTTTGGGAAACAAATTATGTGATATTTAAAATTTCCTCTGATCATGCTTCTTTGTAAATACCCCCATTTGAATGCTGTGTATTTGTACAGGAAATTGAGCAAAAAATGTATAGATTGTGATGTCTGACTGGTATTCTGCCCTGTAAATGTGTTTTTAACCTCTGGCATTCTGTGCTTATTTAAAACAGGCAAAAACCTCTAACCACTTCTCTTTTGTGTATTCATGTTTAAAATAAAATGAAAACAGCTATCTTATCTATAATGGAAATCAAATTTAAAAGGAAAAAAATAATTTGTACAAGTGTCCTAAAGGTACTTCATTGTATATATTGTGATAGCATGTTTCCAGAACCAACAAATAAGTGGTGTGAATTTTAGATGTAAATATCTGCCGTTTGTTTTGGGTTTCTTTCCCTCACCCATTCACTCGACTGCTGTGATGTGGAATTAAAGATTAATACCTGATATTAAAATGGTATAGCTGTATGTTCATTGCTGTCCTCCAGACAGGGTTATCCTCAGGCTGCTCCAAACATTCACAATGTATGTGGAAAGAGCCACGGCTTCCCACTGTTGTGTGAATGAGGAAAATGAGAGGCAACCAAAAGGACCTTGTAGCTATTACATGTGGTAAGAGAACAGCTTCCACATTCTCTCAGCTAACAGTACACTATTCCATTTGATACCAACTTCTTAAAGCAAGTGTCAGGCATATCCACTAGCTAGTCTAGTCAGGTCAATTTACATGACGCATGCACCAGCCTGAGCCACAGTTTTGAGGCAATACTTTCAAAGAGCAGCTGAAGCCATGATTAGTTCTCCAGCCTCAGTCCTCACTGTGTAGATTGCTACTTGATGAGTGACACTTCACTTTTGTTTTATTGCAATGGCCAGACATTCTGGCAGTGATTTCATTTCTCAATTTTAAACATTTAAATACCAATCATTTTAACAGAATAGGTGTGAAAGACTAGTAATTGAGACATGTAGGAACACAGGATTTGAGAATTAAGAGCTACAGTGACTTCTACATATGAGTAATCTCAACGGGGTGCGTTTTCTTTCATTACCACTAATAAGCCAGGTCAAGGTGCAGGAAATAGAAGCCATTTCTCCCATCCTGTCTTGTCAAACCACCAAAAAAAAAATTTATGAAACTTATCCTAAAAGACATTTAGCAGTAAAATATAAGAGGAGTCTAACTTAAGCTGGCCATGGGGTATATGTAGACTGCCAAGCCCCCCTTTTCATTAAGTACATACCACATGTAACTATTGAGAAGAGGAACTGTAACATGGTACTTCAAAGTGGATCTTTTAAGTGTATCAAAATGTGGCTTGGCTAAAGTGTTCCCCTGACACCTGAAAAATGTCTGTATAAATCAGACCCTTTGAGACTGTCCCTAGCCCAACTTACCAAATCCTAATTAAGTATTTATTTATTCAACTAAAAAACATTTATTAACCATAGAAAATAAAAACTGTATTTGGCACAGCAAAACATGTTCTAGTTTCTGCTAAAAGCAATAGAACAATGTTTTCAGTGCAAGTCGAAGACTTTATTTAAGCTAAGACAACACTCGTCAGATTGAAATCTAAATACCACATTCAAATACCTCTCCTTATCTAAATACGAAAACTTCTGCACAGTTTCAATATCTGACTTGTACAACTCCATATGAATTTCATTATAAAGCTGGTAAAAGGAGAAATGAAACCTCAAGAAAGGACTACAACCTAGCTGATAGATTCAGCCCTCTATACCTCTGTGTAAATATGCCTGTTTGTAGACTTAAACCACAGACTCGGAGACACAGACCGTGTTCAGAAGGATACACACACACACACACACTACATTTATAGCCCGCTGCCAAGAGGTCCTAGGCGCAGATCTTCTCTTTACTATTATGAGACAACTCATATACTGCTTCTCCCTGTTTACAGGCTTTACCATCAATTCCACATAAATTAAAACCAAATTTGGACTAATAGTTGTACTACACTTCAGTTTCTGTTCAGCATTCATTCACAGCAGTACTGCATTATGTTTTTCCACCAAACTAACCTGGTTTCACCTCCACCCTGACAGAACACACATCACTGTCCTCGCAGACAAGCACCTGAAGCTGAACCCCTTTCATCCACTGTGCCAGCTGTACACAGATTTGCACTCGCAGACTGAAGAGCCAGGAAAGGCCCAGCCCATACAGCAGCCTCACCCTGCGCACACAGCTGCTGCCATTTACATAACTTCAGCCTCTCAACAACACCAACAGCTCTAATCCCCACAGATCTACCAATCCCAGTTAACTCTCCTGATGTGCTGCCGTTGCCCTGTAGTGATTGGTTCAGACTGGAAAAGGCTCTGGGGGGATCTCAGAGCAGCCTTCTGGTACTTAAAGGGGGCTACAGGGAAGGTGGGGAGGGACTCTTTATCAGGGGGTGTAGGGCTAGGATGAGGGGTAACGATTTTAACCTGATTTCGTTATAATCTACTAGAAGGAAATTCTTCCCTGTGCAGACAGTGAGGCACTGGCCCAGGATGCCCAGGGCAGCTGTGGCTGCCCCCTCCCTGGAAGGGTTCCAGGCCAGGTTGGACGGAGCTGGGAGCACTCTGGTCTAATGGAAGGTGTCCCTGCCCATGGCAGGGGGGTGGGACTGGATCATCTTGAAGGTCCCTTCCAACTCAAACCATCCTGTGACCACTTCTTATCAGACCACTATTTCAGAGTTGATCATATTCCAACTCCCCTATTAGCCCTGCCCTGCCTACATCTCCCCTTTGTACTATTAGCCCAACAAAACCATACACTGCAGGAGGCTCCAGCACACAACAAAACATTTACAGCTACCTGGTTCGTCTTACTTTCTTTTTTTCCTTCCCCAAGTAAAGCATTTTCAGCAATAGGACTTGCCTGTTTAGAAGCAACCTAAAGCCCAGTTTTGGTGGTTATCAACGGGGAAAACAAGCTAACCATTTAAATGCTGGAATCAGTTTCAGCTTCTAACAGCTCCCTCTCTCAAACCATCGCCCTTTTCCACATGCAACATTGAAAAGCAATGTTCTATTTAGATGTTCTTTAGACTCTCTCAGTCACACATGCCCAGATACAATGGAATAACGCCCAGCCTTCGCTGTAAAAACACCCACGGCCTGAAGAACAGTTACACTCTATGCAGTCACATGCAACACAATTTCTAGCAGACTAGCCACCCATGATCACGGCACTCTGTGATATCATCGTAACTAGTTCCAAAAGCTTGCAAAAAACTGAGCAGAAGTCACTAGAGATCTGTTCCTCACTCAGCTGCATGCTCCAGCTCCAAACCTGCGATCATTCACTGGCATGTAACTCCCCTATATCCCAGCACCTCACTTCTTCAGTACTATTGGCTTAATACTGCGACCAGACTCACAGCCAAACACTTCCACAGGCACAGGGAACAAACACAACCGCTGCTGTCCCTCACAGCATCCTGCAGGGTGTATATATAGCACTAGCAACCTCCCTAAAAGAGAGCAAATACTTTCTGCTTGATCAGTGTAACTGCTCAATTTAGGACAGGACTAGAAACCCTCATCAATGGCTCCTAAACCCTCTGCATCTTCCTAGTAACAATGTAAAACTCCACTCACATTTTATCTATCTCACATTCTCACCCACAGGAAGATCTCATCTCCCTCATTGTTCTTGTCAGATTCCTCTTTATTACAAAGAGGGAATTAATTGATGAATAAGCTCCTCCAGCTATAGTTTTAACTCAAACATTAAAATGTGACAGTTAAATAGAAACTAAAGTCTCCAAACCAACTGAGAAGCTTTTAAACAATAAAAACAGCCATTTGCATCCAGAACCAAATCCTCAGCCCAATCACTTTTAAAAGATAGACACTAAGAACCATGAATCTTGATGCAACTCCGAGTATCCTGAGCACATGACACTGCAGGAAGATCTCTGAGGCTCAGCCAGTCTTCTGGATATTACCACTTATTGCTTATACGTGTGGAAATGAAGGACTACACTTAAGTTTTTTTTTTTTTGCTTTTTCAACACCAGTCCAACTTAGACTAGTAACAGTCAGAATGTCCCAACACCACTGAGGACCAGCACAACCTGTTCATCTCCCAGGTTTCAGACGCGACCAATCCCTAACGCTCCAGAGAGCCAGTGGCTGGACAGTAGTAGAACGAACAGAGCACTAGAAACTTTGCCATGGATCAAAAAAGAAGCAGAAGGTAAAACGAAGGCAATCCTTCCCAGCTTCTGGAATGCTCAAAAATTAACTATAAATTAAAGGAAAAAAAAAATCAAAAGGAGCCTTTATTCTTCCTCAGAGCCATTTGAGGATCCCATATTGAAATGCTGAGAGGCTCATTTCCCAATCCAAAACCAAATAAAACCACTCTTATCCTGCCACACGTAAAAATGTATAAAATTTCAACTTTGTGTGAAGATCTGTTTCATAACTGCACTCCTTCAGCAGTTAAACTTCTTCCTCATTGTGAGGCTCATAAACTCTCCTAATTCTGAATTTAAGCCCTACCAACTAATAAACCACTTCATCTTGCAGCTCTTTTGGCCACTATCCTGATCAGAAGCAAGGGCAATTTAAGTAACCACTTGTCTGCACAACTAAGTGGCTTTAATGGGCAATCGTCATAAATTTAGAAAAGCCAGTAACGTTCCTAAAATACATGGATATTGAATAACTATGGGAATCAATATGGACTGATTTAAAAAACAACAACAACAAAAAAAAACCACAACAAACAAGACAATAATATCATTACCAAGCTTAATAAGCACATTTTGAGAGATAACAAGATCTAGAAAGGTGAAAAGCCACCTCTTCTATCTAATAAACACATGTGATGTATCCACACTGGCAAGATATAGTGTCCTAATTACTACTCACCTGCTACATGACCTTTGCTGAACCAGGTTGCTGCTGCTCCTCGCTCCTCCCCATCCTGCCTGATTGACCTCATCAGGCTTATAATTTGCAGCTGATGACCTGAAAAAAAATTCAGGCTTAAGACAGTGAAAAATTCCCCACAGCCTCCACCATTGCTTTGCTTGGGGCAGGTGCAACTAAGCTACCTCATTAGTCCTTCTGTAGCACGCGAAGATGTGCACTCCCTTGCTGTAGCACAGCGCTATATGACTTTGCCTCTAACCTTCTTTTACTAGACTAATATCCTAGGACATGTACAGTTAAACATAGCCCGACAAAACAAGGAGGTGTGTACGCCTCCCCAGCTGGCCTACAACTTCAAAGAGACATGATAAACTCATAGGATGGGGATTGTTCAAAGTAATTCCCAACACATCCTGTGAGGACTTTGGGAACAAAAGGTGATAGGCCCAGTCACTGGAATAGTAAGTAGGAATTTAAAAAAGAAATCTTTATTTGTTCCCGTAACTCCACAAAAACAACCAACCGAGAAGCCAGAAACAAGCTGTACACGGGT